TTATATTATAGAAGTTATTAGACCGGCTTAATTAAAGAGAGCTATTAATATAGTAATAATAGGCCTTTATAGATAGTATAATACCTATTAATAGTTATAATTAGTATCCGATATGGTTTATAAAGTTAAAATATATTATAATGTTTATTAAGTTTAAGGTATTAATATTAAACTAAGGGGTAATAAAAATAGAAGGTTTTAATAGGAGTGGGGAAATCTAGGATAAAAAGCTAGATTGTTAGTTATACTTAACTTAATCTAATCTTCCGTTAATTATATAATAAAGTAATAAATAATTAACTTATTAAATATAATAATATAGTATAATATTATAGCAGTCTAATATAGTAGCCTAGTATTTTAATATATTAATAATAATATAAGGTTTTTAAGTAATATATTTAGGTATTTATTTTAGAAAATAATTATTATTAATTTTATATTATTAATATAAAATATAATAATAAGCTATATATAAAATCTATAATAGTTACTTATATAGGGGGTAACTTAGATATTATCTTTAATCTATAAATACTATTATTTATTATATTAATATTATTAGGTTTTATTATTATTTATTAATAATTACCTAAATATAGATATTATTATTTTATATAGTTTCTATATATTCCTTTACAAGTTTTATATATTTTTCTTTCTTTCTTTCTTAATATTAATTTCTAAATTTATTATACTATAAGGTATATAATATTTCCTATAAATCTTTATCTTTTTAAGATAGCTTTTATCCCTTAACTAGTTACTTACTTTATTATTCCTTTTATATTTATTTAATACTAAGGTAGTTAAGGTTACTATAATATCGGTTTAGTTATTTAGTAAGGGTATTATTAATTCCCTAATTCTAAAGTATTTATTTTAGTATTTAAATAGTTTTATTTACCTATAATATAGGTAATTATATAAAGGTAATATTAAATAGTTTATCTAGTCCTTAATTAATTTCCTTAGGTATAAATATTAGTTTTAGGTTAAGATTAACTTCCTTTCCTTTTTATATTATAGTAATAGTTAATCTTTTAGGTTTTTCTTTAGGTCTTTTTAGTATTTAAGTCTATATTAATTTATTTTCGTTTTTTTTTATTTATTTATTTACTTTACTTTAATAACTAGAATTAATATTATATTACTTTCGTTCCTCTATAGTATATTTTTTAAGGTATATTTTATATACCTTTTTAATTGCCTTTTATTTTAAGATATAATAGTTTTATACCGTAATATCTTATACTTAGTAAATAACCTTAGGGTTATTATATCCTGATTTAGTTATAGTAATTTAATATATAGACTATATTACTATCTAGGGTTTATAGTCTTTTTCCTAACTGGCAGTCTTATTATTTTTCTTACCTTCCGGAACTAGTTTATATTTTTAATTAGTTTTAATAGGATTCTTATATTTTATATTAAAATATCCTTTTTTCTTACAGTTCTAGTAGGTAATTTTAGATTTATTATACTTAATAGCTATAATAACTATAGGTCCTGGTTCTATTCTATAGAATATATTAATATTTTATAACTATCCTTAATTAATATAATTACGGTTTTTATTTTAAAGGTTTCTAGTCTAGCTAGGGTTATAAATATTTCCCTATTAATTAGCTTATTTTTCTTTTTATTATTTATATTAATAATTATTAATATTTACGATAATAGCTATAAGGTTATTAAGTATTTAAGGTTTAGCTTAGATATTTACTATAATGTTTTTAACCTTAGACTTTAAGCCCTGGTATATTTATACTATATTAATAGCCTTATTTTAGTCTAGTTTAGCTAATTAATATTAATATTTAGTTAGATAGGTAGCTATAAATCCCTTTTAAGTTAACTATTAGATTTTAGTTTTTACTTTTTATTTTTTATTTATAATTTTAAAGATATAGGTAAGTTCTTTTTTAAAGTTTTTATACTTTTTATAGATATACTTAATTACCTCCTTTTATTTATAATATAGGTAATTAATATAATTATAGATAATAGGTTTTATTATTTATAATACTTTATCTTTTAGGAATCCTATTATATATTATACTTAAAGTTTATTAATAGTAAATTATACTAGGTAGTATATTTAATAGCTTTTTAGGCTAGTAAGGAATCCTTAAAGTTTATTTAAGTTATTATTATAACTATCTAGTTAGTAAGGTTAAAAGATTTCTTTTAGGTCCTTTTTAATTATAGTAAAAGCTATAGTATACTTAATATATTTTTTATATAGTTTTTAAGTATTATTTATATTTTAGTTAAGTAGTTTAGTAAGGTTTATAACTTTATTAAGTTTTTTTTTAGATCTTTAATCTTAAATAAGGATTCTTTAGAGTTATATTTAGTAATATTTAGTAAATTATTATAATTTTTTTATATACCTTTAATAATTTATTTAAGTTTCTTAACCTTATCTTTATAAATAATAAAATAAATCTCTTTTTCTTTATTAATATCTATAGGTATTTCTAGGAGTTCCTTAGTAAGAATAATATTCTTAGCTAAGGTTACCTATTAACTAGATATAGCTATAATAGGTCGGTTAGGAGTTATTAAAGCTATTATATTTTATATTACTTAAGGTAATATAGTATAATATTAAATAAAAGCTATTAATATATAATAATTAGGTTTTTTAAGGGATAAACTAGTCTATATTAGGTTTATATTAATAAATACTATAGGGGGTTATATTAAGCGGTTATAAAGTATTATATCTTTTAATAGTAAATAAAGTAGGTTAGGTATATTTAAATAAAGAAATTATATTAATAGCTAGTAAGTTAATATCTATAAAAGTATTAATAAATATATTCTATATATTAAAGGTAATTACTATAGTAATTATTATAGTTATTAATAATTATATTAATTATTAAGTAATTCTGGTATTAAGAGGTAACTATATTGTAATAGTTACTATATATATTATATAGTATAGTAATAACTATATATAATAAGTAAGAAAATATAGGGTATATATAATATAGACACTAGGGTTGTAATATTATACTACCTATTATTAATATCTATAATAATAGCTATAAGGTTATTAAGGTTATTAGGTTTTAGTTAAATATTAACTATAATGTTTTTAATTTTAGGTTTTAGGCCTTAATAAACCTAGGCTATATAGACTAAGTTATTCTAGTCTAGCTTAACGGCTTAATATTAATATTTTACTAGGTAGGTTACTATAAATCCTTTTTATTAAAGTTATTATATTTTTATTTTTATTTCTTTTTATTTATTTATAATTCTAAATATATTAATTAACTCTATTTTAAAGTTCTTATATCTTTTATATATATACTTAGTATTTTCCTTTTTAATATAATATAGATTATTTATATAATCTTAAATAATAGGTTTTATTATATATAGTACTTTATCTTTTAAGAATCCTATAGTATATTATACTTAGAGTTTATTAATAGTAAACTATATTAAATAGTATATTTAATAGCTTTTAATATTAATAAAAAACCCTTAGAGTTTATCTAAGTTATTATTATAACTATTTAGTTAGTAAGGTTAAAGGATCTTTTTTAGGTCTTTTTTAGTTATAATAAGAGCTATAGTATATTTAATATATTCTTTATATAACTTTTAGCTATTATTTATATCCTTACCGAGGGCTTTAATAATATTAAAGACCTTATTATAATTTTCCTTTAGGTTTTTAATTTTAGTAGATAATTATCTAGAGTTATATTTAATAGTATTTAGTAAAGTATTATAGTTCTTTTATATATCTTTAATAATTTATTTAAGTTTCTTAACCTTATTTTTATAAGTAATAGGATAGTTTTTAAGGATTTTTTTTTATTTTTTATTAATATCTATAGGTATTTCTAGGAGCTCCTTAATAAGATTAACGTTCTTAACTAGGGTTACCTACTAGTTAGGTATAGCTATAGCAGTTTAGTTAGGGGTTATTAAAACTATTATATTTATATTACTTAAGGTAATATAATATAATACTAAATAAAAGCTATTAATATATAACGGTTAGATTTCCTAAGGGATAAATTAGTTTATATTAGGTTTATATTAATAAATACTATAAAGGGTTATATTAAGTGGTTATAAAGTATTATATTTCTTAATAGTAAATAAAGTAGGTTAGATATATTTAGGTAAAGAAATTATATTAATAGTTAGTAAGTTAATATTTATAAAAGTATTAATAAGTATATTTTATATATTAAAGGTAGTTACCGTAGTAATTATTATAGTTATTAATAATTATATTAGTTATTAAGTAATTCTAATATTAAGAGGTAATTATATTATAATGGTTATTATATATACTATATAGTATAGTAATGACTATATATAATAGGTAAGAAAATATAGGGTATATATAATATAGACGCTAGGGTTATAATAATATTAAGATAATATATATTATTTCTTTAATATACTACTAGAAAAATATATTATTACTAAAAGAAAATATATATTTAATAGTAAAGTAATACTATTTATCCTTATAGTAGTTTAGTAAGTAATATTAAGTCTATATTATAATTTAATAAGTATTAATAGATAATATATTCTATTTTAGTAATAGAATATTAAAAACATATTATATATTTTCCTAATATATTCCTAGTATATAACCGTATTTTACTAATATATAACTACTTTAAGTATACTAAGGTTTATAATACATCTAGTAATATTGTATATTATATATTAATTAGAACTAAATTATATTACTAAAGATTAAGTTCCTATATAAATAATATTAGTTAATTATATATAAGCTTAATAAATACCTTTAATAGATTACTTTAATAATTCTTATTTACTTTCTCATAATGCTTAATTTATTCTATCACTTTACTTTTAGTTATTATTTTTAATTTCCTTGAAAACTATATTAAATCTTACCTATTATTCACCTATAATACTACAATTCGAAATAAAATTCAACATACTCTATATCACATGTAGTCTCATTTAGGAATTCATAGTTAGAGAGGAAAGTGTACTATTTTCTCGCCTGTAGTACTATCTATTCTCACGAGCATCTTCAGACATTCAGCACCATGCTTCTCACATTCCCGTCCCTCAAGAGGCTCAGCCCTTCCATTGAAGCAGACCTCTGAGAAACAGCGCGGCTTGTTATCTTGTACTCTATCCACAAAGTATTGCAGACGTTGGCAGCAAGTGACTCGAAGAAGCTTACTAGCAACAAGCGCTAAGAACTCCCTGCCCTCAACCTTGGCAATGTCATCCATCTTCAGGCCTCTAAGCTGTGCTCCTAGCTCAAAGAAGAAACCTGAGACGTCATTTGCCTCTGAGCCGCCTGTGCCAGCACAGAACCGTTGGAGGGTATCAATACGACCAAGGAGGTGCGATTGGGACTGAGTCAGTCTGTTGACATCCGCCTGAAGCCCTTCGCACTGCTTATTGGAAAGCTCAGCCTGGGTCGCCAACTCGGTGTTTTTCATCACCTCTTCACTGGTTTCCCTCTGGCTTTGCTCAAGCAGCTTGCCCTTTGCGTTGATGATAGCCGCCCGGTTCTCCAGTTCGTTATTCAATCGCCCATAATAATCATGGTCTTCTCGAATCTGCTTGCGGAACTTGTCACAAGATACTGCCATCTTCTTGAGCTCTGTGGAATTCATTGAGTTGACTGTTTCCAATCTCTCAATGGTTGCCTTACTATCGGCGCAGACCTTGTGTAGATCTTCCACTGATCCCTTCAGTAGTTCGATCTCAGCGTCCTTGCCCTTGAGCTTTGCCTCATACTCTGCCCGTAGAGAGGCCATTGCCTGTTCACTATCCTCCCTAATCAACTCTGTACGGTCGAAAAGGGCCCTCGCAGCCGATCTCGCCGTAGCTCCAAGATTCTCGAGTCCCTGTTGGACTTCTCGAGACTGCTCATACAGCAATGTTTCAAGAGTTCCCTCGGTCTCTTCCTTAACCTTTTGAAATTCAGTAGCTAATGCTGACTGAAATTTGAGAACAAGGTTATCTTGGCTGAGATCGATAGCGCCTTTGAGCACATCGCCGTACTCTTGTCGCGTCGGCTTCTCTTGAAGCTTCTCCATAAGCATATCGAGCTTCGTACTGGTGGAAGCTTCAATCCTCCCAATCTGAGCTAGGTCAACCTTGGGAAGGCGTTCCACTTGCCTAGTAATCGAAGATTCAATCCCCCGAATATCCTCTCCTGTTGCCAGCTTGGAGATGGACTTTTCGAGGCTTTCGACTGCCGTAGTAACAGCAGACTTAGCCACCTTCACATCCTCTCCTGTTGCGATCTTGGAGAAGGCTTCGCCAAGGCCATCAAAGAGTCTTTTCCAGGTTCCTTCAGACTCTATTCTGCTCTTGTTCGCATTGTCTCCCAATGACTCGATGTTGACAGCCATGGCTTTGACATGACTTTGAACCTCGGTGGTCAAAGAAGACTGCTTGTTCAAGGCCGTCTCAATCTGACCGAGGGATCTTTCAGCCTGTGTACCGAAATCCTGCATCTCCTGCTTGGTTACAGTGGCCTGGAACTTGCTGGCTTGAGAATCCAGCATGGTCTTGATTTCGGTCACGGTGCGGCTTCCTTGACTGTCAATCTTGTTTGACATTGTATCGGTCGCTTTCTCCACGACTCTAACCGTCTCCTGTTTGAGCGGGCTAATGTCACCGTGAACCTGCTCAATCTTCTGAACCAACTCTCGTACGTTGGGTCCCAGATCTATCATGCGAGTCTCGTAGTCACTCTTGGCTGCCTCGGCTTCGCGTTGAGACTTCTCACTCACTTCTTGGGCGTTTTTCATTATCCGCACCATACCTGCAATGACTCTGGGGTCATTACCGCCTTCTTCGACGTACTTCCTAAAACCAGGTGCACCCTCCATCTTGGCAGGAAGTGAATGTGGTGAAAAGTGTGAGAAGGGTGAGAAGGGTGAGAAGGGTAAGAAGGGTGAGAAGTGTGAGAAGTGTGAGAAGTGTAAGAAGTGTGATGTTAAAGGAGTGGGGTTAGGCGGTGCGCGAGCGAAAGTGCATGGCAGTGTCAAGAATTCGTAACTGGCATATCTGTATACCTACTTATTGTGTTTAAGACTTATTTAATGTATCATTATAATGCAATTCATACTTTCTCCTTCACTGAAAATATAATTATTACAAGTGTTGTAGAATTCATACCAGACTTTTCATTTATAGAAAGCATGTTTAATTTATATAACATTATTTACAGATAGAACTGCCTGCCAAAACGCTTATGCATAACTATCTACCTAGCCAGAAATGCATACCTATCTACCTAGCATTCACTCATAACTATCTGCCTAAGATTCACTCATAACACTTCTCCACAACAACACAAATCCTCTTCGTGCATTTACTTCAGAAACTCTGCAAGAACAAAAACACGCACTCGCTATCAGTTGACCAAAATGGCTGATAACAACAACAACCAGAACAGCAGCAGCAAAGGCAAGGAGAAGGAAGATGCCGGTGTTTCTTTTGGTGCGCAAAGCGGCCAGCGACATCAAATGAGACGTGGAGGCTTCCAGAGCTCTCAATCTTCCTCTTGCCGCCCTACCTATGGCAGTAGCTCCTCTTCTGCTCCGGCTACCATGTTTCAAGGATCAACTTGTCTACCCAAGGGAGACTTGAAGCTGGAGACCACCGAGAACTTTTTCGGGGTCAGTGGTTTTGGCTTTGTTGATAAGCAAGGCAATAAACCCAAGTCTGTCGTCGGCGCTCTCGACATCCCTGGCTGCGCTATGGCCATTGGAGGTGTTGACAACTCCACCAAGGCTCTGTTGGAGTCCTGGCGAATCTTGCAGGAGGCGAGACCAGGTAAGCAGATGTCCTGGATGCTGTTTGTCGACGACGGCCCAGAGGTTGTCAAAAACACGCCCCACGGCTCCAAGCGAGGCCGAGATGTCCTTGCTGGGACAGATGACTTTGAGGCTCGCTCAGCAAAGGCACCCAAACTCCCTGCTCCTAAGCAGCCAGCTGCCCCAGGAAAGGCTCGAGATTCGCAGCCTGATGGTCAGTCTCTTCCCCGCCCTCCTAAGGAGAAGAAGTGTGTTGGGTGTGGTTCGGAAGACCACGTACTCAGGCGTTGCCTGAAGGCTGGCGAGGATGGCATCGTGAAAGGCTGTCCCAAGTGCAACTCGCTGACTCATAGCGTCTTTGGTCGCACCGTGATGGAAGACAGGGAGAAGTTCCTCCTCTCAGTCGTTGGGCGTCGCGGCATGCCGCCCCTTCTTGATCTGAAGTCCTGGGCCGAACTGGCAAGCAAGAACTCGTCAAAGGCCTCCGCCATCCGTGGCTTCCCGTGGTCTGAAGAGTTCACCAAGTCGCTGGCTGAGGAGATTCCAAGACTCCAGGAAGCCCTGGATAAGTACGGTTTCCAATCTCCCGGTGTCTTCACGTTGCCACAGGACCCTCTCACTAAGGACTGGGCAGCTGTCGAGAAGAGTGTCTCCCTTCGGCCCCTTCGAATCTCTGGTACTGCTACACCAGAACAGAGAGAGGCTGCTCTGGCCCAGGTGGCCGAGATCTTCAAGAAGATCGAGGAGAACAAGCCCGATGCCGAAATGGCAGACACCCCGGGACCCCCAGCCTCAGGACCTCCAGCCTCTGGAAAGGGAAAGGAGAAGAGTGCTCCTGGCATTGGCGATGTTGACCAGACCGAGGTCAAGGAGGAGCCGAACGAGTCATCAGCCTCTATCGTGCTCGCCAACCTCGCCAATGTCGCCAATGATGAGGATGCTCTGGTGGATTCGGTGGTCGCTGGGCTAAGTTGTGTCCCCCACACCAAGGAGACAAAGTCAGATGGGACTAAGGTCTGGGTGCTAGGAGAAGAGAGCGGCCTTCAGAAACCCACTGGGGCGCTTAAGGATCTGCTCTCTAAGTTTAAACGCAAGAAGTGAATATGACAATCAGGATAGAGACCAGGTCAAATACAATTCCTCCTTATCCCAAATTTATTTATGTTTGCATGTGTGATTGTACTTGATGTCCTTGTAGGCTAAAGCATTGTGAACTATGATGTAACTTGGTCCTATGGTAATATAATTCACTTGTATGGTAACAGCTTGAGTGATTAGATTAATCGACGATTACACGGGCAACTCACCACGATTAGCTTCACAACTCACATATGGATTAGACAAAGGCGACTTGTAGATTATCACATTCAGCAATCAAATTGTAGCAGCACGTATATTGACTATATAATATGCATAGCTAACCAGATCAGATCGTTGCTATCTGGCTTGAATGAGACTTGCTCATCACTGACACCGAGTATCGCATCGCGATCTTGGAATCTCACAAAGTACGCGTCGATCCATCGGAGCTTTCGGTCATGTATCAACAATATGCCTGCTGACTGTCGGTTGAAACCAATAAGATTCATACCGTTATGAAACATGCAGGTATCGAGGTTAAGCCTTTGTGAGCTGTCTTCCCAATTCTCGATGGCTTCGCAGAGTGTCCGAACGGCGTTCCATCTGCGTCCTGATCGGAATAGCTCAATTGTTTGAGCTTGCACCCCAGGCCACGCTACTCCAACTTTCATGCCGACATGCAAGACGAGAAAGACTTGAAAGGCATGGACCTTGCACTCCTCGAGACATCTCTGCAGAGATACCAGGAAGAGATTGAAAATGGGCAGCAGTGACTCGGATGGCTAATCCAGGCGCAGACTAATACTGACCAAGCAAACCGCAAGATCATCCAATGAACCTGATGCGATCTTGGAGATGACAAGAAGGAACAGGGCAGTTATGCTCTCTGTCCTATCCCAAGCTACCAAGCTGGCGTTGTTCAACCAGGATTCAGCAAACTCCCACACACTGTGGGTAGGCTGGGCTGGGACAATTGGACTTGTCCATTCTACTTGATCCATGATATCCTTCCAGTCTCCTGAAGGACACTCGACCAGCGCGAGACGCGTTATCGTGTTGGCAACCCGATCCTTGTCCCGAATGTTGGAGAGCTGCTCACCATTGATGGTTTGAAGCTTATCCACACTCTGCTTCCGCTTGAACAGCTTGTTCTTCAGAGCAGCGACTGACGTGCGCAACTCGGAAATCTCGGTCTCGTCTCGGCGGGATTGCTCCTGCGCCTGCTTGTAGGCTCGCGAGGTAGAGCTTAGTAACTTGTTAAAGTCACTGAGCTGCCGATCTTTGGCCGTAAGTTGCATCTCAAAATTGGTGAGTTCAACCTTGAGTTTCCGACAATCACGGTTGAGTCCATCGTGCTTATCGGACAGCTCCTTGTATTCGTTGCCCTTCTGACTGCAAAGTCTTTCCAAGTCGGAAGCCTCTCACTCATGCTGACCAATGACCTCGAGATACCCGTCGCGCTTGTCGAGCATCTGTTCTCGCTACTTTCCAAGGCATTTTGCGTCTTGAGGATGTCACCTTGGTTGGAAAGTTGCTCTGTGCGAGCGTGGTGTCTCGTTGGTTCTGTCGAGGCATCTTGAGATGATATTGTGGCTGGAATTGGGCAATATTAAAAGTTTAGCCTCAGCTATTAATTTCAGAAGGAATTTCACTACGGTTAGGAAGCACGGGGTTTCCGGGGTCACACGAGTTTGTGATTCACTGCCGCAGTTTCTTGTTATTGTCATGCTAGCTACTGTATGATTCACGTAGCTAACAAGCGTTATCCCCCACTTTACACATTCAGCAATGAAATAAAAACAAATAAATAAATTTCACAGGCTTCCCTCTTGCAAATATTCTTATCTAAAAGTATTATAGATTAGCCTATATACAGCAAAGACTTACGCGATAAGCTCGACCTGAATGAGGACTCTATCGAACTGAAGCGGAGACTTCGGATGTACCTCTCTCCTAGAGCTATGTAATATGAGAGGTATTAACAGTATGATTGCGCTGACTAGATGCATCTACTCTTATATGACCCCGAAATACTGGGAGAGAAACGTCGAGAATATCGACCGCGAAAAGAAGAATCCTCTTATATTACCAGATAAAACCGAGATCTGGCCAGGAATGAACAATGTCTGAATGGTGCTACCTTTTACAAACTACCTAGAGAATGCTATCTCGACGGATTCTCGCACCTGGCATCCAACTTTGAGGAGCTCGGCAGGATTGTGCCCAGGACAAATGTTCTATTTGAATCACTGGAGACTCGACCGGGTTCGAAAAGTCTCGATGACGCAGCATAGGAGGAAGTGATGAATATATCCTTTGACACCCACGTAAAGTTGATCCATGTGAATTGTGAATGTTTTACATTTCGTAGAAGTGAGGGAGTTGACGTAATTCTCTTATGCAGAGGCGTGTCGCAGAAACATCATTCACCTCTATCGTTCTCCCGTGTTTGTTTATTTTCGCCCCTCCACACAAACCAACCCGAAAGCTCATTCCTGCACCACAACGCTTCACTCGAGACACGGCAAAGATACTTCTACAACGACTACAGTACTGACTCCAAAGGCCCAGTCATAAAAGAATGGCCGAAGCTGCACTCGCTGACTGGTCGGCGGTTAATCCCCAGCGCTCTGGAGGTTTATTTGGTCATGTTAATTATGCCCGTAACCCCGACGTGGAGGCCATTTGGAGTAAGATCATCAAAGCCCTGGGATATTCAGATGATTTGGATCAGTTCATCTTTGTGGCTTCAGAAACGGAGCATCCTATTTTCAAAAGCGCACACCAAAGAGCAACCAGTGAACCGAACGGTGCCATCAACTTCACTTTCGGCGAATTTTTCAAACGCTCCGACAATCTGGACCAAGTATTCGGACTGGCCCAGAGAACTGTGGTCATGCTTTCTGTTGACCGAAACATGTCCGCGGATTATGCCATGGCGTTGATTGCTGCGACATCCTGGGCAACCAAGACCATTGGGGGGACAAAACGGGTCCTGACAGTATCTTGCTTAAGCAGGGACCCTCGAATGACACGGCTTGTGAAGTATTTTGGTCACCCTACAGTGCAAGACTTCAACTTTGACGATCATCTGCCAGAGTCACCACCTCGCAGTGTGTCTCTGGGCAACGCGAGCAATATCGCCCCAACACAAGCGACATCAAAACTTGTAGGAAATGTCAGAGCACTCGATGGCCGACAGATCATAGTCTTGGTCTCCGACGCCCTGCCTCTCGAGACAAAGGATCTCGATGATGAAGAAACTGGAGTGAGATGGGTAGAGAGGGCCATTGATTTCAAATTGAGGGCGTTCGATGAAGCTTTCATCAAAGAATGCTTAACCAACCCGAGGCGGCAAAACGTCTTGATGAGGGTGCCATTGGAGTTCACGCCTCACAGAGGTCTTTCGGGCTTCGACCACATTCATCTCGTGGTAAAGTCCACCTACAGACAGCTACAACTCGACTCAGCTGTTGGTCAGATGGTCAAGGTGCCTCTGAAAGTCAGCAAAGAAGTCAGGTTAGATCAGGTAGACTGGTACCTGCGCCGCGTCGAAGAGCCCTCTACGGTTACGGTTTATCTTGACGAAGCCGTATCAGTAGAAGCATGGGTCAATGATGGACCTGAAAACCGCCGGCTTTTGATTGAGAACTCTCAACTTGGTGGCTTCTTGTCTGCTGTGGCCTCAATTAGCTGGGTGGAGGATCCCCACAAGCTTGCCCGATGCTTTGTGTCCGACGCCCTGATGACTGAATTCGCCTCAATGTCAAACCGGCTCCAAGCCCAGAACATCTTGCTGAACAGCGAACTCCGAATTAACCTTCCCACAAGAGAGATGAGCATGTTTGTGTCTGCCCTTCCCATTGTCCAGTACGACCATCGACTGGCCTTACTCGTTGCGCAGTGGTCAAACAGTCCGCTTGTTAACGAGACCAAGTTGGAACTGGCGGCTATGATGACTTTGGATCTGCTTGAATTGTTCAAGCTGCCTGAGGGACAAACGGTGCAGCTCAACGATCTTGTCAAGGTTTGCGGCGGCTCAGCTATTCGTCTTGTCCAGCAAGGCGTTATCTGGCTGGCGCTTGGAATGCTTAAAGACTGTCAGTACATGACTGGACAATTTGGAGGTGCCAATCCGAATAGCCTCCATGAGTACCATCAGATTGGAGATACTGCGTTACGCATCTGCATTCCACTCTGTCAAAGGTTCATCGAGGTTTGGAGACAGTTAAGGCACGCTATGACAAAGGCTGGATATCCCCTGGCTACTGATGCTGAAACTCTTTACAAGCAGCTGAGTAAAGCTGAATGCTACGAAATTCAGTCACACCTCCTTCTTGCCTACATCTCTCAACTGAGTTTGGGTGGAAAGGCCAGGGACGGACTCCGGTGGAAAGACGTGACGACCAAACGTACCATCAACGGCGAAGCTGGTTGGACACGAGGCCTGTTCTCCGCTACCGGCATTCTCGAAGCAGAACCAGACAGCAACGAGTGCCTCTTTGCCATATATCATCAATTGGCCCGAAACGGGTCCACCGTCAACTTCCTCGACTGGACTTACATTCCAACGGATATTGTTGAAGAATGGCATCACGAGAACTGCCAGGGTCAAGAACTGACCAGTGTTCTCGACGTGGTCGCAGGGCCCTGTCCCAATATTGATGATGTGTCCCAGGAGTGGGAAGATGAAGATTTTTAGATCAGGTTATTGAATTCTATCTCTACTAAGTAATTCCCTAATTTATGACTTTATTATATAGTAAAGAACTAAACTTATAATTATTTAATTATACTAAAGTATAATATTCAAGAGTTCTAGTAAGTATAAAAAGGTATAGTTCTTATTAAAAGATTACTATTTAAAATATTAATTAAGTTAATTTTATTCTTTAATAGAGGTATTGAAAGATAATTAGAAGCCTAAGTTAATTTTTAATATAAATTTATATAATATAAATTAAAGAACTAATATTTATAATATTAAAAGTTTAAAAAAAAGTATTACTTTTTATTAATATAATAATAAAATAATATCTCTTTTTATTCTTATTTATTAAATAAAGTTAAGTTATATATATAAAGCTTAATAGGTTTTTATTTAAATTATAAAGATTAATTTAAAATTAAAATTAAATTATTTAAAAAAAGAGATATTTTCCTAAATAAATAATACTAAAAAGTATTACTTTTTTTAAATATAATAATAGAATAATATCTCTTTTTATTCCTATTTATTAAATAATATTAAGTCTTATATATATAAAGCTTAATAAGCTTTATAGGTATTTTTATATTATTAAGAAATAAAATAATAATTAATATAATAAGTAATTATATTAAATTTATAAAATTACTTACTTTTTAATTTATATAGAAATCTTTATTATTAATATTATTATAGATTTAATTAGAATAATTAGATTTCTTTTTTAAAGGTATTATTAAACTTTATATAAGTAATAAGCTTCTATTTAAATTATAAAGATTATTTTAAAATTAAAATTAAATTATTTAAAAAAAGAGATATTTTTCTAATTAAATAATAATAAAAAGTATTACTTTTTATTAATATAATAATAAAATAATATCTCTTTTTATTTCTATTTATTAAATAAAATAAACTTATATATATATAAAGCTTAATAAGCTTTATAAAGATTTTTATATTATTAAGAAATTAAATTATTATTAATTTAATAAATAACTTTATTAAATTTAATATATTATTACTTTTTAACTTATATAAAGACCTTTATTAGTAATATTTTTATATATATTATTAAGAAATAGAGTTATAATTAATATAGTAAGTAACCTTATTATATTTAAGATATTATTACTTTTTGGTCTATATAGAGACCTTTATTATTAATATTTTTATAGATTTAATTAGAATAATTAGAACTTTTTTTAAAGATATTATTAAGCTTTATATAAATTAATATTTTTATAGATTTAATTAGGATAATTAGATCTTTTTTTTTAAAGATATTACTAGGCTTTATATAAATAATAAGTTCTTATTTAAATTATAAAGATAATTTTAAAGTTAGAATTAAATTATTTAAAAAAAGAGATATTTTCTTAACTAATTAATAATTAAAAGTATTACTTTTTATAAATATAATAAGAAAATAATATTTATTTTTATTTACTTTATAAAACTAAATTATATATATATATATAATTAATAACTTTTTATTTAAATTATAAAGATTATTTTAAAATTAATATTAATTTATTTTAAAAAAGAGATATTTTTCTTAATAAATAATAATAAAAAGTACTACTTGTTATTAATAAACTATATAAATAATATTTCTTTTTTTATTATAATAGAATTTATTAAATAAGAATATTAATAAATCTTTATAGAAATATTTTTATATATATTTAAGTTTTACTTTTTAATTAAAGTATATTTTAAAAAATAAAAATAAAATATATTTTAATTCTATAATAGATTTAATATACTATTTAACTAGATTGTTTTAATAATTATATAATAAATAGATCTTTTAAAATCTTTTAATTAAATATTTATATAGCCTTTTTAAATATTTATAAAATAACTTAAAATATATATTTATTTCCCCTTTATTTTAATTTAATATAAAGTATTTTATTTTATTTTAATTATTAATTTAATATCTTCTTTTTACTAATAGCTTTATATATTATATTATACTTATTATAGTATTAAATATTTAAAACTTCCTTACCTCTTATTACAGTGAGCTATTTAGGTTATTATAGTAAACTCAAAAATTAAGATATATTTTAGTGGTATATTAGAACTTTTATATACCTCCTATAGGCGCCTTTACTATTCACCCGTTATCGTTATTAGTAGTTAACCTCAATTTTATATATCTTTAAAAATTCATAGATATTCATACGAAACAAAGTCAGTTCTTACTTATATTCCACTGTTATATACTGTGATTGCGTGCTAACAAGCTCATTAAAATTCACAAAGTTTTCGACAATGATGTAATGATTTATATTGACTGAAGGAAGTGCGGTGATCCTCTCGATGCTTCCCTGGTAATACATAAATCGTCACTTCCTGCGGCTACATGGACTTGGATCCATTCCCGGCTCGGGAATCATTCTTCCTCTTCCTAACCCCTGCGAATGCATCTTCCGCCACTTTGTATAGTGACCGATACCGAGGTATCCGAGCAAACTCACCGACTCCAAATCTGGGTCTCTTGTCTCCCTCATGCCCAGCCCAGACATAGAAAAGGACGAATCTTCCTTGGATATCGTCCTCTATACTCCATGCTGAGTTATGGGCTGTCGACACGCCTGGACTGCTTGGGTAATGGAGGATTTGTTCTCCCTCAAACGAGTAGTTCCTGATTGAGTCTTGCTGGAGTGAGACTACAGCAAACAGGGTGTACCAGCACTCCACATCCTCCATCTCGATACCATCCAACTGATAGATCGGGATCTTGAAATCCTTGATCGTAGAGAACGGAAGAGGGGCCAGGCCTGATTTTGTGCTGTAATCAACCCGAATGAAATGTGGCTCTGCAGATATCTTGACGTATTCCAATCCGCTTTTCTTCTTGCGCTCAAATTGTTTTCGTACGTATTTTTGGAATGGGAGATTCGGACTTTTATTGCGATCAACGATAATACGTGGGATTTTTGTATTTTCGACCGGCAGAACGATTTCGTTTTGGCCTGGACTGCCCATCAACATAGCTCTCCAGAGGACGAACTCAGGTTCTTTCCATAAAGTATCTGCCATCAAGTCTGATTCGAGTATCGTTTCGAAAGACACACTTTCCGCACTCTCCGATAGTCCAAAGAGAGCAGCGACTTCTTGCCTGGCCTGACTCCACTCTGGAATACTTTCGGGATGCTCGTAATTAACGTCTAGCCAAGCGAGGGCCAAAAGAGGATTCTTCTTTTCGCGTTTGATATTCTCGGCGGTTCTCTCCCAGTATTTCGGAGTTAAATAACAGTAGATACATCTAATTAACGTAATTATGCAGTTAATACCTCTCGTATTGGCCGTGATAACAGGAGGGAGGTATATCTACAGGGTCCTCTTCAGCTTAAATAAATTATAGTTTAAGTCAAGCCTTTCGTAGAGGTCTTTACTGTATGCGATCTAATCTATAATAACTTAACGAATTAAGAATAATAAAAAGTATGTAAGAGAAGAAGGAATTGTTATTTTTATTTTATTTTATTACTAAGCGCAGTATAGGGGCTATATAAATCATACAAAAGTAGGTACAGTAAGAAACTACAGTAAGTCACTAAGAGCAGCATTTATACTTAATAACGTTAGATTATATATAATCTTGGATAAAGCTAATAAAATAAGAAGATAGTAGATGATCGCAACTCTCATATACCTACCGGACTAAGAGTCGTTTACTATAAGTCGTTTGATATTAATGTTCTCATGTTTGCTCTGAAACTGCACAGCTCGAGCAACAAGCCGGTTTTGTTCTTCAAGCATCATTTACTGTTCTTTCAACTTAGGCTAAGCTTAGAATTAACAAAACGCCATCATCTCATCTCACACGAACATTGCTTTCACTCAGGCTCGTTTGCAAAGCATTAGAAGTGATAGTGGTGTTGTTGACTTGCAACTGTAGAGCATGATGTGTTTGGTCACCCCAAGCTTGGCAGGAAATCATCATCAACTCATCTCACACAAACATACCTTCACTCAGTCTCATCTAGAAAGCATTAGAAATAGTATTAGTATAAGTAAATTTTAATTGTAAAGCAAGATGTGTGAACAATGAGACGCACTGTTAGCGTGCCGCAGTTATCTGGGTGAATATTTGTGCTCCACAAATCTATAAGGTATTCATTCTTCACTCTTCCAAACAGTCCTCCCGCTTTCTTCCCGCATCCCATTCTCACTCTTCACAACATTTGTTTACCATCATGGCTTCATCGGACGGGGATGTGCGTTCCTTGGAGATCCCTGAAAAGACGACACCCGACGTCCCAGACTCCCTCGTCAAAACCTTCAATACGCGCTCCTATTTCGCTCTCCTCTGGAAGATGTGTCTTCACATTCTCCATATCAGCCCTTATTCACTATTTTCTCCCCTTCGCAAGCTCCATGCCGATACGTCCCTTACATACTACAACGAAACCTTCTCTCAAGAGCTGTGCCGACTCATCACGCACGGTGCTATAGCTGGAAATCGCAAACGTCTTACTCTTCTCTTACAGTTTGCTGTCATCTGCCGCACCGACGATCGTCGACACTGGAATCTGCCAGTCACCCATGATGTCGAAGTCCTACAAGAGTTGCGTAAAGCTATCGCTACTTCAGAGGATCCTCTACCCACTTCGATACCCGACATGCTCAACGATCTCCTGCTCCAAGTCCTCCCTAGTCCCTCCGACGAAGTCAACTCTGGCAACCTTCCTGAAGGCCCTCCGTATTCCTGGAGCTGCGAAACCCTGCCTGTCCTGATGAGTCACCTCAGTTGCATCGCCCGCGAGAGTTCCACGGACGCCTCTGGTCCCAACGTCACCATCTACCAGGGGTTTGACGTTTATAGCGTCTCCACGATCGATCTTCAGAATATCCGAAAGGCAATCGACATTGTCAGCATTTTCAACAGTCCAAAAAGTGACCTCTCGTTTAGTGTACAGAGCTACTTCGACAAGTACAAATCCCGTTGGCCTCTCGACGACCGTGCACCGCGCGACAGAAAGGAGTTGAAGAGGTTTATAAAAGCTTCATATCGTGAGAATTATCGGAAAATTATCGATGCTCAGAAACTTGCTGGTCGTTAGTGCGGCACCGACTGGCAAGCAGGAGTCAGTCTAAGAACATGGACGAGGTTGATAATTTTATGCTGGAAATATGGACAGATAAAGCTCATGTATTTGCTTCTCATAGTAGACATGAATTTCAACACCTCATCATGTACTATCATATGACGATAGTAATGAAGAGATACCTCAACCCGATGTCTCTCCGAACAGTCTAATCCTTTTTGACAGGAACCTTTCGGTACTGGACAGTCTCAACTCCACTGTCGCTGAAAGTCCTTTCAGCCACAACCTTGTAACCTCCGATTCGTGGAAAGACCTTTGTCCAAAAGAACCAGTAGACAACTCCGAGCAGCAAAACACCGACACCGACAACGGGGAACACGTAGTACGGATAGCCATCGGCATTCCAGTCACCATCAGGTGGAATGAACGGCACGAAAGCGAGGAAGATGTTGGCGAGCAGATAAATAACGGCGATTGGGAGGTACGTGTGCCAGGGTGACGTCCAGTTCTCCGATTTGCTGTAGTGGAGGTAGATGAGACCGGCCGTAACGAATCCGTTGATCCATGATCCGGGGTAGGTGTACCTGAATTGTCAGCAAAAGCGTGTCAATGAGAAGAGTGACATACAAGTTGACGATAAAGTTGTACGCAGGACCTGCAGGCGGTGCAAGCAGGACAACAACGGTAACAGCCCAATGGAGGAAGAGCTACATTGTTAGTTGAAAATAGTATGGAGACAGAGGATGCAAACTCACAGCTGGGCTAGGTGCATTGAAAGGCTTATTTGATGCCCAGAAGCGACTAAAAGGCAGCATTCCCTCTTTCGCAAGCTCTTGGTTCACTCTCGCGTGTGCAAACGAAACAGCCAAGACGTTTCCAAGGTTACTCAGAGCGACAAACGCTGGAAGACTTCGGGCAGCTGCACCCTCGCCAAAGATGTTCTTGAAGAAGAGACCCGCCACGATGGCCTCAGACTTGGCAAGATCTGATTTTGGAATCGCAGCGAAGTAGGCTACGTTGGCGAGGACGTAGAGGATGGTGACACCTCCGACTGCAAGCGGTGCCGCGACTGACAGAGTCTTCTTAGGGTTCTTCAATTCGCCGAGGACGTAGTTGGCGTTTTCCCATCCTTTATAACTGTAGATGATGTTGAGAAGGGCATTCGAGTAGGCGTAAGCTCCACCGCCTCCATAACCATCTCCCTCTTCAATTCTGAAAGCGTGGTCGAAATTGTGAGGGTCTGGCACACGACGATGGCCTGCGAGAGCGGCAAACCCCGAAAAGACGATGAACAAGAGGATCACGACTTTGAAAACTCCCAGAACATTGAACAACCGGATACCCCATTTCGGAAGAGTGCTGTGCAGCAAAACCGAGAATGTCACGCACGCGACAGCAATTCCGCGAGCTTCCCAACCGTCAGGAGTCTCTCGCCCGGAAGCGTAAAGGATGTATCGACCGAATGCAAGAGAGTTGCCAGATGAGAATCCAAGGAGAATCATCTGCGACGCCAAGACACATGTTGCCAGGTACTTGGGATGACGATAGACTCGTTCCAGGTAATTCTTCTCGCCACCAGATCGAGGAATGGCGAGTCCAAATTCAAGGAACACACTCAGACCGCAAAAGGTGAGGAATCCGCCAATGACCCATAGCATGAGACTTATACCGACCGATCCTGTTGCTGCAAAAATGCTTGATGGAGTTGAGAAGACTAATGGTCAGTTTGGTGTGACAGCGTGGCATCAGCACTTACTTCCAGTTCCGATCATCTTATTGAGAATCAGAAAAACAGCGCCAGTGACGCCAATCTTGCGATCTTCAGTGTAGGCAAAATTTTGAGCATCAATAGTACTCGCATTGTCGGGACTTTGATCAAATCTTTCATTGTTGTGGAAGTCTTCGTAAGGCTGACCCCTCAAGCCATCAAAGGCCGTGTTCTTCTTGGAGTCCGCCATTGCTGATGCAGAATCTAACGGCACACAGCCTGTATATAAAGACAAAAAGGTTACACCGACGCAAGATTCCTCAAATGATATCGTTTGTAAATGTCGACATCGCACCCTTGCTAGATGATATCGCCAAGACATGCAGATCGCAACCCAGCTGCCCCAATGGGAAGGTCGTGAGCCCGAGCGGGCGTCTTCTGACCACAATTTAAGCATAAGCATTGGAGTAAGGTTTCCGAGTGATGATCCTGACGACTAGGGTCTATAGGCTAAGTTATGTGAGTGAGATAAAGGTAATAGTGTTATTAAATCTAATTTAGAAACAAAAGATGTGATCGCTCATCTTGGCAGAAGCACCAGGCTGCTCGAATCCAAGACTGGCCAGAGATGTCTTAGCGGCCTTGATCATACCTGGAGGTCCGCAAAGCATGATCTTGGAGTCGGGCCCAGGAGCTGGGAACTTTTCCTCCATGAGCGCCTGTGTAGCATATCCCGTTCCGTATGTCCAATCGGCAGGGGCGTTCTCGATCAAGTAATAAAGTCTAAAGTTTTGAGGGTATCGTCGTGCAAATGTCTCAAGCTCGTTTCGCAGGAGAATATCCTGTTCTGAGCGGTTGGCGTAAACAAGGCTGACTTGTGTAAGGTCGCGGTCGTCTTCGCAGATGGCTCGGATGATTTGGAACATCGGGGTGATGCCGGTTCCGCCAGCGAGCATGCCTATTCTCTTGCACAGGCCGCGTTGGTATCGCATAGCTCCCTTGGGTCCACGGAACTGGACTTCGTCGCCGAGCTCGAGATTGGCGAGGTATCTTCCAGTGAGAAGACCATCGGGATAGCACTTGATGACGAGTTCCAGTTTTCCGAGATCGTTGTTATTTGAGATGGGTGTGTATGAGCGGTTGATTGTCTTTCCGTCGATTTCTGCCTTGATAGCGAGATGTTGGCCTGTCGGTAGACCGAGAACAGTTGTGGGAGTAGGCAGGCTGAAGACCAGACGGTAGACGTTAGGAGCAATCATCTCCTTCTCGGTAAGAGGAAGAGCATGGTATGCTGCAGGATCGAGCCAGCCTCGTTGTACAAGAGGGTTGACCTTTGTCACCTTGGGCATCTTCTTGTGAGGAGCATAGCTCATGAAACCGCCCTCCTCAAAGTGGAGGTGCTTGGACAGCTTCTTCGCAGTGACGGTACCAGCTACGGTGAAGATTGCTGAAGCGATGAGGAACCCTTCAAGGAAACCGGGGCCTGATCCAGAGGTCTTGATCTTGGGGAGAGAGTTCAAAATCTCAGGGTTCAATCGGTATGCTTGGTGAAGTGCAATAGCACCGACTGAAATGGCCGCTGTGGCTGTGAGCGCGGTTGAAGTGAGGCTGTTTGAAGAGACAGCTTTCGGAGCTGCCTTTTTTAGGGTGACCGCCTTAGGGGCATTTCGCACTGGAGCACCCTTGTATTCTCCAATGTGGTACTCCTCCATAATCTCAAAAGCATCCTCAGAGTGGCCAGCACTGTCAAACTCTACCGTTGAGTCTTTGCCAGCGACCTCAATAAGCACATCTGCACCGCCAGGGTGGTCCTCAACGTATTTTGTAACATCGTAGACTACACGGTCAGTAATTTTCTTCAAACGAGAACGCGAAACATACCCTGTCCCTTGATTATTGTCCAACAATCACCACGGGTGTTGTGAGCCGCCACTTCTTTCGCAGTAAATGAAGCCATTTTGAAATACCGATCGCAATAAATTTACCAACCAAACCAAAGCGGACACAGCTCATTATATCAATCGCAATCAAATACCGACGCAAGGATTGGCCATTGCATTTCCTAATTTAGTCAAGCCGAGGCTCAAGGGCTTTTCTCGGCCGATGGTGGGTCCGGAGCCGCCGGGCCTCCGTGCGACCCCCGACTGCCACGTCCACGGCCTTTGAATGGTTATAAATCCGTCGGTCAGGGCAATTTATGGACCAGAATGAACCAATTGACCGAGGCACGGAATTCGGTTTCACAGATATTCGCCGTAGGACGTCCAAAGCCGTTTCTTATCTCTGGCTAGTCATGGCCTGATGAACCAAAGCAGTGATATTTCCGTTAGTGAAATGACCGATAGCGAACCCTGCATTAGCCACCAATTACGCATGAATATTCGTACTCACTAGCGAGGCTCTGCGGAGAATTACAGGTGGGTTCAAACGCCACGTCGTAATGCCGTGTCTAACTTGGCCGGCTTGTCAAATTCTTCATGCCCCTATCTACCGGCATTGCAACGTTCGCCGATCCACAATACGTCGGCGGCTCTGTGCCTCGGCTTGTTCTGTCAGTCGCTTTATATAGACCAGCTAGTAATCAGAAATTTGAAGCCATTCATTTGCCATTAATTGCTCATCATCTTATCAGTTCATCATGGCTACTAAACGTTTTCATCTTATGGGCGAGGACCCTTCAACCGCCCAAGAAATTGAGTTGCATTCATCATTAGACGAGCAGAGTCTACAACATTTGGTTGCGTCGCATTTTGCAATTGTTAATCCCAATGGTATGCTATTGTCAATTGACTCATGAAAGCCGCTAACCTTTTAGGCATTGGCTTTGTTACGGATTCAGAGGCGCTCACAACAGTTGCTGATGTCCTTGGTGCTGACAACATTGCCATCACCATCGATGGAAAGGCTGTTCGTGAGGTCCCAGGCCCCAAAGGACTGCCTCTTGTAGGCAACTACTTCGAGGTCTACCCCGATCATCTCGGTAACCATCAACGGTTGTTTGAGAAGTATGGTCCTTTGTTCAGAACAACAAACATGGGCAGCACCATCTACCACACAAACGACCCCCAGCTAGCCACTATTGTCTTTGGCGAGACAGATTTCTTCTCAAAGAGAATCATCGACGGCCACCCTCTGAACCCTATCAAGAACAAGGAAGCCGGTGTGTTCCTTGGTGATACTGATACTGAGGAGTGGAGAGAGGTGCACAAGTTCCTGCCCCCTGCTCTTGGACCTAAGGCTGTGCGCCATTACGCTCCCACCATGCAAAAGACAGTTGAGGACGCTTTCAAAGTTTTCGATGAGCTTGATGAGCGTGACGAGGCTTGGAATGTATACCCTTATATGCTTAAGCTTGGAGCACAGGCTGTTGGAAAGCTGGTGCTCGGTATGGACTTCCAGCACTTTACATCTCCTGATGCACGACCACACGCCATGGTGTTGAGAATTGCGCAGTCTCTGGAACTCAACAAGAAGATTACATCTATGGGCAGCTGGTACAAGAACCTTCCATTCGGCGACCCTCAGCGTCTGCGTGATGCTCGTGCTCACATGGAGGCTATGATGACAGAATCTGTGGAGAATGCTTCCAAGGGTGTTGGTGATTTGGAGCTTCAGGACGCTGCTGTCCAGGCCGAGAACATGGTTGACTACGTCCTCCGTGCTAGTGACAGCAAAGGCAACAAGCTACCCCGTGAGCGAATTATGGAACCTCTTGTTGTTGCGACTGGTGCCGGTTTCACCACAACCAGTTCTCTTCTCTCATGGCTTCTGTACGGCCTCGTTGCATACCCCGGTATGCAGGAGAGACTCCTCCAGGAAATGGTTGACAACGGTTTTGATGAGAACACTCAGATTACTGCTGATTTGACCAACAAACTCACATTCCTTGACCACTACATCAAGGAGACACAACGACGACACAACCCCTCATACCAGCCTGCGCGAACATCATCAGTCGATATGATTCTCCCCGGTGGTTACAAGCTCCCCAAGGACTCCATCGTTATTCCCGCTCTCCACCACATCCATAACAACACTAAGATCTGGGACAACCCTGCTCTATTCGACCCTGATCGCTGGGACACCGACCGTGTCAAGAACCGTCCCAAGGACTCTTACATTCCCTTCGCCACTGGTCCTCGTATGTGTGTTGGTTTCAACTTTGCTCTACAGGAAGTGAAGGTGTTTTTGCCCAAGCTGGTGTATCGATACAAGTTCAGCATGGCTCAAGATGGACCTGTGGAGTATGATCCTATGTTCCAGTTGATTCGCCCGAATAACCTATATGTGAGGGCTGAGAGGAGAATAAAGTGGCCTTCAAAGAGTGATTAAGCGGGTACATGGGACAGGTATAGACAAAAGTTAGATAATAACATAATGTACAACAATTAGATGAATTTTGTATAAAGATGCAGAGTGAATTAATTCAATGTTCCGAATTTGGATGGAACGTCAATTAGACAGGATTACGGAACAACCTTTTCGTACTCTTTACTCAAGTGATATTGATACGAATATCAAAGTCTTTCATATAGTCCTAACGATGCGTGTCACCGACCGTGGCCCGTTGATCCATAACTTGGATGACTACTCTACACATAGCATTATCGACGCGCGTGAATTCAGAAAGAGCTTTGTCTGAGCTAGATAGAAGCCTAAATAATGTAAATCGAATGTCTTTAGCTACCTGAGAGACCAGTCAACTTGTGTCCATATCGACACCCTCATACGGGTTCAGCCATTGATTATAGAGTCGTCTTTTTCAAAGTTTGGTGGAACGCTTTGGCGCGAATAAACTCTTCAGGTATCGACATATTTAATTCTTCATTGCAGATATGTAACTACATTAATGTCACCCAAAATGTTGTTTATTTTTCTGATAATTGCAAGGCTTGATTCTATGTGTGGTGTTAAGTATTATAAGCCTGATAAATTCTACTCATTCTTGAGACTAAAAGACCATGAGAATTTATAAGCATGGTGTTTACTTGTTGTTGTTTGGTAAAGAGTATGGCTATAGTCCCATTACTCTGTAGAATACGTGCTGGGGTTTGATGTTTTCCTGTATTCCCTGTAGACCGCGGCGTACCAGATCATTGATAGAAGTACCCAAACTTGAAGCTCACCACATACTGCTGAGTCTCTGAGTCGTCATTATCGAACGACGATGAAATTAAACTCTTTTGTGTATTTTTCGGAGCTGTGACCATAGGAAAGAACTGCCTCAAATTTTGATCCGAGTCTGCAGTCCTCTTTGTACTGGCACCATCACCTGTAGACTCGCCAAATACAGTTGTCTCTACTGCAATCCTATCGTCGGTCAGTTTTGTTTCGTCAGTATGCAACAGTTTCAACAATTGTTGTTTCAGAAATCTACAAAGTAAGATAAAAATTAGAGTAAACTAGTTACAACTCATATGGTTATATAATCTTATCCTAACAGTATTATTAAATCTTCTGATCATTCTTATATCCTTATGGAATTGCACCAAACTAATAACAGGCTCATCTCGCCATTGATCCTCCGCGTAAGCGCTAAGCCAAACAAGGTTCCTTTAGCTCTTAGTTAGCAGCCTGGATTAGCCACTTCAGTGGCAGTGCAGTACAAGCTAAACGTTTTAGCTACTGTGACTCCCTCTAGACCCAATCTTTCACGACAGGCAGCGCCCCGTGAGGATCACCATGACAAGGGTTCCCAGTTTACGTATTTTTGTTTTAATCCGCTTGCTCGGACTTGCAATGCGAGCTCAATGTCTTAATAAATTAACTCTACCCGTCCCAGCCTCATTTTCCCCTCACATCACCCAAAATGTCGCCGGTATCGCCAGAAGCCAGCTCTTCGACTCCCGTTGACACGATTGCGCCTCCGTCGTACACAGCCAACCCTGAAGTGAGCACCGAGGAGAAGATCGCCGTTGAGTATGTATTCCCTGCGTGTTCGCGCGACGCTGCTGACTTGTTGTAGACAGCCACACATCGACGACGAAAACCTCCCCGAAGTTGTAACCGAATCGATGCATCAGACGCACACGAGCCCTCCGCCTGTGAGCGAGTATAATCCTACATCTTCTGTTTCGCCTGTGCCGACGAGTATAGCGAATTGGGATGGACCGGAATCGCCGCCGATTCTGCAACATCCTGCTCTTGCGCAGCAACAATACTCTGGACACGAATCGATGGCCGCCATTCCGATGCAACAAATACCACAACAGCCGGGAACCACTGTCACGCCTCTGCATTTGCTAGCCGATCAAGCCGATTCCGTGGATTGTCCATTCTGCCAGCGCCAAACCGAAACAAAGGTCAAGAAGTCTGCTTCTTCCATGACACAGTAGGTCTTCCGGTCCTGTGTCGAGCTTTCTAACTCTAGCAGCATCTACGCCACTGTCCTTTTCTTCACGACCTTTTTCGGTGTCATTTTCCCATACGCATGCCATTGCGCGTCAAACATCAGCCATTTTTGCAAGCATTGCGGTCGCAAGGTCGCATTCAAGGAACGAGGAGGAGAAATGGAGGGGCTGGGCACGCCTGACCATCTGAGGGAGGTTTCCAAGTATCCTGCCACTCAGTAGCAGTAATAGTGTATTAGGAGTATGGCGTTGGTGCTAGCGATATGTCTATTTATTACTCCTGCTGTTCATCAGCAAGGAGAGGTGCTCTCTCGGGAGTCTTTTTATCCTTCTTCATTCCGTATGATGCGATTGTGTAGATGCCAAAAACACCCATGAATGTGCTGAATGCGAATGCGATGATACCTTTGAAGGTGAATCTGTTGTTGTTAGTCAAGTCACACAATTGATTGCAAACATACCCTTCAGGAAGACGCGGCGGAGGAACATTCTCTCCGGAGAGGTCGAGAAGATCTGTGTTTCCTGCGGCATTGCCGACGGTAGGGATATCGCCAGCTTTGCATGCATCAAGGTGGTTCTTGGGGAGCTTCAATGAAGCCTGTAGCGCAAGAGGATCCTCAACAAATGTCGCGATCAGCCCAGACGTGACGTGCCATTCGATGTGACAGTGGAATAGCCAGACACCTAACAATTAGCTGCGTACTACCCACAATACTCATACGGACATACCTGGGTTGTCAGCCTTGAATCGAAGGACCGCATTTCCATTTCCTCTCACAACGATAGTATCCCGTCGCATCGGCGTGTCGGAAAAGGTTTCTGTGCCTTTGAAGTCGCCCTCGTCGTCTTCACTGCGATGCAGCACTTGAAAGTGATGACCGTGCAAATGGAACGGGTGTCGGCCGTCGTCTCTGTTGTTAACCACCACTTGCACAATCTCATCCTTCTTCAAGACAAAGCTATGCGTATACGTTCCGTAGATCTGTGGGTTTGTCGCCTCCTTTCCACTCGTGAGGGCAGTATAAAGAGTGGGAACTTTGGGAGCCCGGTAGGTAATGTTGTTGAAGAAAGCGTAGTTGGCGCCATCACGGAGATTATCCATGACTACGTCCAGTTCAACGTTCTTGCTGGGTTCAGGAAGCCTGGCCATCTCATCGTACGGCACAAGATCCATGTCGTCGTACGGATCGAATTCATAGATGACAGATGGCTCGGGGAGAGCCTTTTCTTGATCATACACAAGCCATCCTGTGACATTGTAGTTGAGATCATCCGGGAGTACGTCAAAAAGATCCTAAAGGTCAGCTTGATAATCAAAGGATAGGCTAAATCATAGGACAGGCAACTTACTGTGTCCATGCTCGCAACAATGGGAAAGTTGGCTGAAGAGTCCTTCTTGGTGGTAATCAAGACACTGCAACGTTGACCAGCAGACAAATAAATCATATTTGCTTCGACTGGTTTCGTGTATGCACCATCCACTTCAACGATAGTCATATTATGCCCTTCAATCCAGAAGAATTGTCCAGCGAATGCAGCGATATTGGCAAGCCGTAAGAAATATGTCTTGCCGGGTTGAACTGCAACTTTGAGGTCTTGGGTCTCGTTCATAAGAGCAGCTTGGGGAACGGGCTCAGCACCAGTTGGGTTGCCTTTTCTCAGAAACTCTGGAATCAAAGTCTGCATCTGATCGTGGTACCAGTCCGAGAGGGTCATGATGATTTCTTCATCGTATTGTCCTTTGAAAGGTGACTTGGGGTCGTGAATGATGAGAGGGCCTCGAAGGCCATCGGGATACTGGCTTTCAGTGTGCGAATGATACCAGTATGTTCCAGGTTGGGTGATCTACACTGTTAGCATGATTCTCAATGACTGGTTGTACATACCGTGAAGTTGTAGAGGAACGACTCGCCCGGCTGAATTGGACACTGCGTAACTTGCGACGGCCCGTCCATATGGTTTGAACCATTCATAAATAAACCGTGAAAATGCAACGACGTGGACTGATTCCCCAGATTATTCCTCGCGTTCACCAAAATCGTATCACCCACAGTCGCCTCGATCCTGGGAATCGGCCACCGTCCATTAATACCAATCGTAGGCCTCTCAAAGGCGCCATCAGGATTCGCTCTGACCCATTCAATAGTGAAATCATAAGACACCGTAGCAGCCGAAGCCGCGGGCATCAAAAACGCAGCCAATCCAAAATGCATGTTGTTGACGAGCAAAAGTCGGAGCGTGCGTGGGGCAGGGATCTTATCAATCAGATAATCCGACGTCGGGAATGTTGACGTGCATTTTGCGCGGTTATTGGTCTTTAACTACCCCTAAAATCCATCAAGGGCTTTATCATCCGGGCAGAATTTTCCCAAGCGACAGGTGATCCATGTCTTGACAGCTTGTGATTCGGTATTTTGGTAAACCAAGTGGGCATCGTGTGACCTTAGTCCAAACCCGGCCGAGGCAATTTGAAACGAATGCTTGGCGTGCGGTTGTCGGAATACACTCAAATTCGCGTGCGTTATCTGATCTTGCTCAATCATCATCGCCAAAATGCTCGATCTATTCTCCGTCCCCGTGTTTGTCGTCGTATTTCGAGAGACTCTCGAGACCGCCATTATCGTGTCTGTTCTGCTAGCGTTTCTGAAACAGACCCTCGACGGATCCCAGCACGATGCTGTGTATAAAACCCTGCGCACACAGGTGAGTTTGTCGTCTGTCGATGTCGAATGATGCTAATTGTCAGGTCTGGCTTGGGACTGCCTCTGGATTCGCCCTTTGCGTTATTGGCTCTGGTGTGATTATCGGCATCTTCTATATCCTCGGGAATGACACCTGGGCGGATCATGAATATTACTATGAAGGAGTATTCTCGCTCATTTCGGCCATCATCATCACCATCATGGGCGGAGCTTTGTTGCGCGTCGGAAAGATGGAGGATAAGTGGAGGGCAAAGTTGGCAAAGGCGATTGAAACCCCAGTGACAGCTCATGGAAAGCGGGCGTGGCTTGTCAATTTCTTTGAGAAATATGCCATGTTTGCGCTACCTTTCATCACGGTCCTCCGCGAGGGCATTGAGGGTATTGTTTTTGTGGCTGGTGTGTCTTTTTCTGCACCTGCTTCTGCTGTTCCTCTGCCTGTAATTATGGGATTGGCGCTTGGCGGACTTGTTGGATACGCTCTATACCGGTAAGTTGCGCGAACCGTGAACTGACGGCATCTAACTCTTGTAGGGGCGGTTCATCTGCAAAGCTACAGTATTTCCTCGTAGCATCAACTTGCCTTCTTTACCTGGTCGCCGCAGGTCTCTTCTCTCGCGCCATTTGGCTCTTCGAGCAGCAGCAGTGGAACAAGGTTGTCGGCGGTGATGCCGCGGAACTCGGAGATGGTCCTGGATCGTACGATATTGACCGGAGTATCTGGCACGTTAACGTAAGTTGTCCGTCGCCGTCCGTGAAGACCTACTGACAAGACAGTGCTGTAACCCCCAGCTTAACGGTGGAGGAGGATGGGCTATCCTGAATGCTGTTGTTGGTTGGAACAACTCTGCTACGTATGGTTCTGTCCTTGCCTATAACCTGTACTGGGTATTCGTCATTGCGCAATTTTCTGCCATGACATACAAGGAGGATCACGGTCACTGGCCATTGACCAAGGCTAAGGAGCATGTACGAGTTGATTAGATGAGTTTATTGTGAAGTCAAATAAAGCAAAACCATTATCGCGCGTTCGTCCATACACCCGCTACATGCACGCTTCCGTAAATCACCTAATCCTCAACCCGGGGCTTCTTGCGAGGTCGTCCAGGTCCACGCGCTGTCTTGCGCTTATCGGTCGAAGCACCGCTAGCCAATAGCTTAGCCTCAAATTTCTCCAGCTCTCCAGGGGCAATTGTGCGGATCTTGGACTCCTGCTCCCAAGTTGAATCGGTTGCGCGGTATCCAACCCATTGCACCTGGTACATGTACTTGTCGCCCTTGGCCTTACCGGGACGCGTGGTGCGCTTGAGGATCTTGAACGCATGGTAGATGTCAAGGTTGGTGGCAGCCTCGCGACCGCCGAGCTTGTCCCAGTACTTGAAGATAAGCCCGGGGACCTGCTCCTGTAGACTCCATTCTGGTTCCCAAGATTTTTCGCCGCCTTCCCACTTGACCTGGATATCGACGGTCGAGTTGTCGGGGTCGACTCGATGATTAATGAATTCCTCAATCGCGACGTCTTCCTTAAATCCGGGATTGACTTTTTCGGGGGAGTCTCCGTTCAGCTGCGACCTTTCGCCGTTTTGCTCGGGAATTTCGGGTTCGGGGCTCTTGGACTTGGGGCTTTCAGGCGCTTCAGGCTCAGGAGCCGACGCGATAACGCGCTTCTCAACGGGAGTGCCTTTCTTTGGTGTGCTGACCTTGAGGCCTTTGGGAGTACCAGTGCGAGGTGTCGTAACTCGAGGAGTTCCGGCGCGTGGCGTGCCAGTAAGAGGAGTGCCAGATCGTACCACCGGAGAGGCCTTGATGGCATCAGGCTTCTCGCGATGAACTAGACCATCGTCCTTTGAAGGAGTGCCGGCCATGGCGTCTCTCGACTTGAACGGCGAAACTGGATAGTCGTAAGGATCTGAACAGTCAGCACATGCGACATGTGCGATAAGGGATCAAATTACCTTTGTTTGGCGATACCATGACGATGAAGCCAAACTCACGATGATCGCGATTGACTTTGTCGTTATTCTGGGAGTTGAGCTTGATTTCAGTGGTAGCACTTATTGCGTCACTGCTGTTGCTGGTCGCGAGTTGAAGCCAGGCGCGTTGACCAGCAACGCGTTGATATGGGGCTGTGACGCCACAATCAGCCACTGCTGACTGTAAGCTGTGAAGGTTCAGGAACAGGTAAGGAGTGTGTTGCGATTGTTTGGTTGCTCGTATGCGTTTGATTGCTGTGTAGCAATCAGTAAAAGTTTAAGAGGCCTCTTTAAAGCTCGTTCAATATTCTTGATCACCGCTTGTGTGATTCACAGTCGCCCCAGTGGCATGATACCAACTTTCTGCCTGCGCGTCTACCTCGCATCACGTGAATCTTCAAGTCGTTACTCAATCCAGTAATAATGCTAATAGATGGTGAGTTGATGGTGTTCGATGGCGAGAATTGATGTATTTGTTGATGTATTTGTTGATGAACGTGTAACCGCCAAGTACGAAGTCATGACTTTGCTGCCGTTCATGTAGAGTGGATACCCTATACGGATACTAACGTTGTATATGAGTTGCACAGATCACCATCGAATTATGAACTGCGAAATATTTAATGTCTGTGTCATGATGGTCAGCCAGCGAAATATCTGAGTAAAGTCTCAGAAGAGGAGTTAAGCGAGTGCAAACATCTCGATTAGATTTCTTCCAGACTATACATCAGACATATGGGGAGTAGGGGCATTTATCAATGGGTCTGATCACGCTCTCATGAAAGGGGCAGATTTACTAGATCATGAGAATATGGCAAGCCTCCGCTTTTTAACTCAGAAAAGGGAGCAATATTGGGATAAAAAGAGTGTCAATGACAAATGAATGGCGAGCCTTTGAGATCTCACAAACCTGCAGAAATCCAACCGTACTGTGATATCATGACACAGAGCTGGTTTGGATCCGTCCGCAGAAAGTTGATTCCACGGGCAAATATGCATGTATTCAATATTTAAACACTGTTTAAGAGCATTAACTCGATAATGCTAACACAATTCCATGCTACTGTGGCATTGTTCTGGAATTGACTGACCAAAAAAGCCATGGTCATGAGCCTGAGCCAAAGAAAACGGAACGTTCAAGACATCAGAACTACTCTAAGCTCACGTTTGGTAAATAAATATCACTATGTTTTAACATGTGATACTGTTGATATAATTTATTCATGCTGTATAGTCTCGAATGTGTTAATGTGGGTGCAATGTCAAAGGTTGACCTGCAGACAACTTCACCATGCTAGAATTCGAGATTGTACTTAGCAACACTCAATAGTGATACCCGGTGAGAGACTCAACCTCGAATGGAGTTGCATACCAGTGAACCAATCAGATCTTAGCAATTACAGATTCTTGTAAAGGTGATGTTCATCATGGTAATCCAATTCAACACTGTCCAGTTAAACAGACGCGTGGTTGCAAAATCTTTTCCGCAACCCATGAGAGTAGTACAACAATGAGGCCTCGGATTATGAGAATGTCATGAATCCTCACATGATTTCTCACCAATTCACATAAATAATCATCTAGTTATCCATTTGTTATTTTTGATAATTCGAGATAATCTGTGGCCCATTAGTCCCCAGTCCCCAAAACAACGAAGACTAGAAAAGAAAATTCTCCCTTTAGTAAATGACGCCTTAGACGCCATTGACGTTAGTAGCCGGTAGATCATGTTAGTTTAAACGAGCGCCAGTAAAGCTAACGCCGCACTTGTCAAAAGTACAGTAGCGGCGAGGATATTCGGCTCACGCTGTAAGAGTCTTCGTAAGTACGGATACAATACTGATGATTGACATGGGATCGAAGGATCGAAATCGAGACCAATCTCATTCTAGATTAAGTGGCTCCATTCATTAACTAAATGGCGAATATTCACCCATGATCTGAGCCCTGGCAAGCAATACAGCCGATCTAGAACAAGTATCAATAAACCAGCATTGCATCGCCGAGGTAAAGCGTCTTAAAGCGAATTCACAAGCTAAGCGACAGGATCTGTATTGCACCCTTGGTCTGGCACGTCATCGGCTTGCATCCAACATCAAGTTAGCCTCAATATAAGCAGAACTGTGATCCCCCAAAGCCAAGAAGATCTAGACGATCTTTTGAACTTTTGTTTATCACTAGACATGAAAAGGCAGGTGAGGCTGCCAAGTGACTGGTGACTATTGACGTGGTTTGAGGTGAGTATGGTGATATTTTGACACACCCATTCTCAGGTGTGTGGCAAACTAGCAAATAAACATAAGCAAGGATGTTCGGGGAGTACGGCCTTACAGGAGTAACTTCCTCATTGGGCGTGTCTCTTGATGTTTTGAGCTGCATAGACAATGCTCATCACGAACGAAAGGACGGGGAGTTGGTAGAGAACGAATCTTACTTTATCACGCCATGGGGGATTACTTGGCGATCCAATCAATAACTTGAATTATGGTCATTGCTCGGGTAATACCATCATCCAACGTGGGATGTAATTGTCACGCCGTGAGCATCTATCTGAAGCATTCCCAATACCACGGTTCAGGTCCACCGCGCATAAACTTGAAGGGTCAACAGGAGACATTGAGCATGTAACATACAGAACCCACACTTGAAATTGGAATAGCTAAAACAAGGCCTCACAAGCTAAAAACAATGAAGTTGTCCCAAAAGGCCGGGTTATGGACGGCCGCCCGGGTAGACTTCTAACAACCATTCCTTCGAAAAGTCCAGGGTGGGTAAAATTTGCATTTTCGACAAAGGCCATTGGCCGTAGGGAAATAAGCGTGCGATCACCTCAGATCGCGCCATCGTCCCGGTCACTTTAAACCGCCCCAAAGAGGGTTTGAGCCGCAAGGCAAGATTTTCATGACACATTAGCTGCTCACCCCCAAATAAAGTATTCCCAGTGGAACGAAGCCTATTCGCTGCTCACCGCGCTTGGCCTGCCGTGGCACGATTCAGGGCCTGAGCCGTTGCCGATAACACCGTGCTCCCAGGACTCTCCGAATGTTTCTAGACTTTCGCGGGTCCCTAAGCGTGTAGAGGCTCCGCTGGGTAGTGGATACGTCCATTTTTTCATTTTGCCTTCCCATGGGGATGGGATAGAATGGGGATTGACTTGTGGGATCCTTATTAAAGGGGATGATCCCCCCCTTCATTGTGGCTCATCAGTCGAGTTTGAGTTCTGTTTTGTAGAGTCACTACCTTTACAGTCATCATGAGTAACGACGATCTCAAGGGCATTGACCCCAAGGCCAATAAAACCCACTATGTCGGTTCAGACGTTGACGAGGGTATGTTCACAGCATTGGACAGTCAGACAATCGCTAACTTGACCAGGTCGTCTTCAACATGCCGCCGATGCTAAGCGCCAGATTGGCGTTCTGAGTGCCTCTATGCTCATCTTCAACCGTGTCATTGGAACCGGTATCTTTGCCACCCCTGGCTCCATCCTCGCTCTTCTTGGAAGTCCCGGTCTGGCCCTCATCATCTGGGTTGTCGGAGCCATCATTGCCGCTGCTGGTACTGCCGTCTACCTCGAATGGGGAACCGGTATCCCCAAGAACGGTGGTGAGAAGAACTACCTCGAGTTTATCTACCGCAAGCCCAAGTTCCTCGTCACTGGCATGTACGCCTCGTACGTTATTCTGATGGGTTGGGCGTCGGGTAACTCTGTCGTCTTTGGCGAGTACATCCTTCACGCCGCCAACAAGGAAGTCGATCGATGGAACCAGCGAGCTATTGGTCTGGCTTGTGTCACCACTGCGTTCCTCATCCACGGCTGCGCTCTCAAGTGGGGTCTTCGTCTGCAGAACGCTCTCGGAGTCATCAAGCTGGCCATTGTCTTCATCATGATCATCTGCGGATTCGTCGCCCTTGGCGGACACCTCAAGATCGACGAGAAGCCCGACAACCTGCGCAACGCCTTCGAGGGCACCACCGGAAGCGCCTATGGTGTTGTTACTGCTCTGTACAACGTCATCTGGAGTTTCGTCGGTTACAGCAACGCCAACTACGCCCTCAGCGAGACCCGCAACCCTGTGCGAACCCTCAAGATTGCTGCTCCCACTGCCATCATCTCTGTCTCGATCATCTACATCCTCGTCAACATTGCCTACTTTGCTGCCGTCCCCAAGGCTGAGATCATTGCTTCTGAGCGTCTTGTTGCCGCCTCTCTGTTCCGCAACGTTATGGGCCCTGCTGCTGAGCGCGCCATGTCTGTCTTTGTCGCTCTGTCTGCCTTTGGTAACGTCCTGAGTGTCATCTTCTCCCAGGGTCGTCTTGTTCAGGAGCTTGGTCGTGAGGGTATCCTCCCTTTCTCTCGTCTGTGGGCCAGCAACCGACCCTTCAACGCCCCTCTCGCCGGTCTCTTTGAGCACTGGGTTATCTGTGTCATTGTCATCCTGGCTCCTCCTCCCGGTGATGCTTACAACTTCATTCTCAACCTCATCTCTTACCCTCTTGCCATTGTCAACACCTTTGTCGCCGGTGGTCTTGTGCACTTGTACCTTCACCGCGCCAAGTACAACTGGAACCCCCCGATCAAGGCCAGTCTCCCTGTCGCTGTCTTTTTCATGCTCAGCAACATGTATCTGGTGATTGCTCCTTTCATCGCTCCTGATGATCCCAGCCAGAACCAGTACAAGAGCATGCCTTACTACATCCACTGTGTTGTCGGTATCGGTATTTTGGTGGCTGGTGCCTTCTACTGGCTCGTCTGGGCTATCATCCTTCCCAAGATTGGTGGCTACAAGCTTGTTCGCGAGGTTCATGTTGATGAGATTGACGGATGGGAGTCAAACCGCTTCCGCCACGAGCGTATTAATTAGTTGATGTTTGTTTCTGGTTCAGTGTCGTTTAGACTTAGATAATATCCAATACATTGTGCTTACCGACGATTGAGTTTCCTGCATTAGTTCATGTTCGATCTGCATGGTCCACAGATACCCGTGGATGCATCGAAATGACAAGGTTTATGACTAAACATTTGCCGTGGTAGTTATTGATGGGAGTCTTGTCGTGTTTGCAGTGTCTAGTTCTGTGATGGCATGTTTCAGAATTGTCTCGTCTGCCCCTTCCCTTTACCTCAGGCAGCAGGATTAACAAAAATCCGTCGCCTTCCGTACTCAGTTGTCAACATCACAAGATCAATCATCAGCACTTCAACCACAGATTCAACCGCGGAGAATATCATCCACTTACATCTCCGCTCCTACCTGCACTTCCTCGGCAGACCAGCGGGTCGGTGCCAGTTCTCCCACCGAAAATGACGTCCTTGCGGATCTACTTTTGGGACCGAGCGTCGCACACTCGGAGCCACTACTGCCTCCGAATATCTCTTTTAACTATGACGAGCCGTCAATTCTAGCTGTCAAATCACATACTACAGCAATCATGTCGAAGATACTGAGAATCCAAAGGGCGAGACCCGTGACTTGGGGGAGTAGCTTCACAGTTCGAGCGCCTCGCCAATTCAGCACAACGAGGGCAGCTTTGGCAGTGCGAGGACAATCCAAGCTCTTCAAAGATGCCGATGCTGCGGTCGCCGATATTAAGAGTGGTTCAACACTTTTGAGCTCCGGATTTGGTCTCTGTGGTGTCGCTGATACTCTAATTGGGGCTTTGAATCGACGAGGTCGCGATTCTCTCAACTCACTCACAGCTGTGTCGAACAACGCCGGAGTCGAAGGCAAGGGTGGATTGGCGGTACTCACGAGCGCAGGCCAGGTCGATCGCTTGGTCTTGTCATACCTCGGAAACAACAAGGTGTTGGAGAAGAAGTACCTGACAGGCGAATTGGCGATCGAGCTCTGTCCGCAAGGCACTCTCGCTGAGCGCATTCGAGCCGCCGGCGCTGGCATTCCCGCATTCTTCACACCAACTGCAGCTCGTACGTTACCCGTCTATTGACCGAACGAAGCTAACAAGATAGACACACTTCTACAAGATGGCGAAATTCCCGTACGATTAGACAAATCAGGCGCCGTTGTGGAAAAAGGCCGAAAGAGAGAAACCCGCGAATTCAACGGCCGAACATTCCTCATGGAAACAGCTCTCGAAGGCGACGTTGCGATTATAAGAGCTTGGAAGGTCGACAAGGAGGGTAATTGTGTCTTTAGGTAAGTGGATGCTCCGGAAGCTCAATTGAATTCTTCTGACAGGTTAGATATGCGACAAAAGCTTTCGGTCCACTCATGGCAAAGGCTGCCAAGCTCACCATCGTCGAAGCCGAAAATATTGTCGAAGCTGGCGAAATCGACCCCAACGATGTCGACCTTCCTGGAATTTTTGTCGATCGAATCGTTCCCTCCACCGCGGAGAAGAATATCGAGATTCTCAAGCTGAGAGAAGATGGAAAGGAAGGTCCGCCCAAGGCTACAAACGAAGCTCAAGAGCGACGGAACCGTATCGCAAGACGAGCCTCCAAAGAGCTGAAGCCTGGATATTATGTCAACCTGGGTGTTGGAATTCCCACGCTGGCTGTTTCTTTCCTGCCTCCCGATTCGACTGTGCATATCCAGTCTGAGAACGGTATCCTTGGAATGGGTGCTTATCCTACAAAGGATGAGGTTGATGCGTATGTCTTCCATTCTTCTCTTTGAATCCGCTAACAAATCAGTGATATCATCAATGCCGGAAAAGAAACAGTGACTCTTGTTCCTGGCGCATCCGTCTTCGACTCAGCCGAATCTTTCGGTATGATCCGTGGCGGCCACGTCGATGTGTCAATCCTTGGTGTAAGTTGCGCGATCATCCTAATTTCATTGCTGACAATTGCAGGCCCTTCAAGTCAGCGCCGTCGGCGATTTAGCCAACTACATGATCCCAGGCAAGGTGTTCAAGGGCATGGGAGGCGCAATGGATCTGGTAGCCAATCCCGACAATACCAAGATTGTGGTAGCGACCGACCACTGCGCCAAGGATGGCTCATCCAAGATCAAGCAGCAATGCACGCTGCCTCTAACAGGCGCACGTGTAGTGAGCACCATCATTACCGATCTTGTAAGTCTCCTGTCCCTTGCGGCGACGACGCTAACAATGCAGTGTGTATTTGAGGTCGACAGAGAGCAGGGAACCCTGACGCTGACGGAACTTGCGCCGGGTGTGACTGTCGATGAGGTTAGAGGCAAGACGGATGCAGACTTTTTGGAGGCGGATGAATTGAAGCAAATGGAATGATACCAATAGAACTTTTGATCCAAGAACTTTTGCTACATGAATTCGCCATTGAACCCTGGTGTGATTGCCAGGTACCTACTGGTTAGAGTGTCTCCGCAGTGGGGTTGAGATAGAGTTACGCCCTTATTTAAGGTATGGCCCGATCGGCAGGGCGTTGGACCGTCCCTGACCGTTGGGCGCGATTGAACGTGGTTGATGGTGCAATAGACACCAATGCCGATGAGGAAGGTCGACGATCTCAAGGCTGGGCACGGTATGATGGGTAGTGATCATCAAGACGGTGTCAAAAGTTCCATCCGAGAAATGCCAAGAATGACAATATATATAGCAGCTGCACTTGAGTTGATTGTTGGGTTGCAGCTCAACTCATCGCCATGAGGTACTCTATCGTTTCCCTGCTTACTCTCGCCCTGGGAGCCATTGCGGTTCCCAAGGCCGATATCAAGTCTTACAATGGCTACAAGGTCTTCCGTGTAAACACTCACGGCAACTCCGACGTCACTGAGAAGCTGTCTTCTGTTACCTTTGATGAATGGGAGCACGGCTATCAGCACGTCGACATTGTTGTTGCGCCCAATGATGTGGATGCCTTTGAGAGTCTCAAGCTGGAGTACACCACTCTTCACGAGGACCTAGGCACTTCCATCACCGGTGAGAGTGTCTCCCGTAAGAAGTGGAAGCGTCAGGCCGATGACGATTCTTGGTTCGATGAGTTCCACAACTATGAGGATCACATCGACTACTTCCGGGACTTGCAGTCGCAATTTCCCAACAACTCCAAGATTGTGTCCTCGGGCAAATCCTACCAGAAGCGTAACATCTACGGTCTTCACCTCTGGGGTAATGATGGTCCTGGAAAGCCTGCTGTGCTGTACCATGGAAGTGTCCACGCGCGAGAGTGGATTGCTGGTCCTGTAAGTGGTTCGCCAATTTGAGTGTACATCGCTGACCATTAGACCCTCGAATACATCACTCTCCAGCTTGTCAAGGGTTTCAAGGGCGGCGACACGGATGTCCAGTCATTCTTGAACAAATATGACTTTTACATCTTCCCATTTGTCAACCCTGACGGCTTTGTAAGTGCATCTTGCCTGCTTGCAGTTCTCCGCTAATTGTTAGGTCTACTCTACCACTGCCGATAGACTCTGGCGAAAGAATCGTCAACCTCCACCCGCAACTGCTGCGAACCAGGCATGCATTGGTCGTGATATCAACCGTAACTGGGAGTTTGGCTGGGACTCCAACAAGCGTGGTGCTTCTACCGATCCTTGCTCTCAGACGTACCGTGGCGAGAAGCCATCCGATAGTCCCGAGAACCAGGGACTCGACAAGTTCGTTCGCCAGCTGCGTGATACTGTCGGTATTGTTCTGTACATCGACTTCCATAGTGTAAGTAACCTTTCCGATTCATGCCCTACATGCTAACATCCACAGTACGGCCAATACATCCTGTCGCCCTTCGGTTACAAGGAGGATCTCTATGCGCCTGAGCTTGGAAAATGGACCAAGGCCGCTGCACTCGTCAGTGAGGCTATTCGCGAAAGCTCCAAGGACCAGACTACCTACACCTTTGGACCCAGTGGAGCTGTCTTGTACGTCACCACCGGCGCAGCTCCCGACCACGTCTACAGTGTTGGCGGTGCCAAGTTCTCATACACAATTGAACTACGCGACACTGGTGAGAATGGCTTCGTTCTTCCTCCTGAGCAGATCCGCCCCAATATCGAGGAACAATGGGCCGGCCAGAAGGTGCTCCTTTCTCTCTTGGACGAGACCTTCTTTGATGGCAAGGGTCCTGCTCTTTACCAGGGACAGACTTAAGCCGCTTCGCTTCTTGTACATATTTAGTGACGACAATAGAGTTGTGGCCTGGGGGAGACCTCACGCTGCCGTAAACAAATATTAGAAATTGAAGACTTTTGACCACAGATCTATTTCAATGGCTATTTCTAGCCGTATTCTACATGCTCTAATGTTATCACAGCTTGGACTCTCTGTTTGGCGCAAAGCTGCTTCCACCAATTGCTTCCACAATCTTGTCCACCGTGTTCAAAAGCCAGTGACCACCCTCATCGCTGGCCAAGTACTTGACAGACTCTTCAGTTTCGCCATTCTCGTCGTTTTTATATGTTCCATCCTCGAGTGCCTTGCGCAGACCAAACACATGCGACAGCACCTGGGGACCAACACCGGTTTGCGCCCGTAGACAAGAGATGGCAATCATGGAAGTATGGATTCTTCCCAGGTTCGCAAGCGTATCGCGCTCAGAGGCGGGAGGATCGGATAGAAGAGCGGAGTAATGGCTGCTATGGATATAAACAGGGAGGTCGGGATGTGCAAGCGCAAGCTTCTCGAAGAGCTTGTCTTCAAATGGTCTGTAGATGGAATCCCAGAGACCCTGGCCGCGGGCCAATGCCTCGTCTATGTTTTGTGATGTCGGTTGTCGGCTCGCCTTGGTGCTAAGCTTGGATGTGACGTCTTCGGGAAGGGAGGCATGGAATGCATTGAGGGAGTTGATAGTTCGAGGGATGCCGTTGAAGCTGATGCATTTGAGTCCAACCTCGCGGATAAACTCGGCATTCTGGACAGCGGAACCGGGATCTTTGGACGACGCGACGCGGTGGAGGACGGGAAGAGAGTCGGGAGAGTTGAGTGTAAATGTAGCAGCGGCCTGAACTGTTAGCAATGGTCAATTGACACCGTTGTGGTCATACCGAAACTGTCAACCAAGACTTTGGGCCGAGGTTCCTGATAGCAGCATCATTTGCGATGGCCTCGTACAGCTCCTGGACCTGTTGCGGCGCAGGACGAGGTCCAGGACGCGCAAAGGGCGCATTGATAAGAGCTTTCAGCGGTGCAGATAGCTTCGACATTTCGGGCGATTTCTCGTTGCTCGACATCGCTCAAGCCGAGGAACCCACGGGTTTTGTGATAATGACGATGATGCACGGAGATCAGAGTTGGGGCCGAGCTGATCTACTCCACCTTCCGGGGCCGAAATTGTCGGAGGCTAGATCTGAAGTCCGAAGCCGGAGGATGTATACAAAACAATCACATGGAAGGGAGTGCGAATTCGATCAGGACAATTATGTGAAAATGAGTTCAGACAAGAAAATCAAAGAGCCTTTCTGGCTGGGGTACGTTTCCTGCCATGATTGTGGTGATAACTAACAGTCAATAGTGGTGCGGCGGCTTGCATGGCTGTTTGCTTCAGTATGTTATTCAACCATGATGAGAGCTCTACTAACTTTTGAAGCACATCCTTTGGATCAAACAAAATAGTAAGTGATCCGTCTCTTGAGAGTTTCCAGCTGACAAATCAGTCGGATGCAAGTGTTGAAAAGCAACTCCTCTATGCTAAATGTTCTATATGGTTTCGCTGCACGAGATGGTAAGTCGTTCAGATTGTCTTCATTACACAGCTAATTGTCAGGCATCCCCTCACTCTGGACCGGTCTATCTGCGTCCATTCTCCGTCAAGGAACATACTCGACTGCTCGCTTCGGTTTTCACTCCTATCTCTCAGATAAACTTAGAGACTACACTGGCAAGAAGCTATCAGTTACACAGAACATCGCCTGCGCAGGTATTGCAGGTGGTGTTGCAGGCCTAGTAGGCAATCCAGCTGAGGTTGTTCTCGTCCGCATGTGTGCAGATGGCGCAAAATTACCTGCGCAGCAATTCGGGTACTCGCATGCTTTTGATGCGTTGGCGAGGGTGTATAGTGAAGAAGGCATGAGAGCGTTCTGGAAAGGTCTTGCGCCGAACATTGCGAGAAGTGCTTTGATGAGTAAGTGTCCTCCACTATGATAAAACACAGCTAACAATGTAGATGTTTCTCAGATCGCCACGTAAGTGTACCGCTCTCTGATAGACTCAACTAACAGTTCAGTTACGCTTCCGCTAAGCAATACCTCCTTGGCATCGGCTTCGGTGATGATATCAAGACACATTCCATGTCTTCCCTGGCGGCTGGAACCATGGCCACTACACTCTGTGCTCCAGCAGATGTCCTTAAAAGTCGAATGCAAGCCAGCGCCGGAAAAGAAGGCTTGGCTCAAGTTTTGGCCACTGGTCTTCGAGAACAGGGCCCACGGTTTCTCATGAGAGGCTGGACACCCGCTTGGTTAAGACTCACGTATGTTTCCTGTTCAAATTTGAGATGTAGCTGACATTGTAGACCGCACACTGTTTTGACTTTTGTTTTCATGGAGAAGCTTCGTCTCCTTACTTCGTTTGACTGGTTGGGCACTGTTACCTCGACCGAGAAGGAAGCACTGCGTTGATTTGTGAACCACTCCGCTGATTTGGCGAATATTTGATTTATGATAGCTATATACCAACTTCAGGCCAATAAAGCCAATCGAAATTACCCATGTCGTCCCAAGATAATCCGCCGAATGAAGGTTCAAAGTCATTGCCGGGCTGATTGAGAGCTTGCACGATTTGATCGTCCGACATGGCTGAAAACTGCATCGCCCCTGACCACATTGCTTGCTGCTCCAAAAAATTAGGAGTTGTCATGGGTGCCTCGTTGACAGTTGGCATTCTGGGATCAGATATTCCGTCTCCTGTGGCTGCTCGTCTGACAATTTGCTTGAGGTACTTTCCGTATTTTATGGAAAGTCCATTGCGATGTCTGGTTACTTTGCCGATTCTCTCAAGTACAGTAGCCGTCTCGTCGATGAGGTTTCGGACACTGGGTGCCAAAGCTGATTCTCCGGTGGCGTAGGAACTGAGCGTGAGGGCAAAGCAGGCGGCGAATGAAATCATGATTGCAGTGTTGTTGGGCATTGATTGTAGTTGTGACTCTCCTTGGATCGCAGCTCTCATGACATTCAAGGCGGATGAAAGACCAGCAGTGTGGAAGAATCGACGCACTTCGAGTGGTGCTGTAGGGTGATTTATCACTCCGCCGTAAATAGATAGTCGTGTATGTGTGACCAAGATTTCAACGTATGGTGGAAGACGGCGGTCTAATAGTTAGCGTGGTCCATCGAAGAATCATAGAACTTACCTGGGCCCTTCCCGATTGAAACTCCCCATTCGGTGTGCCATTGATCAAAGAAGCGCTCGATCGAACCTTGGATTCTGAGAGTGTTAGAAGATAACCAAAGGAGCAGCTGGGTGACATACGATTGTGCGATCAATGAACCATCGCTAGATGACATCTGAGATCCATCACAAAGAGCACGAACAGTTGCGAATAAGGCGTCCAAATCCCTTCTGAGGACTGCCATAGACACAAGATGTCCATCGAGAGGGTCAGCATATTCATTACGATGCCAATTATCACAGTCCCTTAGTGATCTTGTCATTGGCACGGAGAAGGGTCGTCCTCTGGCTAGAGACATTCCTCGCTCGAGCACAAACAGCGACAGCCAACAACGCTCTCGATTTCGAAGAAACAATCGTCCTCGCTCAGACCATGGATCAACATCTGGAAACCCATCCATTGCGAGAGCAGCTCGGGGGTCGAGACAATCGCCCCGGGCGAGTCCAATACCAGATCCTGAACCTAACATTTCTGGTGACACGAGGCTCTTGTGTAGCGATAAATCGGTGGCGACTGTGTTGGCGATTGAGATGTACGAGCACGTCTCGTCATCGGTCGAATGCTGACCAGGAAACATCCAAGGAATATTAACCATAAATGCGAGGACAATCTCAACGGATCTATACCGTTCGACCATAACTCTATGCGCAAGGGTCCGGGTATGGTTCGACAGTCGTTTTGAAAGGGCGGCTGCTGATGGCATGAACAGAGCAGACGCGGCCATTATAGACGTGTACAGATATGCCGATCTCGAACGCGTGAATTCAACGGTGTATATCCTTGGGTCAAGCCCCCATCGAGTATGCGCGAGATTGCGATGAAAACTAACAGTCAGTACGCGTTGACCACAAAGCAGCGCACTCACAAGTTAAACAGCTTATCCGCTTCTTCCTCGGAGACAAGCCCCAATGACACCGGATCAACATTAGGCCCAACGTCTAAATGGACTTGTGCCGGCGCGAAAAATGCCTGGATCTCATCCTCTGTTTGACCCGTGGTACTTGCTGTATGCGCCTGCATCGGAGAATTGCCGTGACGCGATTCAGGCGAAGGCTGGATATAGGATGCCCTCGCAAGAAGCTGGAGAGGGTTTTCTGCATCGTCAATCGCAAGACTTTGTTGAGTTCTTTGGATGAATTCAGGCATCACTACAGGATCCGGCTCTTCTTCTTCCTCAGAATACGCATCTTCATCACCGTCGCCACTGACGCTGTAACCTCTTGTCTCGCTATAACCACGGGTCGGCGCGTCAGGCGTATTGGCATTGCTCAGCAAATCTTGCAAATGCGTAAGAATTCTGTCATCTTCCGGGTTCTTTTGCGCGGTTGACCTCGCGCGTTTGACAGCCTGGTCAATCTGATAAAGCGCCTTATCCAACCCCGTGCGTTTACTGACAGGTCAGCATAGAACACCTTACACGCGAATTGCTTACTTTTTTATACCCTTTTGCCGGCCAGGGTGGTATGCAGGACGCACACACTCAGAGTCAAGCTGTATGCACCTCCTGCATCTCTCCTGGTGAGGTTTCCAGTCGCATTTGATCTTTGAGCGACGGCACACGAGACAAGCTGCCTGTCTGGGTCGCGGCGAATCTCCGTCTTGCGGGGAAGTCTGGCTCTGAGAGTCCGAGTGCAGCCCCGCCATTATTTAAGTCGGGGGTATATCTGTAACCGACGATGTAGGGCTAAAAGCACGCGATGCAATAAATGAGGGCGTGATGAAGCAACAATGTTGGGTCATGAAGGTTGAGGCGGAGACTCCCCGGTCCGAGTCAGGTCTGACGGGAAGGATCGGGACATGATTGGCTGATATTTAAGCTTCCGATATTGACTCGGGGGAAGGCGGAGATGGTTAACGGTTGCCGGTTGCAGATGGATGTGGAATAATATAAATATTAATCGTATTATACATAAATTCACTATCTCACATTTGCCTCACCTGCAGCTGTTACCACCCACTGATCTCTATGTCGCCATTGACCCTGTCGAGCACGAATCGACGGGCAACTGCAAAAGTGGAAATGGCCACTGAACAAGTCGTCGGGCAACTTGCGATTCTAGCCTATTCAGGAAGAGTTGAGCACTAAACTTGATTCAACCCACATTTGATACGCCATTAATGAAAATCTGAACAATTGTTGATAGGAGAGGAATAGTTATAAGAGAAGATCCTCGGGCTTTAATAAAATTTGAATGGAGGGTAACCGTCAAAATGTCTTCCAACGCTGTGGTTGATACTGGCAGCGATAAAGACCAGCCTGTGAAGGATGTCACTGAGCAAAATGTCGAACACTCTAAGCCAGTTTCCCGCTTTACTCGATGGTATCGAAGCCCTTTATTTAATGTCATTATCGTGGGTTTAATCTCTTTTACCCAGCCTGGAATTTGGAATGCCCTCAACAGTATGTTACTCCATATCCTGTCCGAATCGTCTAATGTTTGTAGATACTGGCGCTGGTGGTCAGCAGGAGCCATACCTTGTCAATGGCGCCAACTCGCTCACCTTTGGCATCATGGTGTTTGGATGTTCCCTGTTCAGTATTGTGGCCAATAAAATTGGTCTGAAATGGGTTCTTATGATTGGTACTCTTGGATATGCGCCTTATTCCGCGGCTCTCTACACCAACAACCGATACGGAACTGAATGGTTTGTTCTGCTTGGGGGTGCCACCTGTGGCATTGGCGCATCAGCCCTTTGGGCTTCAGAGGGTGCTATCGCTTTGGGTTATGGCGATATTAAGGATCGTGGAAAATTCAGTACGTCTATGCTTGGTGTTGATTGTTCAAGACTAACTTTTGCAGCTGGAATTTGGCTTGGTCTGCGAGAGCTCGGGCAACTTATCGGCTCCTCAATTCAGCTATCACTCAACGTCGGTTCCGGAAAGCGAGGTCGCGTTGGATACAGCACTTATCTTGTTCTAATTGCTCTTCAATGCCTCGGTCTTCCTCTGGCGTTTCTAATCTCATCCCCGCATAAAGTCATTCGATCCGACGGCTCCAAGCTTCCCCAGAAGGAGACCAAGACGACCATCAAAGAACAGTTCAGAAGATGGGGCGCTCTTATCAAGAGAAAGCAGTTCTTCCTCTTGATTCCCATTCTCGTCGGCTTCAATTGGAACACCACATACTTGGGTATTTACCTCGTTAAGTACTTTTCTGTCCGGGCGCGTGCTTTGGCTTCATTGAGCTCTGGTATTGCTGCCACTGCCGCCAACATCTTCTGGGGATGGTTCTTCGATCTCAAGTACTTCAGTCGACCTCAACTTGCTAGAGCGACGTGGGCCTTTTTGGCAGTTACCATGACTGCTCTGTTTGGCTGGCAGTTTGCTATGGAATTGGAGTACGGCAAAGCTAGCCCTGCTGTTACTCTAGACTGGGATCTTCCAGGATTTGGTCGGGGTTTTGCTGTTCAAGTCCTTCTTCGGTGAGTTACCTTAATTTCTGACGGATCAATATGCTAACGAATTAGATTTATGAACGAATCTCACTACATGTTTGTGTACTGGCTCATCGGAACTTTCTTCGAGGATGTTGAGACTCTCACTCTTGCTGTCGGTCTGGTTCGATCATTTGAATCTCTTGGTTCATGCTTGGCGTTTGGTGTCGGCGCTGCCAAGGTGCCTTCTCTTACAAACCTTATCGTTGCCTTTGCAATGTTCGCTATCTCACTGCCTTCAACATCTTTTGCCGTTTTCCTTGTTCCTGAGCGTCCAGAAAACCACGCACTTGATAGGAGAGAGGAGTCTGAGGAATAGGGGTGGATGTAGTAGAATACTAGCATGATGTTATGTAGGAATACATAGTTTGATTCTTCTAGTTTTGAATGAAGCTGCTTAAACAGTGGATCCAATTGCATTGTGTTATACATATGGCCACACCGCATAACAGGGGCTACCTGTTTACTAGACATGTGCCGCAGACTGACAGGAACTGACTACAAAAGACAGACCTGAGTTTAGCTACACGAGAGAAAAGCTGTGATAAATGTGGGATGGTAGCATATGATTGGTATAGACCATAGACGTCCAGACTAGGAGACACCGTCTTCAGCCAAAGTCTCAACTTCGACGGATTAGCCTCCAGAATGCCACTTTCAGCTTAAAGGCGAAATCAAAACTTCGTCCAACTCCCTGTACCGTATTGTTCCATTCTTGAATGCACGAATCAGCCCTCGAACCTTGTGTCGAAACGGCACAACCTTTCTCAATTGCAAATACTTCCGAAGCAGGCGCAGAGTTAGCAGCAAAGTACCCCCAAAGCCACAGAATCTGAACGTAGCATAAAGACTGTTGCCTTGCAAAGTGTAAGCAATTATCAGGCAAGACATCGACCTGACGACATTAGTTGAGAATATCCAAAGGTCTGAGACGTACCATGCAACTATGCTTGGAGAGATAGACTTTATCAGAGACCGCCGTTCTCGTAACATGTTGTCAAGGAAGTTGTCCAGGATTTCTAGATCTTGTATCGCACAAGCCTGCAATGTCTTGGCGAGTCGGGCAGTCTCACGAAGTTTGAGATTCGCCCAGGCTGCTTCGATGTTAGTAGCAATTGAATTTTGCAAAGTGAAAACTTACTTCGAGACGGTATAACTTTGGTGTTGAGACCAGCAAAAGAATCAGTGCCTTGAGGTCGATCCAGACACTCAAAGTACTTGCTCAAGTGGTGATTTGCCGATAGTCGATGAATTTCAAACTGCTTGAAGATGTCGCATCTATCATAGTTTGCTGTCATGTTGCCCGTTTTAGCAACTTCTTGAAAAAACAGTAGATTGTTTCGTGAGTGCTCTACTGTGATATGTAGCTAGACTTGAGCTTCAGCATTCGTGATAGATTTAGGTGGAAGGTAAATAAATTCCTTCCAGGTCATATTTCCGTGACATAATTTCAACAAAGACTGAAGATGTATTAGCCGACCTGTCCTGCGGTTTTGACAGGGGCCAAATCCGAATGCGAGGATAATACCACAATTTCGTGAAGACAATACAAAGTGGCGTTGAGCTATTGGTGGTATGTGCGGTGAAAGGGGTTCGCTTGATGACCCGACGGTCCTTTCATATCTTGGCTAGGGGAAGAATCAATCATTTCATTAGTCCCACGATAAAAGATGCATTGTTTTGACTGATTGTTGGTACTAACATCAAACTTCGCAATGTAGCATCTTCCGACAGCCAATAACTGACACGCAAGTGAACCACAACGGTAGGAATTCAAGTCAAACGGTGTACTATGTATGTATTATTATTAATCTATGATCAAATAGACGGGCTTTGAGACCTCGACTTAGATGTAACTTGTGTCTTGTTAAACTTCCCATTCCCAACCAGACTCTGCTCGTCGTTCTCACTATACTGAACCTGAAACGTTCTGTGCATCTCAATCCCTCCATGTTCAGGTGAATGGATAGAGTCGCCAGTCTCAGAAGGCAACTCCACACGAGCACGATTGCGACTCATAATATTTGATTTGCGTCCGTAGTGGTCGCCGTAGTTGTTGTACTTGCTCGAATCATATGAGGATCCGGCAAGGGCGGGGAATGCACGGACAAGAATTACTCGTAGGGCTGGCATGGATGCGCAGATGATACCGATGTTGATCTCGACGGTAGACCATATTGATATGTCGGTTTGATCGTAGGTGATGTTGTGGGAAGAGCCCAGGCCGACTAGAAACTGCAGGCGGATAATGCTCACGACCGTAACACTATCAAGTTAGCGTGGTTCACACATCTTGGCGCGATACTTACAAAGTTCCAACGATAAACATAGCAGCAACTCCAATCTTCTTTTTCCAGTGCATCTTGAGTCTGCGTAGATACCACAAAGGAATGGCCAGCATCCAGATGTCCATTGCAACGCTGATAGCTGCGTTTGCCCAGCCGATGGCCATGGAGTTCATACTAAACGTGTTAGTAAAGTTCATTGATGTGTCAGGCCAGCATACCATGTTCCCTTGTGCTCTCCATCCCAATTGAGCCAGAAGTAGTTGACAGGTGTGCACTGGAAGGCAGCCACAAACATAAAAACTACGCCGTAGACAGTGTTAAATATGATGGTTCCCCATAGAAGCTTTTGTGCGGCACCCGGAAAGATGCGGAGGTAGAAGAAAAGCAGCGACGTCTTGAGCAACGAGACTTGTGCAAAGTAAAAGATCTCCAGTAACCAAAAGTAGAAGCCGAAATCGGTAATGTCGTTAAACTCTAATGTCCAGATATCTCGGCCTTCTCCGTGTCCGGCGGTTCCGTGGATGTTCATGCCCGTCGAGGGCAGACCGAAGATGAGTGTAAGGACAATGAACAAATCGTCAAGTCCGAATTCGGATTTGAAGAAGTATTTCGACCAGAGACGGAGCGCGGTCGCAACGCCGGATATGACGCCGAGGACGATAGTAACGTTGACGAAGATTTCTGTCTTGTCGCGGACGGGAACATCGCAGTAGGTGTATGTAGTGTTGAGGGTCGCTGATGATGTTAATTATATGATCTTCTCGAGGTCGAGGTGACATACTCAGACTGTTCTTGACATTGCAGCTCTCGGCAGCACATGCTTCAGCTGCCTGAATTATTGATGGGGTCGAGCACACGCATTTCGCATCGCTGGATTCGCAGTCGGACTTGGCGATAGCGTCTCTATAACAAGGGGCCTGTGGGAATTAGTAATGGCAATGGAAGAGACAAACACAGAACTCACAGCGCAACTGGGCAGGCTTGCCAGCATATCTTTGGTGTTACCAAAATCCGCCCTGGCCATGGGCACAAGGGCCACCAGAAAAGGCACTATCCACTTCATGATGATCAACAAACTTAGCAAGGAGAGCTCCCGCGAACGCGGATCGTGGGGAGTATATAAGAGATTTCCAGATCTCCAGGCCCTGCAGGCTGCAGATACCCTTACAGTAATCGTCTCAAGTGGCTTGTAGGATTGCGCCAGATGCTAGGGGTTCCCCCGTCAATTTGAGTGCGGAGCAAACTGGCGCATGCGGAAGCTTCCACGATACAGAGTAACATTGGGTAGGCGAAAGACACCAAGATTAATTGCCTCCTCCCTGCAAAAGTTCGTCTGTCACTGTAGGTCTTCTGCTATGGGTTCCAATTGCCCGGGATCCGTGGCATGCCCCTGCGCCATATTACTTGGGACGACAGGGCTTTGAGCAAGATACTCCTTTTCAACAGAGACACCAGGTTTCAAGTGAGATTCCTTGGCCAATTCTGGAAGGTCGTCTCAGTAGCACAAAAGAAGCTGCACGGTACCGGAGCCGCGGTTACCATTGGCGTCCCTTGGCATGTGTCAACGGCCCGATCCCTGTCTTGTCAAAGATTTGAGTTTTGAAAAGGACAGACTACGGGCACTACTCCACCTGACCAATGCTTCCATATTAACCGACGAAGGATTTCTGTAAGCACTTAATTAAAATTATCTTGAGTTCAGCTGAAGTCTGCATGATTGGATCTTTGGGATAAATGTACGACCCCTTTAACGTGCATCATCCTTACTCGGCGCAGTCAAAACCTGGCTAGGGTGCCCGATTCTCTGGGTTGTCATATCTAATCTGGTAATTCAACCGATGTGGCGGAGATTCCGCAGATAAAGAACAAGTATTACTGTAAATACCCGCTCTCTTTACCTGCATTGATAGCATTGACAGCATTTCTGACGTCGCAACAAAGAAACCACTCAATGGATCAGTAGCATTTCGCTTTCGCCACAGTCGTTTAGACTACCAATTGCTTCGGGTAGCAATAGCGCTGTGGCCCTTGTCAACGCTCTTTTGGTGGAGATTTGAACCTCGCGAGACCAGCCTAGAACGCCAGCCTTGCACTTATTAACTAGTCAGGGTTTAGAACTGTTACATCAACGGTCAACTAGCACGATTTCCGGCCGGATGGTCGTTCGTATCCCCGAAGTTCTCTGGATGACAGATAACTTCAACAAGGATTTAAATGCTTTAGCCACTTTATGTTACCTTCCGCAAGAATCATTGCTTTTGCTGATCTTGTCAATAATGGTTTGCGAAACCGTCGCTATAATTCTGCAAGGATTCTCGGCGACAACCCAGTTCAAATCTAGCCGAGTGCATGATCTCCCTTGCTTAGAGCTGCAACGTCGACCGTAGCATCAAGGACACCATCATGGGTACGATTTCTAGATTGTGTGCGTTGATGCCATGTGGCAAAGAACCCCTGCATGCGGCGTTGCAATAAAGACATATTCGGCGACCATCCCCTCTTGGTAAAACACTGCTATGATAATATCCAACACATCGCCTATGCACATTTACGCTACTATTTCGAAAACAGTATCGAGCTCGCGCTTGCAAGTGCCTATTCAGTGGGTTTCGTCCAAACTCAACGGCTTCGCTCTCCCGTGTTCTCCGTCTGCCCGTCTCCACGATCTCCACACGCTTGACTGTGGACGCTCATGCTTGTGGAGTCTGATGCGCATGACGTGATATAATGATTATTTTTTATGTTACTGTTGATCATGTTGAGATGTTTCGTCAGAGTGGAGAAATCACAATCCAACGTCTTGTCGAAGATCAAGCTTAATTGAGCGTGGACTAACCTGTTTCCAAAAAGACTCGCCCAGTTTGTCGTACAGAAAGGGAACGGTTACCTGAATGAGAAGGTGCCCTTGCAAGTGACTCTGTTATCATATGTGCCTATAATTTTGAGTTCTTAAAAGATTATCTTGTCCCAAACCGTACGAACTATAATTTCTTGCTTTATCGTTGTATTGCTTAGGAATTGGTTTCAGTATTTAGCCGGGTGAAAAACTAACCAAATATGACGAAGAATTTGCCGTGGTATCAAACACCGCCGCTCTTTGAAACTCATAGTATTAGATTAAGTCTCGTTTGTCATCATCTTTCAAATAAGGTTCACCAAACTCGTGTCATGCCTGGGTAGTATTCTGGTCTGAGCTCCTGGGTTTCTAGACACAGACACCTGTCACGCTTGTTGACGCTAAACATTCAGCTAATACCCAGAGACCAGCCTAGAACACACCCTTGCACTGGTTACCAACTAGTCATGACTAGAAGCTCAAACCAACGGTCGACTACTGCGACTTCGGCACTGCTCCGTCAAGTCCTCCGTCAGGTGACGATGTATTCATGTCAATCTAAATCCCGACGAATCCGATGTACACCTTTCTTCAATAGTGACCCCATAACTCCTAATGATTGTGACTAGTCATTTGTGGTTATGCAGAGTTGGCAGGGATACAATATGCCTGATACTCTATAGATCTCACTAATTTTGTTGTTTCTCTTCAGACTCTAGAAGTATTGTTGCCGGGATGCCGCTTCGCAAAGAGTCAAGTCTTGGTGTTTGATGCTATCCTCTAGATCGCCTTCATGTATTCCGTGTTACCCATGCATCCACACTCCCTCATATGACAACACTCACTACAATCCTTCTCCTAACAATACACTGCACCTTGTTCCCTTTTTATGTTTAACCGTCTCGGTTGCATTACTGTTGAATTACTGTTGGTTGCCTCTTATCTTATCTAGTCACTGTGGGGAGGAATTGTTGGGTCACGTGATCTCGGTCAATTGATTACGGCAGCTTCTTCCCTCGGACCGAAGGACTTTTTGACCTTCGGTAAAAAACTCCATCTCGCAGCGTATATGCCATTGAGAAATAGAGTTGTGGCTGATATGGTGGGCAACCTTATTGAATTTGAGTTACTGTTACTTTTCGGTCTGTGTAGGGACCTCTTTTGTTGATATTTCTGTGGGTTTAATTGGGACAGCTGGATCTCTTTTTTAAAGGTGCTACCAAGCTTAACATAAATGTTTAACCGTTCTAATTCGGTATCCAGTTCGCGTTTATCCCGTCTTTCGAACAATTTCGTACTGGTCTGGGGTAGCCTTGGACTTGCATGTCGTGGCATAGGACCAGTCAACAACCGAAGTAGCAACTCTTCTAGCTCGTCCGATTACATGCCCAGCTGTATCTCAACCTGGCTCTATATTTTTTATGGATTGTGAATTTAGTCTTGGTGACAGAAAATCACACTTTATGTAGGCTCGCTACACCTACGTTCGCAACATCAGCTACACATTAACTCTATAGATAACTGTAGTCAAAGCACGTAGTATAATTATTTGCTGGGCCATTCAGGAAAGCCCCTATTACACGAAGAACTGATCAAGTTGGGTGAAAGCTGGGGAACCTTTTGCCTAAACTCTGAGTGTCTGATCCAGGTGGTACTGTCCAGGTGGCGCTGACGGTATGAAGCCAGGGGCAGTAGATCCTAGACACTGTGGGGTTGGTGTTTCTTTCGATGTCTGCAATTAGCCGGTTATGGAACTGGAAAGGGAGAGATAAACTATCACCACTGGTACTAATTGTCAAGTGGCAGCTCTCGCTGAGGGGGTTAGATCGCAGTGGTTGCCTACTGGGCAGTCTTGGTTTTGCTCATATACTCGTGAAACTCGAAGAGTCAGCAGATTATAGGTTGCGGTAAACTGGTGTCGTTAATTGATAAACAAGTGCACGTAGCTAGCATTTAGAGTCGATTATGCCAACTGATAAATTGTTCACACCTAAATCATCTTGACTTTGCAAGGTATAGAACAGTGGTTAAGAATAATGAAGTCAAACCATTCATAGCTTACAGACTTTCAATTTCTTTTTTATACAACAAATTCCTTCACACGATTGCTAACAACATTTTTGTGACCGTCATCGCTACCCTGAACCTGACAAACCACATTCATAATCAAAATAAGTTCCAAACCGAGCACATACGACCATACCTATCAGAGAACTCGGGATCCCGTCCGCTCTCCCATAGATAAGCTGGTAAGGGGCGGATTAGTAGTTGGGTCGGTGACGACCAGCGAATCCTCGCTGTTGTATGTTTTTGCTGTTTTGGGTTGTCATCCTTGGCGGTTTCATGATATTTTGTAGCCCCGCTGAATTCATATAGCGTATAGTTACATGTGTCTGACAGATGATCCGATCTCGCTGCACGTCATGTGTGTCAGATGCACGACTTTTCTTGGCCCAGGCAACAATATCGAGTAACAAAGTCGAGAATATCGCACGACGACTATTTACTCCAAAATACCCATGAGACCGATTCCTTAGCAATTTCCTACTGTGGCAAGTGACCTTTGTCATCCGGAATCAACCGAATTTACCGCATCCGACTGTTCATTCGCAAGCCACACCATGCCATTGCCATTCGATTACATTGGAACTTCGACTGGAAGAAAACGCTCAGCTTCCCTCGAACCCTGCCCTGACACACCAATATTCTTTGGTCCCACGGGACATAATGTCATCTTCAAAGAAACCGAGGACTATCTGTCACAGCTCAACGCATCCGATATCAAACATGAAAATGCAGACATCTCAGACGCTCAACCGACCAATAGGATTCTTTTCAAGGAGCTCCCACCACACATACGCGAGATCAGTTTGGCAATCCTCAGCTGTGTCTTTGGTCCTTCTTACGGCACCTTGATAGCAAACGGCATCCAGAAGGAGAATAGACTTTGGTCTAATCTCACTGTACCTGCGATCCTAAATTCACTGGAGTCAACCTTTGGATCCAATATTGACCCGGGAAAGCTTGACCTCGAGCGCATTGCTGAACAAATATGCAACAACACAACACGACCTTTCCGAGATATCGAAACCAGTTCTCAAGAATGGATAGACCAACTCTGTGGCCCAAACTTGCGATGGGAATCAATCGCCCTACTATGGAGTGTGTTGAGGCGAATACCGGGATCGTTCAATCCGATAGAGCAGAAACAGCTCCATGTCTTGGAAAGTGGTACAGCAGACGAACCGATATTGTCATTCCTCAGACACAGCACCAAGCTAGCACGCCATTTCACTCTGGCCAACGTGATACTATTGGATCTTTTATTCCAGAAGACGATTATGGAGTCAATGATAGTCGGGGATGCAAGTGAGTTGAGCAGTATCTTTTGAAACCTATTGCTTATTTTGGAAATTAGGTCTCGTGTGCTGGGTTTCACATTCAGAAACCGTAGCAATGATGACCTATCTCGGTTTGCATGTTCAAGGAAACAACGGTACCTACAAGCCGACCCTGGATTCCGAGTACAAACGACGCCTCTTTACACGGATATACAACATAGACAAGTCCGTTGCCACTTTCACTGGCAGACCTCCTCTTTTAAGCCCACGCTTTGTCAGCGCGCTTCCCCCGCTGGACCTGAGCGACGACGATCTTGCAGTAGGTGGCAGCGCATTGGAGCGTGCAGTGGCCAAGCTTGATCCTCTTGGGTGGAATATAGAAGGAGGCATATATCCTTCCAGCCTTTGTAGAGCATGTTACCTAACCTCAATGATCCTTAACGAGATTATCGAAATCACGTTCGGTTCAGAATCCAATGCGACTGTGGAAACGCTAAGGTACTTCTATCGTGTATCAATTTACGCATTTGCTGATCAAATAGAAACCTTAAACAGCGCGAGATGGACTACATCGCTCAAGTACCCGAAGCCATGATTTACACGCCGGAAGATCTGTCTGATCTTCCTCTTTCACTTCCTCAAGACATGAAGCTGGCTTACGGCAGAGACCTTTCCGATCCTCCCGTTGCCACGAATCTTGTGTCAATAAGGATATTCTTTTGGTTGACCCACCTTCAAAACATGTTCCTCCTCGAGAGATTGTTGGTACAATATGGAAGTATAGACGAGAGTGATGTACTCGTGGTGTCTTTCGAAATGATATCTCTAACACTTCTTTTCTGGACTCGCAAAGATCGATTCCGCGACATGCGACGCGACTTGGAGTGGCTAGTAAGTACCTCATCCATTCCTTGTTTCGATTCTGACGTTTTCTAGTTGATGGCATTCGCGGTACCAGGTGGTGGGATTCTGTGTCAAGAGCTGCTCCGACCAACCTTTCAAGGAAAACACCCAAAAGACAATCGATTAACTCGGTCGAGTATTGTTCAGCAGCTTAGCCTATTGGTTGGTTTTCTAGACTGGGTTCATCCTTCTGCGCCAAATGGTGATCTCTGCGCTAGTTGCAAGACTGTGATCCAGCGTGTGTTAGATTATCATCTGAATGATCCTATGAATGATGTTGGATCTTTGGAGCACTTTAGCTCTGGTTTGGCAAAGCCTTTGAACTTCAAGTTCGAGCTGCTGAATACGTTTGACTGGCTTCATTCGCGATAGATCGTTGTTCAGTCTGATATTGCAGTATATATGCCTTAGTTCGTTTATCATAAGCTTTCTATTATACATCGTTCATCAGCCAGTGGAGCTAGTTGTCCTCGATGCGTCGTCGTTCCTGACTATATCGACACCCCGTCTCAAACTGATTCCAGATCATAGGAAGGATTAATGGGCTGTCAAGATGTGCATTGTGTATGACGCACCGAACTAGCTTGTTCCTCCTTCCCATTCCCTGAGTACTTTCCCTTATAGTTTTACATTTCGCCCGTACTTACCAAGTTGCCTCATACAATTATAGCTTATTTCTCTTTACTTTCACCTACTCATTTCCACATCCCTTCAACAGTCGATTAGCCACATTATTACTCACCCTTTTATCACAAACGATATCAGATTATTAATTTTACCATGGCAAACCCACACCATATCCTTCCGACGCTGGCTGGATTACCCGGCGAACTCCATGACAATATCGCAGGCTATACAGACCGAAATTCGATCGTCGCGATGTCTCTTGTATACCGAGGAATTCGACAGTCATTTCGACCTCGCCTATTCGAAAAGCTCGCGTTTACCGGCAACTTGTAGCAACTATCTTATCGATTACACTCATTCTACCATGGAATTGAAAGACAGAATTCATCGACACAGGTATTTCGAAATGATACGAGGTATGCTAGCTAGTTTATATTAGACGAAGAGTATTTAACCAACTCGTCACTTCTCGTCATCCCCAAATTCGTTTCCATTGCTAATGTCACAATATCTAGAACTGAAGAAACACTGTCTCCCGAGTAGAAAATCATAGCCCCCCATCGCTCGGGCCAAACCTCACTCGAGCTTTCACAGAGGCACACTTCCTACTCCTACTGTGAGGGATCCGCATAGGTGATAGCAGCAAGCAGATCCTGGTACTGAGAGAACCGGAACTGCTTGAATGCAAAGGTGTCACCACCAGGGAACATGAAGTTCTGGAAGGCCTCAATAGGGTGACCCTGCAGATTCTGGGTCTTGAAGTCCCTGCTCTTGAGACCGTCAAAGATGTCATTTACACCAGTAAACAAATCGCTGAACCAGTTGGCAGAGTCGCTCTTGGAGTTGTCTTGAGTATCTGTTGTGTAATTGGTCGTCAGCTGGCCAAACTGGTCGACCGCCAACTCGAATTTATCAGTGATGGTCTTGTCGGTGATGTTGGCTTCATTCTTGGTTTGCAAAACCTTAATGCTAAGAAGCACCACCATGTGAGTGACTATAGTGACCGTGTTTCCACTAACGGTAACATCTTTGGTGTATGTCTGCTTTAGTCCAGTATGGCCGAGGGCACCGTCCAGGCCGGCGTAATCCCAGCTCTCAGCAGAGTAGGAGATGCTGATGACTTTGTCACCATTCGGGTTGACTACATGCGTTATCTGAGAGTCGTCGGGGGTGCCATTGGGATAGGCGTTGAACTTGATGCTCAGTCCGTCTGGGTATGCCTTGGAATAGGGGATAAAACAGTCGGCCTTTGCAATGGGGTAGACTTGCCCCATGAGATAGTTGGCAAAGGTATCACGGTTGATGCTGATGATTCCGTTGAATTGGGTGGCGTCCTGCCCGTTGAGCCAGTCCCAGGTAAAGTCCACAGCAGGAGGTAGTTTATGACCATCTGTGGCACACAGATAGTTCAAGGTCCTCAGACCAGGGTCCAGCTGACCAACCAAGGGACTGACGTGGAAGTTCAGGTCCGTCGGCTTCATGGTTGCATTTTGAGGCTTGTGACGAACCGTGTAGTTGAGTACAGGCTGACCTTGTGCCTGCATGTGACCAAAGTAAGCATTGACAAAGTACTTGGTCAAAAATATATTGGCATCCGAGGCAGAATCAAGCCCGTCGACAGAGGGAACAGTCTGCAACCCAGCATAGTTCAGGTCGAAAAGGAGCTGCTGCACATCGAACATTGCACCGTCGAGGTTCTTGATACCATCTTTGACGTTCTGCGGAAGCTTATCAAACTTTGCAGAATCCAGCATGAGGTCAACATGCGATCTGAAGATCCAAGCCCTGTTGGGCTCGTCGTTCTGGGAAAGTGTTGTCCACTCCGGGCCGTCAAGGGTAAAGGCGAGCTGGCAAATTTTGATATCTGCGCACAGCATGTTGTACCCGACGGAGCCAGCACCCTGCGTAAGATCGATGATAGGGGGCAGTGTTCGAGGATCGTCATAGTTTTGTGGCAAACCAAGAGTCACCTTGATACCAGCAATGAATCTGGCCTTTTGAAGGGCCAGGATATTCTCGCCAGTGGTATCCTCATCGGCAGGGAGGGTGAAAGGATCAACTCCTTTAGAGGCTTTCTTGAGTTCGTCCAGACTGATCTGGACGGTCTCTTTCTTGGCGTTTCTGACAAAGATGATGTATGTGTCAGAGTCATCAAGACTGTCGAGGTACTTCTTCATGGTAGCATTGATGCTGTCCTGTGTAGTGGCAACGACAAAGTCATAGCCATACCTGGGGTTGTTAAGGTTGGATGCCGCGGCGGCCATTTTGATGAGATGGTTGGAAGTGTAATTGATAGTGCTTGAAGAACAGGATCAAGAGTGGAGGATAATGAAGAATAAGAATAAGAAGGAAGAGTAGTTGATAGTAGTTCTGATGACTTGGAAACAGATGCCGCCGGGCTACTTATACTTATCGTGGCAACTATAGATCACTCAAGAACTTTATGAAATATTTTTAGATACACCGACGGCATATCCGTGCACTCTCATCTGTCTTCTTTCTCTCGATGGCTGTTCTCACCTTTTCTTACATCAATAACTGTCTTTAGAGACTAGTTCTATTGATAGTGTGCTTTGGCTTAGCTGAAATATCAGAGGGTGAGAAAAGTGAGGTGATTGACTCACCTCGAGATTGCATGGAGGTGTCTAGAATTGAGCCGATGATGTTCATAATTCGTCTACTGGCATGAGTGTATCATTTCTCACAGCATGTGTTCTACCTAGCACTTTCAGGTCTTCACCGGAAGAACTTGAACGACCAGTAGTTAGAGACTATTTCCTAGAGCTGAACCCATGTAGCAACTAAGTAAGCAGCCTGTGTAGAAAGTGATAGAAGCATCGTGATAGCCGGCGGCAATGTGGTAGCTTCGAAGCACCACCATTGGTCAGTTAAGGACTATCGTGGCAATATCAATGACGATGATGACTGAAGGGAGCAAAGAACTATCGTTGTACTCGAAGCCAGTCCAGACATTATACGAGATTTAACTATGCAGCTCGCGCAGGGCTGAGTCCTAACGATATACTCTTTTGAAACCAATATCTCAGTTCAGCCCGCCACGAAAGCTTCCAACTCCAAAAGGAGGGGGAAGTTCTAGGCCATCACCAAACACGACCTTGATAACCGTTTTGGGCGACGGGAACCCCGCCGGCTAACCAGAAGATAGTTAGTCGTATGCGGGACCAGCCTGTCTCACTGGCGCCACTTGACACAAGAATAAGCCAGGTCTAGTTCCATTATCGTCGATATACTACTGGGATTTGTCTATGACCTGTATGGTGCCAGTTGGGAGGCATCTCATGTCTGTCGCTCGAGCGATTCATCGACAGGCTTTGTTCAGAAGCCCAATCAAGAAATGCTACACCTATCTCGAGTTTTATTACCTATATAAGAAAGTCAATTCCTCTCTTGTAAGTAGTTATCATCATCCTCCACTCTCATCTCAACTTCCTTTCTTCAAACAATCATTCCATCTCATCAGCAGCCATGCAACTCACCGCTCAGTCAGAATGGATGCAAGACCAGAAACATGCCCAGGTGATGGGCCCTGGCAAGAACTTTGAGGTCATTCAAACAACCACGGGCACCTCTGTGTTCTTTTCTGTTGGCTCTGACAACCATTTCTATGCTTGTCGTGAAGTCCTAGCCGGGTCTACTGGTTGGACCCGGATCGACCTGGACAATAATCTGCTTGAACCACAAGATGGTAGAAAAGTCGCAGTCAAGTCATTTGCTGTGGCTCAGAACCCTGACTCCCTATACTTCGATCTTGCTGTGGTTGCCACCATCGCAGGGTTTGACCACATCTTCGTGTCCACCGGCAATGCCAACACAGACGAAGCTTGGTCTCGCAGTGACGGACGACTGGGCGTGCAATGGAAAGAGGTCCCATTTGATGCCCAGGGATCCTCACTCAATCGAGATGCCCTGGAGATCGACTCCGTGCACCTCATGACTCTTCCAGCTGCCGGAGCACCTGCTGGCTCCCTCACATGCTTTGTTGATGTCCTTCGACCAGCCCCCAACTCGTTGCGGCTACTTGATCGCTACTACATCACGCCTCGGTCTAGGCCAGCCTGGAACAAGCACACACTGCCTATTGACCTGGCCTCTGGGAGTATCGTGAGCAGTCTTGGTCGCCGTTACAAGGATAGGGTCGGAGGTATCTACACCTTCGGTCAGATCAATGGTCGCCAGGAGCTCATCTACGCACCTGCCTTTGACTTCTGGGACCCAAAGAACCCCCCCGCTCCTGCCAGACTAGTGCTTCCAGACAACGCAACCTCCATCGCAACTGCTATAAACGGAGCTGGAAATAGTCATCTCTTTGTATCAGGTAAGCAAGGGGTCTTCTATTTCCCGCCAGATAAGCAGAAGGATGGCTCTCAGGGAACACGAATCATCACCACCACCCTCGTTGTTCAAGCCACCCAGTTGACTGCCGAGTCGACCAACGGAACAACAGCCATATATGGAAAGAATGCTCAAGGTGATGTCTTCTATACTACTTGCAAAGCGGGCTCGGAAGCCTCTCCTGAAGCGTGGTCACTCCCAGTCCCTCTTGTGTCTCAGGCAGAGAACTATGCCTTCTTCTTGAATAAGAAAGCTAGTAACAACACTCTCTTTGCGCATGTCACTGGTCAGCAGATCTCGCAGATCACCCAAGACCCTGTCACCCGTGACTGGGCGTCGAGATCAATTCTGCTTCCGGCCACTGACGTGAACGATATTATCGAGATCAGTTCATTCACAACGAGACTCTCTGTTCGAGACGACTCTGGCGCTGGTGTAGCAAAAGCAGAGGTTCTAGTAACAGCTACTAGCCCTGTGGGTGTGTATATCAACGACGCATACCGCATCTTGAGCCCCAACACCCCGATTCGGAGCACTACTGGTGCAGATGGTATCATCACCATTGTTCAGCCCACCCAAGACATGTCAGCAATCTCGTACAAAGTGTCAATCGCAAATCAGACCTCCACATCACTCAATATCGACCCAGCAGACAAGGTCAAGGCCCGTATAGCGGCTGTCCAGTCTGGCAATGATCTGAAGAACGCCAAAATCATGCAAACGAATGGAACGACTTCGTCGCTTATTCCTAGTGATGTTTCTCAAGCTGATTGTGACGCTGCCGCTACCGCTATTCAGCAGCTGGTCAAGGTTGCCGGTACTCTGCCTGCGGACGGGAGCCGTCAAACATCCTCTACGAACGGGGCAAGTGCCCAACTAGCAGCGCCATGTAAGACCACCTCTAAACTCACCGTTCCATGCTAACTCATAATTTCAACAGCAGTAACCCAGCTCTTGAGCTTGGAAACAACCCCGCACCGACCCGATGCTCAAATCAAAATCACTGATGTTGTGCTCGGCTCTGCTAAGGACTTCTTTGTCCAAGCGGGTGATTTGTTCAGATCCATTCTCCACTCTGCATGGAACAGCGTCAAGAATTTTGTCATTCGAGTTGCCAACGGAGTCTACGAAGTTCTTGTCCAGGTTGGGGATGTCATCTACCGTACCGTGCTGGATACCATGTCCGCGGTATCGCACGCAGTAGAATGGGTATTCTCGAAGCTTAAGGTGGCTTTCGATGACCTCAAGGCTTTCCTAGGATTTGTATTCAACTGGAGCGACATTGTACGCACTCATAAGGTCATCAAGAACGTTGCAACACAATACGCACTATATGGTGTCTCGAGGATACAGGTCCTCCAAGACTTTGTCACCACCAACATCGACTCGCTCGAATCGTCACTCAACTCTTGGGCCGGTATCCCTGACATACATGTCACTACATCTCAGCTGAACACCCAAGGTTCGGGCACACCAGGCGTCAACGATCCTCAGAACTACTATGTGCAAGACAAGATCAAGTCGAATATCGGCAATGCAAAGACCGACGCTACCTCGGTCGACGTTAGTGGCAGTGACTGGGCCAGCGTGCTCAGTGAGTTGAAGGGGTTGGCCACGGAAGAGAAAGATATTGTTGCCAAAACTCTCGATCAAATCAAGAGCCAGATCATCGAGCCATTTGGTAGCTTGACTCCTCTCGAAATTGTCAAGAGGCTGGTGGCCATCGTCGGTGACTTGGTCCTGGAGACGGCCAAGAACATTGTCGTCAAGACATTGGGCATTGTGAAGAACCTCACAAATGCAGTCATTCAGGAACTAAACAAACCCATTTCTATTCCCATCGTATCGTCGCTCTACAAGTCCATTGCAGGTGATGAGCTCAGCATCATGGACGTGGTGTGTCTTGTTGCAGCAGTTCCCGCGACTCTTGTTTACAAAGCTATCACCGGAAGCAACCCATTCCCCGACAATGCCACGACAAAGGCCGTCATAGATGCCTCTGATTTCCCATCCCTTCAGCAGATCATGCTAGGCGACAGCAGCGTCCACAAGACCCTGACCATCATGGCTGAGTTTGCAGCCATGGCTGGCCTTGGATTCAGTGTCATAGCCAATGCCATCAAAATACCATGGATGACAGAGGGAAAGCCGCACGAGGTTTCTGGTATCATCAAGCAAGTCAGCATTCCGATTAAGCTTCTTGTTCTCATGCCTGCAGTCATCCAGCCACGGTCGGATCATGACTCCTGGGAGATTCAGATGGATGCTGTGGTCACTGATCTTGCATTCCTCAAGATCTGTCTCGACGCGACCTCAGTTGGAGAGCAGGAGATGTATGGGACAGTTTCACCATATATTGATTATGCCATCAGCGCTCTGTGGATCGTGCCGTCTATTGCCAAGATCGCTGCCAACCATCAGAAAACGAGCTCGTACCTATCACTCACCACACGCCTCGCCTATGATGTTGCTGTCATGACTGGACCTATTGTATGGAACCCAGACCTGGATCCTGAAACCAAATTGATTGTTCTGGCTGTTAGCAATGGCCTTATTGTGATTACGGCCGGCATCAGTGTTGCTAGGGGAGGACTTCTTCACGACGATGACTAGTTGTACAAATCATCGGATTTAGCTTAGGATGTTCATAACATCATCATGGTTTCTGCTACAGTAGCTTCTCACAATTGATGTGATCAAACATTATTCCATGCAGATTCGAGATCGACAATGTACTCAATGTGTTCCTCGTCCACCCTTCCAATCCCCGCATGATTGACCCTGAGTTCGGACTGTAGAGTGACCCCGAATAGTCTCCACGCCACAGATTTTGCTTGACCAAAATATACCTGCAAGTAACTTTCTTCTTGCTCCTCTCCTACGTTCCATTGAAGTCAGCTTCGAAGGATTCTGCATTAGCTTCGGGCCTGAAGCTCACCGCATCCAGGAATCACCGGTCCATGTCGACGGACTAATCGGAAGATAGTATCAACTGCCAAGAAAGGCCTCGTCGGCATATATTCCATTTCCGATTCGGCCAATAGGAAGCGACGGGTGAATGATTTATGCAGGCCCTGTTTAAGCATCCACCAATAGGATATATGTCTACTCCGTATACGAGGCAATACTCCATATCTTTATATTTTTATACGATGTGATGCGAGCAACCACAAGGTAAGCCGGTGCTTCAAACTTTTATGGTTAGCCTAGAGATCAAGTTAAGCCTCCATGACTGCGAGGATAGCATAGTGACAGCGGTAAAGCATATTCTTTAAACCTATCGCCAAGCCAAGGTTAATCACTAGTTCACAGGATAATCATTTTAACCTGCCAATTCCAGCATGGGAGATGCGTTGTCAGCATGCGGCCACGGCCAAGGGGCCCCTGCGCGTCGAACTTTTCCTGGCGAGATCCGAGTATACTTCGGCATTCACCAATTTTAACATTTTGCTCGTGGTCTTGGCATTGTGGCCACGAGCAAAACTTCCAGACCCCAATACGACTTCGGATGGTCTAGATGGACTCTTGGAAGTGATACGGTTAACGATATCCTGGGTGTGCGGAAGAGCACTAAATATCTCATGCGTGGAAAAAGGATAAAAGGGGGAGTTCCCGCCTCGTACTCAGGTCTGTGTTCCTCCTTATTCTGATCATTCACAACAGCTTCAACTGTCCTAATACCGCTAAAATGGTCAACTTTGTTACTTCTGTCACCGTTCTTCTGACTGCCGTCTCCTCGGCGGTTGCCATTCCCTACACTCTTCAGGAGCGTCAATCAGACACCACTTGCATGGACCATCTCCCCGCCAGCTCTCTAGCCAGGGTAAGATCTGATTACTCGGTTCCGAATCACTTTACATATCACTGATACTCTATATAGGTCAGCGAAGCCGTCGAGTGCATCAATTACCTGGCCAGTCTCAACCAAGCTTGTGTGGCTGGTGTTTCCGGCGTGTCTTTCTGCAGACGTGGAAACACACAGATTACTGGATTGGCTCGTAACCTTCCCTCCCACCTGACTTCGTCCTCTTCTTGGTAAGTTTATCCATCAGCCATATAGTTGCATAGGTTCGTTACTGATTTCCCTTCTAGCAAGGACGTCGCTCGCGGTGCTGGTCTGATTATGGATCGTTGCACTCGTGGTGATGGCACAGTCAGGGGCCAGAACCCGGCTTGGGGCAATGGAAACCTCTGGGTTGATATCCGAAGTGTTTAATAAACTAGCATATGGGGATTTGTCTGTCAACCTTACGGCTTGGTGACAACCACGTACACTGGTTTTGGTATGACCCGACATGATGTTTGATGAAGGCAGCAGAAACATTCTTCTTGTATATACTACAATTCAACCACATGTTATTATACGATATTCCACATGGTGGTTGTTTTTCAATGCCATGAATCGTGGAGTAATAATCGTTCTCCTCCGTTCCTTATGAAATCAGCCTTTCCACCCAGTTTGGGAACACAAAAAAGCGTATAAATGGGTGCATTTTTGAACCCTTCATAACTTCTTATCAAACTCCAGTATTCCTTTCAGACCTTCTCGAGTGAAACTAGCCAATGATTTTCCTGTGAGTCATCCTTCCTAGGTGGCACAGCAGTCGAAGGCGGCCGCCAGAGGGGTATTCGGCCAATCAGGATAATTCATCAAATCTCGTAATATGTTTATCACTCGGTTATCTAGCTGAAATTGGGAGGAGGTAATACTGCAGCAAGCGTGAGTCATTAGATATAAGAGTCAACTTTCGCTCCTTCAAGCACGTATGGAACGTTTCTATCGAGGCTCGGTCACGTCATCTCACGGGGAAATGTAGTTCCACTTAGTATATAGTATTTACTATCGCCGTTGGTGATTTCTCGTCAATTCATGCAAATAAGAAATAAGCAGTGAACTCCTGATTACTTCATAAATCAATCAAATGGCTGTCGATACACAATCTGAAAAGCAATGGGAGCCATTGTCCTTGTCACTCGCTCCAACAATAGCATCCTACTCCCTCTCAACGCCGGAGTCGTTACAGATTGAAATTGACCAAGCAACTCATCGCCTCAATCTCCTCAACTTCTTTTGTATTCAACCGTCGTCTAGCATTCTCGAGGTAGGATGCGGCCAGGGTACCTGCACTGTGGTTCTGGGCCAAGCGACTGGTAGTGGTGGCTATGTCGATGCCATAGACCCCGCGCCTCTGGACTACGGTGCTCCTACAACACTCGGCCAAGCGCAGGAGCATATCATCCAAGGGAGTATGGGTGATAGGGTGAAGTTCTGGCAGAGACAGCTAGAAGACTTCTTGGTAGAGACTGGGGAGAAGAAGTGGGATTATGCCGTTCTTGTGCACTGCCTATGGTACCTCGACGGAGAAGAGACCTTGGCACGTATGCTTAAAGCGTTAAAGGGCCGAGTAGGCAAAATTTGCATCGCAGAGTATGCCATGAAAGCTTCCAAGCCAGCGGCTGTACCTCACGTCCTTGCAGCCCTGACCCGAGCTACTCTTGAGGCTCAAAAGTCGGAAAGCGACGCCAACATCCGGTGTCTGATTACTCCGCCGGATATCAAGAAGATTGCGGAACAGGCTGGTTGGAAAGTGGACCGAGAGAGTTACATTATGCCCGATGAAAACTTGCAAGACGGGTCGTGGGAAGTCGGCGATGTGAAGAGCGAAGACTTTCTTCGTGATGTGGAGGAGAATGTCAAAGACAACAGGATCAAAGTCTTGCTGAGGAGTGGGAGGGAGGGAGTCATTGCAGCTGTGAAGGAACTCAACGGGGAGAAAGTAAGGACAATGGATGTTTGGGCAGCTACTCTAGTAGGATGAGCAGAGCCTCTCGAATATTAAACAAACTCGTGGTGTGGTATTTATCTAGGAATTTCATACATCTCAAAGTTCTACAAGCTTATTTGAATTTCTGACAGGTTTACACCGTTTAGGACTAAAAAATGAGAGCAATGGAATCTTTCTGATAAGTCACTGTCATAACTACAAGAATAATTCAGTCTTGTCAAGTTCCTGGTTAGAGATTATTCCCAACCCCAAGCTACGCTGTTTGAAGCGTCTGACTATGATCCAGAATGTCACTAATTTCAAGGCTTACATTCCCACTAAAACACCATGCTCATAGAGCTATAATATTACCGAAGGATTTACCATAGCTCATGCGTCCTCCATAGGACAAACCGATCAATTGCCCGTTTCATGTTTGATTGCTGACATCCGATGGCCCCACAATCTCCGTGTCCGTGTCCGTGTCCGCCCCGACTCCAACCTCCCCCGCCGGCCCTTCTCTTTTCTTCCCGCATTCCAACAAATTTCTCCCCATCTTGAACTATTTTCCCCGATAGGCCTTTTTGCCAAGAAATATCGGAGCATCATGTCTACACCGGCGGTGTACACTTCTCTTGAAAAAGAAGACCGCGCAGACGACAAGAACAATGGTTTCACTTCTGATCAACCGGTCACTTCTCACGATGCCGACCTCAAGGGCTTGTATAAGCTAGATACCTGGTTGAGGTCCTATGTTATTATCATTGGGATTTATTTTGTCGGCGCGGTGTTTTGCGTGGCCTGGTCTTATACTGGCGCCCTGCTTGATAACGATGCGAGCAAGAGACGTGTTTTTCGAACAGGAGACAGGGTTCCTGTTGATCAACTTTACTCCGGTATAGCCCTCTCAGCTCTCCTCACACCAGCATCAATCTTTGTTCAGTTCATCACATACGATTTCCGGAGGTTGCATCTATTTTCTCTCACCACTCAGCAGCCAGTTGCCATCAAAGACCTGGATGAGATTGCTGATAGCATCACTCTTCTCAGTTTGAGAAGCGTGGTCAAGTACTCTTGGTGGTATGGCTTGATGCACGCTGCTTTAATTATGACGCGGACCCTAATTATACCTGTCGGTACTCTGTCTCTCACTGTCGGCCCGTATTCATACTACAAGGACGGCTTTGGCGTCGTGGGACTTCCCATATCTGCGGCTGATGCGGCGGGAACCAACGTCACCGCACTCTCTTCAGCGATGGGTGGAAGCCCACATCTCGACTTTCATCCGTCATTCTCAAAGAACGATACCTTCCTCACACAAACAGTCTTCACGTTCGTTGGTAGCCTTGTTTCCCAAAACGCTCTCGCCAATGTCGATTCTGGAATCCTGGGCCCTGTACCAACACACAACCTGACGTTCGCAACCAACACTACCTACGATGGCTTGGTCTTCTTCAACTGGACTGCGAACTGTGAGGCAGCTACCGAAGTCAACTACACCTCTTACAAAGAAGACGGAAACAGGATCTACAACTTCACCCTTCCGGACAAAAGTGTTGAGAGCATTGAACTCCTCTCCCAAGGATCCCAGCGAATGCGACTGTGGAGTAACTCTACAAGACATGGCTCAAACAAGATTCCGACCTCAGGCACAACCTACTTTCTCTCAGCCACCAAGTCAATTCCAAACATCAACGAGACTGCGCTGCGGAACAGAGGCAACGATAAGAGCTTGGTACAGACAGACGGAGGTGACTGGATCTCACGTTCCAAGTGCACTCCCACCCTCGAGTGGCTCGTCGGCTCGTGCACCTTCAACGGTACAATCATGACGGCCTGTTATGAAAGGTCAGGAATAAATATGTCCTCGTTGGATACCGCTGCTCTAGACTCCCTAGGGCTATACATGACGGCCATCCCTTGGTACATCTTCAATAGTAAGATGGGCATTGTCGACGATACTCTCGACGCTCTATATACGATCCCCACTGCCAGAGATCTGGGCCACTTCTTCGGGAACATGGCCCACGCCATCGCCTCCATCAGCACAGCAGGCTATTTTGGCACATCAGAGGTCCCCACTCTTTCCAGCATCATCAAGTCAGTCTACATCGTCAGGTGCAGTGTTTTGATCGCCGTTACCGTTATGCTTTTCCTGTCTGTCGCAGTGTCCATAATTGACATTGTACGCAACCGAATCAAACATCTTCCGCAATTGCCTAGTGACTTTGCGGCGATTGCCCATGCTGTACGTGGGCCTTGGTGGGATTACGAGCTTGTGGGTTATCGGCCATGGGATACTACAAAATCGCGAAGCGCGGGTGCTTCTACGGTCATGTTCGGTGTTGACACTGAGGATCCACGGTATATCAGATTGGCACCAACTGTCGCACCAATTCGGCAATGATTCATGTATATAGCGTTTTCCTCTTAGCTATCTTCAGCAATTCCTTCCATTTCGTTGCTTCACTTGCTTGTCGGTTTGACTGCTGTTCTTTCCATGCCAACGCATCGCCCTCGTTATCCTTGAACGACATGGGCTAGATTGTCCTGCCTAATTATTCCTCATCGGCTTGGTGGAGGTCCATCAAGGGCCATTCATAAGGACCTTCGTACGGCAAGCGCTTACCGTGCTGAAACGTAGTCCGAATGAAGTTTCTGTCGAGCCAAAGGCCTCGGCGGACAGGCTTACGAGCGATCTGAACGGTGATCATGTCCTCCAGGTCCTTAGTTTGGTCGGAAGTGAGCGAGGCGGCGATGATACTTCCAAACGTGATGTCTTCGAGAACATCTTCGGGGTCCTCGTACCAAGCATCTTCGATAGACTGGTCGAAGCAGAACTAGCTAACAATCTCGGTGTTGTTGAGGCGGATCATCCACTGGGTACTGGTCATGTAAGTCAATGATCTCAAAGCGGTATAGCATAAACTTACAGAACATCGCGATAGCCGCGCAAGCCATCCTGAGTGATCCAGAACTTGAAACGAAGCAAGTTGGCGCGCTCCGTGTCAGGGAGTTCCGCCGCGCTTCCCTGAAGAGTGTTGATGATATCGATTAGATTGAGATTCTGGCAGTAAGGGCGTCCAGCATTCTTGAGGGGAAACTCAAAGCTCGCAAGAGGATGCATGAAAGGGCGATGCTTGATGACCATTCTGATACTAAGTTCTGCTGTCAGTCCATCATCCAGCGGTTCCATCCACATTGCAAGAGCATGGATGCTGGCAACATCGCCCTGGGAATCGCGGAACTGCAGGCTCTCGTTGAGGTCGAAGTAGAGGTGGTACCGGCATGTAGATTGGCCATGAAGCTGGTAGACTTGAAGGGAGAAGGAGACTAGACCTGTTCTCGCGACGACATTGAGGAAATGGTTAGTCTGGTTGCGAATGTCGTCGAGGTTGAAGATCTCGCGCCGAGGAGGCGAAATCTGTCGCCAGTCGTTCATGACGTTCATGACGTTCATGATGTTTCGAAAGTATGTTTTGGATCGGACTTTGCTGAGTGTCACAAGTGATATCTAGAGTTCAGCTCTGCTCATGTCGAAATATATAGACCAATAAATCTTAAAGACAAACGGGGTCTTCCAACTTGACCATTGTGGTGAACGATACTTGACTGAGGGGGCACAAACGCGGATGCTGTGGTTTCGTTTCAGCTGGAATAGCAGGCGTCGTTCGTTAAGTCCAAGATAGAAGTGACAGATCTTCTGATTGTGTGACGAACCATATTATTCCGTTTTCCTTGACGTGTTTCGAAACAGGTGGACCACATGCAAACAAGGCATAGGCGTGGCACTGCAAGGCTTTGTGGTTAGACTTGGGGAATAGCGGCTGGAATTGAACGTTTTCTGTAACAGCAGTTGATACTCAATCACTCCCCTTAGAAGAGGAATGATTTGAGGGCATAATTTGCATAAGCTAGGTCGCCTCTATTCGACGTTGTGGAGGTTGAGGATTGATTTTATATCGCCCTATGAGCTTTCATTGTATGCTGTTAGCGGACCGACAATACAGACCACGGCTACAGTCCCATAGATGCTAGATGCTGCAATCATAACTATTAAGGCTTCAACGATGTTGAAACTTGCTTCAGAATTTCAGGGATCAGAGCCATGTTGTTGCTCACGCAGTTTATTTATCAAATACGTCGTCGCTTTGTACATGATATGCATATCTAAACGACCCCTAACTCGTGCTTGAGGGGTACTATAATGCTGTAACGTTCTCGTTTGAAAAGAGTGAAAAAGTTGTCCTCGGGACTAATCGATGTTAGCTCCACCATTGTGAGAACCGCATCCGCCTACCACGATGATTGTTTGATCAAACGACCCAGGCATTCGACTGACGTTCTTTCGGATCTCGTCTGGTTACAAAACCGGTTGAAAGCCTTTCAGCAGGTAAATACTCGTATAGCACAAGTGCTGGATATCAAAAGCTTGATGACTTTGTTGTCGAGCCGCGAGGATAAGGTACCAAAGCAGTTGGCGAAGTGTGCTCTCAGGGACTTGTGTAGCCGCAGAAAGTGAATGTACATCGATGAATTTCGGGAGTAACTCCACAACAGCTTCCTACATGTGTGGCTTGGCTAAGGCAGTCTTTGTCGCTGGAAAACCCAGTTAAATTGAGCTCTCTTCTTGGTGTACCGAGGCGTCGAATAAAGGCTAGCGATTCGATCAACCATGGCGCATGTTGTCGATGAGTAAACCTAACCTTTCTTTCCAAGCAAGACTGAAACCGCGGCTCCATGGAATAACCCAAGGCCCTTTATTTCTACTCACTGATGAATTTTAGAATGTTGATCAACTTAGACGACTTCTCCCACACGGAAATACTTTCTTTTAACAGTTCAGCTACTCATGACGCTGCATCCAGCTTCCGTACTGAATCGCTAGTCGGCCGAGCGTCGAGTTTCTTTGAGAATGTTCCGCTGGCAGGCCTCCCGTGTTAGATGCGGTGAAGGATCATATGAGCTGTAGAATAATTCTCGTGTATCGCGATCTTGCGAGGTTTTCAGAAGTCTTTCGATTTTCGCTCTCGCCTAGCCTTCTGGTAACTACTCAGTCAGTTGTTTCCCAATGTTGACGAATGCAAACTGACACCTTCCCCTTCTCCTATAATGCTGAATATTTTCTACAAATAGAAGGGCACACATAACGCAATCTGGAAGAAAGACGAGATATGTCTGCCTAAGGAAGGTGCACTGTACATGCTAATGACTATAGGCTCTCAAACCCGACAGGTAGCTCTTGTCCTTGAACCCAGGCAGCAACTCCAGCAGCAAACAACTCAGGTAACTGCAAGTGCCATGGATGATAGGCTTCCCTCACAACAAAAGCCATATTGGAAACACCCTTGATACGTCCTCCCTCCCTGAGAATCGTTCCCATTTCTTGCACAGCATCTGTTTGATCCATCTTGCCTCCAGAAACAACACAAGTTCTTACACCAGAATCAGCAACAGCCTTTACATGCTCCATACTAAAGGCACTGAGCTCTTTAGCAAGATTTTTGCTCCTCTGTGGTGATTTGTTTCTCTTCGATTCTGCCAGCCACTCCTCATAATCAATTCCTTGTTTCCGCAGTGTCCATTCTGTCAAACCTGGAATGTTCTCAATACTGCTGGCAATCCACATCACAGTCGGTCGTTCCATGACCCATTTGAAAAGGCCTCTATAAGGGTACGCTCCCGTTGCAAAGGTCGACAGCAAAGCATCAGGATGGCGTGGTGCGAGGACAAGGGCGACAAATCCGCCTACCGAGAACCCAACCACATGTGCCTTTCCTTGATGTGCATGTCCTCGGATGACCTTAAACACTTCATCAGCGGCCGTTTCGAGTGCGAAAGGACCAATATCGCGAGATCCTGAGTGCGTTGGTAAATCGACCAGAATAAGATGATATGATGCTAATGACTGTTGAGCAGCGACCAACTTCCACTCGATATGGCTCCCCCCTCCGCCATGTAGGAAAATCAACGATTCGTTTTGATCCTCGTTGCGTTCTTCGAAGTATAGTGGTTTTTCGTTATCCAGTGTCACAGCCATAATCGCGGTTGGCCAATTCAATGTATCAAAACTGCGAATCATGGAAACATGTGCAAGATTGACTCAATGAGCAGACTTGCCAAGGCTTATGTATTTACTCACGTGGCGGTAAGTTCGGGCAAAAGTATATCACTTTCTGGTAGACTACGGATAAAGCGGCTTCGTATCAAGCAGAAAGTGTTGGTTGTGAACCTTTGACTTCCTTTTAGGGTGCAGATTCGCAAGAAAGAACCAATTTGGGAGACATGCGGGCGCATTGTATCTCGCCGCTGAATATCGATAGACCATGAGGGCAATCGTTCTTAGAAGAAATGTCGGTTTATCGTTTGAGCCTACTTTATATGTTCATCCATGATCTTCGTTCTCGAATTATCCGGATTTAGAAAACGCATTCAACAAACCCGCTGTGCATCCAATAAAGTCTATTGCAGAAACAGGGGAATCCAAGCCACGCCGCACGTGGACCCACCCCCATGACAAGCTTCCCCAGGTCATGGAGCCTCCAACCTCAGCTGTCTTCCTCCTTTCCAACTCCCTTCTATTATTAGCAATATCGTAGCCCGACCACAGACATGGCCGGCTTCAGACTTCGCGATATCAGCGCATATCTGGTCTTACTTATTGCCATCACGACTTTAGGGTCCTTGCAGTTCGGTTTTCACTTGGTACGTTGCGATAATCATGAAGCGCTTCACGGACCATGACGATAGCTAACCTTGTCCAGGCAGAGCTTAACGCACCACAAGATGTCATTACGTGCCGCAAGAAATCGATATCCGCGCTCGATAAGATCAAAGGACTGATCCATAAGAAACCGGCCGAAGATCATGGCTTCTTGTCCCACTGTATCCCCATGGACGAAGCTTCATTTGCGACCATATCGTCAATATTTACTTTGGGTGGTCTACTGGGAGCTTTGACCTCTGGTCCCTTTTCCTCAAAGCGTGGCCGTCTACCCGCGATGCGTATCACTGGGTTGCTCTATATATTTGGAGCTGCCATTGAGACTGTCGCCGGAAGCGTCTTTGTCATGGCGCTCGGCCGTCTGTTATCTGGTATTGGTGCCGGTGCATCGACTGTCGTGGTTCCTTTGTACATCAGTGAGATTGCGCCGCCCAAGGAACGCGGTCTTTTTGGCTTCATGACTCAGATCTCGATCAATGTTGGTATTCTGATAGTGCAAACTATGGGCTATTTCCTGAGCTACGGCACTGCTTGGAGATGGATCCTTGGAAGCGGAGTGTTCATTGCGACAGCCCAAACTTTGGGACTCTTTGTTGTACCAGAGAGTCCATCGTGGTTGGCTGCACAAGGCGATGGGACTCAAGCAAAACGGACTCTGCAAAGGATTCGTGGTCATGGCCACGATATCGACGAGGAGACGGAGTCTTGGAATTCTGATGAACGCGATGCGTCCGAGGAAGATGGGCTGCTTCAGGCGGATAGTGCCTCTGAGTCGGCTCCTAAGAATCGGATCGAGCATCTTGGGTTCTTCCAAGTACTGAAAGATCCTGACACCAGGCCTGCCATCATTGCCGTTGTTGGAATTATGTTTGTGCAACAACTATGTGGTGTCAACTCGATCATCATGTACTCAGTCTCCCTCCTTGCTGACCTGCTCCCGATTTCTTCAGCACTCCTTACTATCCTGATCTCTGTCGTCAACCTCGTCACAACTGTCGCTTGCGCTCCTCTCCCCGATCGCCTTGGCCGCAAGACCTGTCTTCTTGCATCTATTGTCGGACAGGGAACTAGCGCATTCATCCTGGCTCTTTCTATTGTGTTTGGTGTCAAGATTCTCTCAGCCACTGCAGTCGTGGCGTTTGTCGGCTTCTTCGCTGTTGGCCTCGGTCCAGTTCCCTTCCTCCTTGCATCGGAATTGGTCGGGCAAGAAGCCGTAGGCGCCACACAAAGTTGGTGCCTCGCAGCTAACTACGTGGCAACATTCCTTGTGGCCCAGTTCTTCCCAATCGTGAACACAGCTCTTAACAACTTGCTGGGTGGTCACGGATGGGTCTACTTCATCTTTGCAGCCCTGGCTGTTGGGTCTGCCTTCTTTGTGTTCTTGAACGTGCCAGAAACCAAGGGCAAGAAGGACGTTGATGAGGTTTGGGGCAGGACAAGACGCGTCGACTGAGCATACAATCTTGCAAATTTGACCAGCCCTTGATCTATCTGTTTTATTGCATGATTGCTCAGGATACTGATCTACGATGATAGAACATGGACACATTTTGGAGTAAATCTTTCGTTCGTATTAAAGCAGAAAAGTGTACCCTAAGGGCAGATATGGCTTGCAGGTAGAACGAGACTCTGGCTTTACCGGAAGATTCGTTTGCTGCGGGTCATCTGTTCCAACTGCATGACGCCTGACTTGACACCGTCGATGATGTATACCTGGTTGCCATCGGCCTTACCATACATCTCGATCGCGGTCGATCGTATAATGTTCTCCAGACCAGCCATACCACCGCAGCCCATGACCACAACCGATACCTGTCCCTCATTAAGCAGATTCTTGGTTGCTTCCTTGAGCTTTTCTTCGACCTTCTCCGGCGGAATCGTGTGGAAATCGCCTGCAGTGAGGCCAGAGGAGAAGACACCAGCGAACTTGTTATTAACGCCATCCTTTTCCTGGCCGAGGAAGTTCTTGACGCCGTCGGACAAGTGATCCTCCCAGAATTTGCCAGTTGTGACAATACCCCATTTACCAGCATTGTCTGGTGCGCTCATAAGGGAATAAGTTGTAAGAATACTTGCCTCAAAGATACCCGTGACAGAGAGATGGCGGTACCTGGTCAACTTGGAGACCAGGCAGTGGACACTGAAGCATGCGACCAGAACAGCATCATATTTGTCGGATTCGAGTTCCTCTTCAATCTTGGGGTCATCAAGTACAGCTTGGGTGCTGCGGGAAATATCGTCCTGGTCGTTGATGCTACCTGGAGCAGAGTGAGGAGGGGCAGTGTAGGTATAAATCTCAACTGACTTTTGACCATCAGCCTGTGTAGAAGTTAAAGGTCTGTTTGCTCTTATGTGCATACGTCTGGTAGTGTCATTTGGCGGATGGCGTTTGCCATACCATCAGTCATAGTGGTGGATGAGTTCGGGTTTAGGACGAGAATCCGTAGGTTCCGCCTGAGGAAACGTAGCTCAGACATGATGAAGACTCAAACTGTAACTCAAATAATACAAAATCCAATCCTATATCGGCGAGTTCCTAGAACTATTCAGGGTCAGAGAGCACTATTACAAATTGTCTCTCGAGAGGGGTCGCTCTCATGACAGCAATAGCTAGAGGTATCCAGGCATCGCGGGGCGCCACGTGACCCGCCTCAGCCACCTGTGACGACGGTAGCCAGGCGAACCCCACTACTGACGACCACCTCAACCTCCACTCCTCTAAGCTGAGCTGCTGGTGATAGCAACACGACACCTCCTCGGCCTCGTAACCACTTAATAGACGTCTCCCGCCGTGGGCTATTGCAATTATGGCCAATCCCCCTCCCATTGGTAAGCTTCACACCTCCTCCGTCGAGCTTCAGGAGCTCTCCCGACCCCTGACGCAAGCTGACCTTATGTCTACCGCTTAGTCCTCGACGGAGGTACCGGTTTCCTCAAGGTCGGATATGCCGCGCAAAACTTCCCCGAGCATCAGTACCCTTCCATTGTAGGCCGACCAATCCTGCGTTCAGAGGAACAAACCGATAGCGATGTTATCATCAAGGACATCATGTGTGGTGACGAGGCCGCCGCCGCTCGAACAATGCTCCAGATCAGTTACCCCATGGAGAACGGTATTGTCAAGAAATGGGAGGACATGGAGCATCTCTGGGATTACACCTTCCACGAGAAGCTCAAGGTCGACACTGAGGGCCGAAAGATTCTCTTGACAGAGCCACCTATGAACCCTCTTAAGAACCGCGAGAAGATGTGCGAGGTTATGTTTGACAGATATGGTTTCGGCGGTGTCTACGTTGCTATCCAGGCTGTTTTGGCTCTCTACGCCCAAGGTGAGTTCTATACATAGCTTGGATGCCTGTAAAGACAATGTGGAGCTAATGGATGCGGTGTAGGTCTCAGCTCTGGTGTCGTGGTTGACTCCGGTGACGGTGTCACACACATTGTCCCCGTCTACGAATCCGTGGTTCTCAACCACCTTACGAAGCGATTAGACGTTGCCGGCCGAGACGTTACGCGTAACCTGATCAAGCTCCTGCTGCGCCGTGGCTACGCTCTTAACCGAACCGCCGATTTCGAAACTGTCCGCCAGATCAAGGAGAAGCTATGCTACGTGTCATACGACCTCGAGCTGGACAAGCGCCTGAGCGAGGATACTACTGTGCTTGTTGAGGATTACACGCTGCCGGACGGACGTGTGATTCGCGTGGGTAGCGAGCGTTTCGAGGCGCCGGAATGTCTCTTCCAGCCTCATCTCGTAGACAGCGAATCACCCGGTCTGGGTGAATTCCTGTTCAACACGATCCAATCGGCAGATGTGGACATCCGCTCATCCTTGTTCAAGGCAATTGTCCTGTCCGGTGGTAGCAGCATGTACCCCGGTCTCCCCTCGCGACTGGAGAAGGAGTTGAAGCAACTCTGGCTTACACGGGCACTTCAAGGCAACCCGGAGCGACTGAGCAAGTTCAAGGTGCGGATAGAGGATCCCCCACGACGCCGACACATGGTGTTCCTGGGTGGTGCAGTTCTGGCCAACATCATGGCGGACAAGGAGAGCATGTGGGTTACCAAGGCGGAGTGGGATGAGGAGGGAACTAGGGTGCTTGAGAAGCTAGGGCCGCGATAGATGGGGTTGGATGAGCCTCTGAAGCGTTCATAGATGCAGGCGGATTGGTATTTTGCGTGAAAGTTTAGTGCAAGGTAGAGAGTAAGAAAAGACGTTATGAAGATCATGTAGCTTCGTCTGTATTGATGATGGCATTCACCTCAGCTTTTTGAGAAGACGATGGTGCGGGACAAGCTTGAAAATAAGGCCTCGAAGTTGTATTGTCTTCTTCGATACATTTCTCAAGAATGCCGGATCAGATGTAACCATCACAATTCGGACCTCGATCTACGGCAGCAAGCTTAGTCATCACTCAACAGTGACAAACACTCAAACAGTCGCATACCAGAACCAAGGGGCAGGAATTTCAACCAGATCATCTGTTTCGCTTCATTGCATTTTCGCGCCCCTTCAGCAGCGCATCAACATCTCCTCAAATCATCTGAGCTACACGACTCAGACGAGCCGAATGTCCATCTTATTCCCATACCTAGCAGCAAAAGACGACGAACTCCACAAGGGGATCTCCGCAGCGACCCATATCGCGCATATCGCCTCGTTTCCGAGAGATAGAGATCCGCGCCGCAAAGGAAGAGGATTATTCCAATTTGAGTGCAACGGGTTCTTACTGCATACGCGCGCAGCCACTTGCAGTGTATCCGTAGCGCTGTGCAGTCTAACGCTGTCCCCCGCGAATTGAGATTGACTCTTGATTCGGGCTTGGCCTAACAAGTATTCCTATCCTATCGCATCGTGCATTAGACGGACGATTTGTCTGATCTATTACTGTACTATTCCCTTTTTCCCCGCGCGGGGAAACCTCTCCAACAGTTAACTCGCCCTTTTGCCTTCGCATTCGCCTTCGCCTTGGACTCCTCCGTGGGTGGGTGCATCTCATTTTTGCCGCGATCAACCGCAAATCATCTCGTTAGAAGCCCGCTTACAAGTGCTGCATCTCACTCGGAGGATCCATTTCCAGTGTTTGTCCGTCGGGGCCAGTACCGCCGCAGTTGCCGCTATCTTGCCTTGGCAGGTAATTAAGTTGAGCTGGGCTGAGGTTGAGTTGAGCTGCCCGTAAATGAGCAGAACGAATCCGCCAACGGGGGCCTCGGGCCCGGGATCCGTTGGCTTGGGCGCCGTCAGGGGAACTTTGAAGCGAAGTGTTCAGGCGACATTTGAAGGTGTGTCCGAGACTATTCTCTTCCTTCCTTACTCCGTACCTTTGTGTCATTCTACTCCGTAGCCCGCTGCCTGTCTCGCCTATCTGATTTACCCTGTCCACTATATGTATATCGAGCAGACATTCACATTCGCGTTCATCTCACTATCCACCAAAACATTGCCTTTTCTATCCAGTTCCCTTGAAACCTGTGTCCTGGGCTCCTCATCTTTTGTCTTTCCTTTTCTTTGCTTGTAGACCCTTTTGCTGTCTCGGTTCACGCCGTGCTTTCCCAACTGGGAAAAGATCAACCTGAGGTGTCGACTTCGAACGACGACTTACCTGACTCGACTCAACTCAACTCACTCAGACTCAGTCCTATCAACAGCCTTTACATTCTTTCCCCTATCGCGAGTTGAGCGTCTTGTGTTGTTTTGTCATCGTCAACTTTTTTTCTACATTTTCTGAACCTTTTATTCTTTTCGATCTGTCATTTGGTCTGCTTGCGTTGGTCACTCCTACCACTTGTGGACCTTGCCCAGCCTCATTCATTATTCATATTCCAATTTCATCATACATCATCGTCACCACCTTCATCACCTCACTCTCAGCTTTGTGCCAATGCCAAGTGGTTACCGCGCCTAAGCATTGAGAATCGTACAGGCTATCAACGACCTTGATCCTCGGCGATGCCTCTCCGCCCTCATATTGGACTCGGCTTCCCAGCTCATGCTTACCAAAAACGTCATGTAGAACCTCATGATCGCTCTACTGGGTACCAGCCCAAGGTTCGAATCACTGACCGTTATCGTATCATCGGTTTTATTAGCTCCGGTACATATGGACGAGTCTACAAAGCAGTCGGTCGCAATGGTAAGCCCGTCGGCGAATTTGCTATCAAGAAGTTCAAACCCGACAAGGAAGGAGAGCAGATCAGCTACACGGGCATCTCCCAGAGTGCTATTCGTGAGATGAGTCTATGCAGCGAACTTCATCACATCAATGTCATCCGCCTTTGCGAGATTATGCTGGAGGATAAGTGTATCTTTATGGTATTCGAATATGCAGAGCACGACTTGTTGCAGATCATCCATCACCACACTCAACAGCCGAGGCATCCAATTCCTCCTGCTACTATCAAAAGCATCATGTTCCAACTTCTCAATGGATGTCAATACCTACATATAAATTGGGTTCTGCACCGAGATCTCAAGCCCGCCAACATCATGGTTACTTCTTCGGGAGAGGTTAAGATTGGTGATCTGGGTCTTGCACGTCGTTTCGACAAACCTTTGCATTCACTTTTCAGTGGAGACAAAGTTGTCGTGACTATATGGTATCGCGCTCCCGAACTCATTCTTGGTTCTTATCATTACACACCAGCTATTGATATGTGGGCTGTCGGCTGTATCTTCGCTGAGCTCCTATCCTTGCGGCCTATTTTTAAAGGCGAGGAAGCCAAGATGGACAGCAAAAAGACTGTCCCCTTCCAACGTAACCAGATGCAGAAGATCATTGAGATCATGGGCGTTCCTACTAAAGACAAGTGGCCTCTTCTTCCAACCATGCCCGAATACAATCAGCTCAACACTCTAGCCAACTCTATGGCGTCATCTCATCACGGCCACCACAGCCATCACCCACATCACCACGGCCACTATGGCTCCCGGAATCCGCCCCCACCCCTACCGGGTGGTTCAAATCTTGAAAAGTGGTATTTCAGTACCATCAATCACACCAGTACCCCCGGCGGTCAACCGCCACTTGCTTCTCTCGGCCAAGAAGGGTATAAGCTGCTCGCTGGACTCCTCGAGTATGATCCTTCGAAGCGCCTCACTGCCGCCCAGGCTCTTCAATCGCCATTCTTCAGCACCGGCGACCGCGTCAGCGCGAATTGCTTCGAGGGCTGTAAGAACGAGTATCCATGCCGACGAGTGAGTCAGGACGACAACGATATCAGGACCAGTAGTCTTCCCGGAACGAAGAGAAGCGGATTGCCTGATGACTCCCTCCTACGATCAGCTAAAAGGTTGAAGGAGTAATCCCAGAGGCTGGGAGACAGGTCAGAAAAGGCTCGTCCAAGACGCAACCGTGCTTGCGGTGTTCAAGCGGGAGCATAGCTTTAAACTTGGCCGAGAACATAGGGCTTACGGGATACAAGGCGTTTTTGCATCGACTTTTACGGTAAATGATTTACGGTCGACCGGCTTTCTGTTTTTTGGCCGGCGGATAGATAGTGTAGTTTGCATAGGTATACCCGGCGTTTGAGTATAGAACTGCGATCATTTTTGCTTCAAATCTTTTGGCGTATACAAGACATGTAAGACTTGTTCGTTTCGATCATGGGAGAAAGTTGCAATAGCTAAGTAGATGCGTGCAACTATGGTATGATACACCAGTACGCCCTTCAAATTCACGCGCATGTCTGGTTTCTCAACTCGGTTCTTTGCCATTCAGTCTACTGTCGGCCTCACCCGATCCACATCCAGCACACCTCCAATTGAAGAAGAAGAAAAGGGTGCCGTATCATTAAGACGGATACATAAAATGGGTGGTGAAACTTCCTTTAAATAGAAAAGATATTCTTTCACCACAATAATGTGATTTGCAAAAAAGAACAGAATAAAGACAAAACATTGCAAGATACAAAAAAGACTCGAGGACATGCCTCAGATACGCTGCTAATTCCCTCTTTCGCAGACTGCCTACCACCCCGATTTTCTATCATCTTTTTCTGTTTTTCCTCCCCACAATCCCTTCTTCTCTCTTCCAACGTTTCCTAGCAATAAAAACGGATAACCGGGAAGTAGTATTAGAGCAAAACATGATAACAGTCGGGTATTTCAGCAAATTCGGCGATTGTTGGAGTAGGGTTTGGGGCGTAGATGAGGTTAGGTGATTCTCCTTTCTAGGAGGAGGGCGATGATCCAGAGAATGGGGTGGGCGGGTATCCTCCTTTCTTGCCAGACGTTATCCGCTTCGAGGACGTACAGCTTCGGATTTCGGATATCAGCTCGTGGAATGGCTGACAGGCAATGTGATTCGGGGAAAGTTTCGGGATCGGTCGAAATAAGATAGTAAGAAAGCCCTCAAGGATGGAATACAGAAGTTGAGAACGTCGCAAGTCAAGACTTGTCCTCGTCTACTTCTTAGCCGGAGTCGGAGGAGCCTTGACGTTGTTGGACAACCATGCCAGACCCTCGAGTAGTCCTTCGCCTGTGGTAGCGCAGCTAGGCACGACGTACCAAACCTTATCCTTGAGCTTAGAGAGCTGAAGGGCTTCAGTGACTTCTTGGGGTTTCATGGCTACATTCGTTAGCTATATCCTATGGTCTGATTGGGAAGGGACTAACCCTCTGCGAGATCCTGCTTGTTGGCAAAGACGAGTAGTAGACTGTCCTTCATCTCACGATCGTTGATGATGCGGTGGAGTTCTTGTCTAGCCTCCTCCATGCGGTTCCTGTCGGACGAATCGATAACGAAGATGAGACCCTGAGTACCTATATTGCATCACCATCAGCATGTTGTCTAGCGAACGTTCTCGGAGAACTAACCGCTGAAGTAATGCCTCCACAGAGGTCGAATCTTGTCCTGGCCACCAACGTCCCAGACGTTAAACTTGACGTTCTTGTACGTGACAGTCTCGACGTTGAAGCCGACAGTAGGGATGGTGGTGACGTCCTGGCCGAGCTTGAGCTTGTAGAGGATAGTTGTCTTTCCGGCAGCGTCGAGACCGAGCATCAACAGGCGCATCTCCTTGGATCCGAAGATCTTGCCCATCATCTTTGAGAACTGACCGCCCATGGTTGCGGCTTTATTGTAGCTTGGTAACTGTGATTATCGGTGTATGCGCTTGGAATCGCGGATGGTGTGATGTTTAGATGTGGATGCAAGAGATGTTATCTCGGTGGCTTTTCGTTTCAACCTGCTCGGCGCATGTGTCAGCCTCGTTATACAATAGCAATAAGCCAAACTTTGAACAAAGATTGGAAACAAACGGGACAAGAAATAGCGTGTCAGGTCCAGCGACTGCAATTGTGCTGGGGATTGTCATTGGTTTGAGGTACACCCAAAGACGAGATCTTGACAATGACAATGACCCAACGTGGCTCTTTCTTGTGTCTCCCGTCAATAATCCCTCTCTGGCCCGTTTGAACGTATTGTTTATCGTCCGTGTTGTTTCAAGTAGAAGATGCAATACATACACCTTGATGTTGACTTCTCGTGCGGTCGCGCGTATCGTATCGTATCGAATCGAATCGTTGTTTTGTTTTGTTTAGTTGTTTTGTTTATGCGTTTCGCAATCGACGTCTAGTCCTTCGGATACGGGTGATATTTCGGTCGATAAAAGAAACCTTGAATACGTATTACAGCCGGTCAAGTGAATAAAATGGATACACATCAAATATCCATCTCTTGGTCTGAAGTGTCTGTTTCCTTTTCCCCCCGTCAGGGGAAGAAAAAGGGACAGCACAAGCGAAAGCGGCTTCCCTCCACTCTCGAATCTCCCCTGGCCTGAGCCCCTCTCGGCCTAGCGTTCAGCACGGGGCAACCACGCGGGCGGGGACACTGACGGGCGCCCCAATTGCTGTGAGTCTATGACGGTCAACCACTGAAGCCCCCTGCGAGGTCCCTGGAAATGAGATAACTGTAAGGTACCCGACCCGCTGTCTTTAAATGGCCCTGGCTCAAAGTCCAGCCATAAACAACGGTCAACCTGTCGCCTGTCGAACCTCCGCTGCTCTTAGTGCAAGCCTCAGTCAATATTGGCATTTCTATATCACGCGCACTTATCAACATGGAAGGTAATTAGTTGATATCTATTGTTTATAGCAGCGCTTCTATAAGTGCTCTTTTCGGGTTAATCTTCCAGCACGTGATGATCCACAACGATATTAAACGGAGCGCAGCGCATACCAATATCCCGGAGCATATCTCATCTGTGTATACCAATCTCGGTAAGCCTTCATGCTATGAAGACCTACCGTATTGCCCATATCGGCAAATCATGCTCTATACTCGATGACAAACCTCCTCTCAACCTGTTGTAGTGTTGACGAGTCGTTCTCCCCTTCAAACTTGAGATTGACTTTGCCATGATTGTCCATGCTGTGAACCTCCGCCTTGTAGAACGTCGTAGTTTGGGGATATAGGGCCAACACCACCTTGCCCGCCTCCCAGTCCTTGAGAGTCGCGGCTTGACTCTCGGGTGCGATTGGAATCATGCTACTCGCGCTCGATCGGTATTCCTTCTGTTTGCTCTGGTCCTCTGGTTCTATATCAAGAACCTTGTATCGTCGGCTTTTGCCTTCGCCCATAACTTGTGCTACTTCGCCTAGTATCCAATCTGATGTTGTATCGCCATTCAGTGCTTTCGGTTTGAACGCGACTGCATCACCTTTTGAGAAGACAACTTTTGATCTGTTGTTCCCCCCGACACCGCTTCCCACAGACCCCTGAGGCTCGACACTATCGGCCTTTGGTGGCATGCTGTCACGGTCTCTTTCTCTTTCCCTTTCCCTTTCTCTTTCTCTCTCTCTTTCCCTCTCTCGTTCCTTTTCCTTTTCTCGCTCCCGTTCCCGTTCCCGTTCTCTTGCTCGATCGCCGTATTTCCGCGATGCCCCTCCAATTGGACTCGGTACAGGTGAGTCGCCAGCTCCATCAAAGTCGTAGAGCGAAGATGCTGCTGCTGTGGTATCTCGAGCTTGCCTCTTCCCAGGTCCTGCCGCTTGAGCATCTTGCTGTTCCTTAGCATGCACCACAGCGCGCAGCACTTTAAGCTGCTCAATAGTATTTTTGAGAGCCGACATATTGGCCTCGGAGTGCTTAACTCCCGTCCGACATAGCTGTTCCATGTCTTTCAATGAGTCCCCTGGAATCTTCTCCAGGTCCATAGCACCAACTTGCTTGTCCATGGTAACCAGCTCACTCAGGCTGTCGTTCTCGGCGTTGATCCCTGAGACGATCTCCCCCACTTGGCTTTTACACAAATCCCATATCTGCACTTCCTCTCCGTGTGTATTGCCGTTGTTGCGGTTCGACGCACGTCCACTGCGGTTTCGTTGCGACATCTCGCGGTTGTGGCGCTCCGGCTTCACCGACTCTGGGCGCGGGGTATTATGTTCACTTCTGGGGGACCTCTTAGGCGTGCCCACGTCCGAAGTTATGTCCCGACTATTGGTTTTGGTCCTCGATTTGGATGGCCGGTTCGGCGTGGAATCTCTACTGGAAGGATCCTGTCTTTTGGAACCCGATCGTTTCGGCTCAGGTGTATTGGACGATTGGCGCAGAGACTCTTGAAAGCTGTTCTCTCTTGAGTGAGTACCACTTCGTCGGGGCTTGAGAGGAATTTGGTAGTAGGGTCCAAGGTCTTCTTGGAGGTTCCTGAGTTCGTCCCGCGCAGGCTTTTGCCCGTTAGCCATCCTGCCCCGATACCACCCGCCTAAACAGAATGTTGCGATGAGAATCAACCCGAGGAAGGAACCATTTTGATGAAAAGCCAACAGATAGAATGAAAATAAAAGTAAAAGTAAAAGCAAAAGCGTGGGATTGTATGAAGAAAGCGCATGGAATTCATGAAGAAAAATTGACTAACCTGAGTTAAGAGAGGCCCGAGTGGTCAGAGGCCGAGGCGGGATGGTATGGGGAAGGAAAGGCGACTAAGACAAAAGGCGCGTCGCAGATGAGAAGGGATCGGCGGGGGAGAAAGGAAATGGGGTAAATATGGCAGGTGGAATTGCAAGTGAAAGATATTATCTCATGCTAGAAAGGTACTTTGTAAAAATGGAAGCTTAATTGCTCAGTAAGTGGGTATCATAACATGTGGTATCAAGGCGTGTCGTATCGGTCGTGATGGTGCTTAGTCTTCCTCTAACAATTGAGGCTGATGATCCAATGCCAAGGGCAGCCTACTTACGGCAGAAACAAAGGCGGTGAAGAGATGGGGTTACCGCATCAAGAAGCTCCCATTAAGGTGAGTGCGAATTGAGTACCCGGCTGTGCTAACACTGTACGTCATGCGGTTCAATGATTGAACAACCTTGTTCAACATTTCGGCGAGATAGCTCAAGGTTCCCTAGACAAACACAGTTTCCTTCTCTTCAAATAAGGTTTATCTGTCAATATAGACAGTGTATTCGATATTGTACTTTTCAATTCGGTTCAAGTTTGCGCATGACAACCGGAAACGGTCCAGAAATGGGGAGGTTTCCTAGCGCAAAAGCCAGTTCATGACAATAAAGCCTGGTCGCCTAGTGATATAGAAGCTCCGTGTAACAAATCTATGTTTATTAGAATATATGGACCAACTATAACTTTTATTTCTTCTCGCTGTTAAAACATATCTACCGCCTGCCTGATCTCAAACACCAATTCTGGCGCTCGCACACAAGCCATGCCCTTCTATAGCTTCTGCTTGTCCGAGTCATCGATCTCGCAAAACGCCTTGAACGTAGTGAACTCGTCATCCTCATCACCCTCGGACTCAAGCACAACCTCAGCCGTGGCACCCACGAAATACACATACCCTGCTTGCATCTCTGCACTCGTGGGGCCGACCGAGATCTTTCCGCGACCGCTTGTACAGATCACAATGCTAGGACCTTCGAGGGGCTCAAAGGTGGCCTTGGAGCCGTCTCCCCGAAGGAGGGTGCGCACGACACTAAACTCCTCGATGGGAGGGTCGTACAGCAGAACTGCTGAGCCGGAACTATAAGCGGTGCGGTTGAGTGTCGCGTAGGGGTATTCGGTAGGTGTCATCTTTTGCTCCTCAATAGGCGCGAAGTTGTAGGTCAACATATCGACAAGAGTCGAGACATCCTTGAACTTGGGGGTGAAGCCAGCGCGAACAACGTTATCGGAGGCAGCCATGCACTCCATGATGTCGCCAGAGATGTAAGCGTGAATGTCATCGGCGACCAGGAACAAGGCCTCGCCAGGCTCCAGTGTGACAAAGTTGAGGAAGAAGAGCACAAAGCATCCAATGTCGTCACCAAACTCGCCGTGTGTTCGCTTGACGAGTTCAGCAAGCTTCTCGCCAGACGTGGCAGTAACACCGCCACCAGCGAAATCAACGCCCTCCTTCTCGGCTTGTTCGACCAACTTGGGCATTTGCTCAGCAATGTCCTCCGTCGATGAAGACATGAGCGATCCGAAAGCCTTCTTCAGGAGCTTCTTCTTCTCATCAGTTACGCCCTCCTCGCCGTCCTGTGCAACCTTCGCAAACTCTTTGGCAGCATCGTCGCCCACCAGGGCTCGTAGCGCTGGTACAGTGTCAAGGAAATGAACAATCTCGGTCAGTGGGCGGAAACCGCAGAGACCCTCGAAGGGTGTGATGGCAATGGCCATCTCGGGCTTGTGGTTGTCATCGGGGTAGTTCTTGGAGTCGCGAGCGTGAAGCTGCTCGGCGAGCTTCTTGTTGGGGTGGGCCTGGATCGAGAGGGCTTTTGCGATAGAAAGAACCTTGAAGAGGAAAGGAAGCTTGTGGCCATAGTGGGAGGAAATGGTTTGTGAGAGGAGGGCCTGGTTGTCTTGGAAAAGCTCAAGCAGGGTTCGACCGGTTTTGAGATCTCGAGAAGGGTTTGAGGGGTGGGTTCCCATCCATAGCTACATGGTGTGAGTTTTAGCTATAGCACATCATGCAAATGCTCACCTCTGCGTATGGAGTGTCAGCCTCGATCTTGAGCTCGTCGGATGGCGTGGCGGCTGCGAATTGCGCAGCAGCGGAGTCATTGCCCTTCTTTCCCCAAGCATACGAGTTGACACCGCATTGCAGTCGAAATAGAGGAACCTGCATGTTTGCAATGGTTGTTTGGATGTGTTTTGCTTTGATGCGATACTGAAGCTGTAGCTGTAGCTTCAAAGGTGATCGTGTCGGATAATGGTATCGTAGGATTATACGGGTCGGAAACTCTTGGATAAAGCTTCAGAAAGTATCGCAGAGATATGGCAAGGTAACAGGAGTTCCAAGTTGACTAAAGAGAAGAGAGATGATGACACAACTGCAGAAAGAAACCACAGTTCGTACCTAATGACAGCCATCACATTACCTACACGCAGTTACCTCACCAAAATCGACCCCCACCACTGAACTGGTGCAGTGCTTAGTTGAGTCTTCCCTGTAGCTTACCGAGATAGCGCCGTTTTCTAGGCCTGGTCACCACTGGTTACCCCGCTGTGGGCCTGGAACTATTTGTCTCTTTCCTGTTCTGGGAGGTTCTCAACCATGTGATCATGAGCCTCATTACACGATATCAGGGGTTTTATATTGCAGCTGAAAAAGTGTAATTTACTTCTACGAGGACATCAACTAGTTCTTACAGAGACACGGATATTGTAAACTCCGTCTTAGAGAAGTGCCTTGAACAATGCAACTGCGTGCTCACTTACCTATTAGTTAGTAAAAGTCACCATCGAAGAGCACAAGATGTGATTCAAGGGCGAGACTCATAGGCTCTATTTGCTCAGAATGGTACATTTGTGCCTCATTACAAGACTTGGGCTTGTAATCTAGACAAAGCTTGCTCATTATCCATTACTCCCACTGTTCACTTCATCTTCTCTCAATCTTGACTTGCACCATTTTTGCCAAAAACTGTACAGACACATGCACCAACGGACCAAAAACATGCCTATTTTCATCTACCTGAACGCCAAGGTCTAATAACTCATGTAGTCCGGGTCCAAATTGTTGGGTGCCTTGTTTCATACAGCAACTTCTTTTCATCTCCCTGTACCCAGACTCCAAGTAACAAGGGCTGCAAATGAGAACCCAATGGATAAGACGCCAGAGGAGGTCAAAGATAAGGAAAAGCGATCATGCTGCACACTTTGACGACCCAATATGCAAATAAACCAGAAACAGGACAATAAGAAAGTGCAACTGAGGTATCGGAAGATGGGATCGGCCGTAACGCCACTGTAGTACGAGATCAACGCTCGAACTACTTCCCTGTTGGATGTCGTGCTCATCATTGTGATATATTCTCTGGACGACTGTAAGCCTCTCTAGGCGACATTCGTTCCGGGAGCGGGACGATCGATGAGGAGTCCGTCCATACCGTATCAACAAATGATAAGCGAGTTGACCCAACATGATAGGCGTTCTTAGGTTGAACTGATCATCTGTGGTCAATCTCGTTGACCTCATCAAGATCCAAGTGGATTTCGTTGTCATAAGAAATCAGGATCAGGCCAACAAGAGTAGTTGACGTCCTCAATATTCGTTCAAATCGCACACACTCAACTCCACAAGCCAAATGTAGGAATGCAAGCAAATAAGCAAAGCACAAGCGGATCAGCAACAACTATCCCTAGGACACCGGGTACTTTGTGGCAACTGAGTTCAAGCCCGAAGCGCTCCCGCACTCTTGCGGTAGTTGTCTGCCGCTGTGTCTGTCCCGACATTTCCAAGATCACCAGTGGGTAGCATGTAAGACGCAGAGTGGTGTGGTAGATAGTGCGCTGCGCTTTGGCCCAACGTGAGTGATCCTATGCCGCTGCCATTGAGATTGGGCAGATCACGACGAGCTGTTGACGAGACAGCGGCTGCTGTAACTGCCGTCGTCGTGTCCTCATAGCGGTACGTCATGTCGGGTCCGTGACGCATGGAGTCGGTCGAGGTAAACATAGCTGCTTCCGAAGAACCTGTATGCGAGTAAAGATCATTGCTGGCACGGCCGAACTGAGAAGCGAGCGTTATGGGAGGATACGAGGGGACGCAGCTCGCGGCGGAGACCATGCTCGAGGGCTCGTAACTTGTGTAACTCGACGGCGTCTCGGAAGTGCTGCTCACAGGCGAGGTCTCCAAAGTCGAGGCTTGAGACGACTTGCTGCTACTGCCGCTGTAGGTAGAGCTACCCGAATCGTTCTTGTACGACGAGCCAGGCATTGCTGACCGTCCAGCCGGCGCAGGCAGTACCCTATCACCAACATTGACGGATGTTGTCATATTCTGGTATGCTAGACTCTTGGAATCAGGCACCATATTTTGAAAAGCAATGTTTGACGAGTCCGCCGTTCCCTGAGCTGGCCGGTGTGGCAGTGTTGTAATAGCACTCGCGCTGCTATAGGCGTAGTTTGGCTCCGTGTCCACGCAGAGAGCGGCCTTACCAGACGCTCCAGATGCTATTCGATAGCCAATTCCATAATCCGAGTCGTGAACAGAGGGGAAAGGTGGTTGATAAAGACCATAGTTGTAGCCCTGCTCGTCTGTATATCCCTGGCTCCAAGTTGAAAGAGGGCAGTACGGCTTGACCCCATAAAAGGAAGTTGGAGCACGGTAAACGAGGGAATCGTTGGTGTATGGGGGCAGACCGTCTGGGTAAGATGGGTTTGTTGAAGGAAGAGACGACATGGTAGAACTCCCTCGTGCTTGATACTGTCGAGAAGCCTCAAGACTGTAAGTGAAGCTTTCGTTCTTCATGGGTGTCTCCTGGGAAGCAACCTGATGAATAGTGTTAGTCATAACTCAACCACGTTCTCATATGGACACATACTCTAAGGAACTGACAAGGCTCGTAGCCTGCGTTCTTGCAATTAGTGCATGGACCTCCATTGCCGGTATCACCACTGCAACGAATCTTCCTCTTTCGACAACGCCCACACTGATGTCGTTGTTAGCTCGCTACACAACTATGTAAGTCTCACACACACCACACACACCAGGTTAGAAGAGAGGGTTGAGAAGAGTTACCACTTACTGCTACTGCGATGCGTTTCCTTTGAGGTGTCACATCATCCTCACGGTCGCCCATGATTGTCCTTGTATCGGGATGAGCGGTATATGCTCCTCGGCGCTCCGGGTAGGATGTGTAGAGGTTCATCCGATTTCCGTATCGACGAACATCGTTCGAGTAACAGTTTGGGGTGACCATGGTATGTCTGGCTAGTGACATGAACTCAAGTAGTCAAAACGAAGGAGAGGACTTGAGGACTCAGTGGGGTTGCTGCTCAAGTTCCCTCATCAAGAATAGCAATCGTCCTAGTCGAGCCAATGTCTTTTGGTCAATAGCAGTCTCAACAAAGGGTTCTATCACGACTGCCGAAGAACAAAGTCTGTGGTTTGAAAATCGTTCCCGGTTTGCAAGCACTCGTCCGTCGGGACCCTCGGAAAGAGTACGGATAGGTGATAGATGATGAGGTGGTTTCTGTCGATGTGTCGGAGAAGTCAAATATTAGAATTACTTGTTCCCGTCAACTTCAATTTGACAAGACATGGACTGCTTGAGAAAGGAAATCTCGTTTAAGACCAGAAGAAAGAAGAGATCCAGAGACTGAAAGATCTGCAGCCATGGCATCCTGTTATACTCCGTACCACTGGCTTAGACCACTCATGGTATGGCCGCCTGTATATTGTTTGCTTCACCCAAACGCGATTATAACTTTGTTTCCTCCAATAAACGGCCCTAATATTTGGGACACCTGGTCCACTACATAGGGAGAAGAGTAATGATCGAGGCTCCCCACCAGTCTTTCTGTGAAATGAAAACACACCTCGTACAACAGATGTCATTAGTCTAGGAAGCCTTTCAACATCCTCTCGCCTTGAATGGCACGCAAGAAATGTGTGGCTAGGGGATCCCAATTTTGCGAGATGGGTCGGCTAGGTGCTGATGGCTTGCATGTTGGCAGTATCGCCATGCGGCTGTAACTTCCTGGCTATCGCCTCCACAGGGACGCAGATATGAACGGGGTTCCACCCCTAAAAGGAAGTCCGATCTACAAACGGATCGGATTTGGACCTTCCCCAGATCGTCTCAGATATACAGAAGGGCTTGGTGGACCAGGGTCTATTCGAATCTGAAACGAGCGTTCACACGGAGCGTCTCTGTCCAAGTTGAATTGAGTAATCTTGAAGACATAACCTCCTCTGAATCAGTGCCCTGGACTATAAGAGTATACATGTGAAAGTGCAACTGTTCTCCCATCCCGCACGACGTTCGAAGCGAGACTTTGGCTGACATGCAAGACCATGCATTACCTGCTACTAACACCAGGATAACCGAGCTAGTCGGAGTTCCAATATGTCCTCGTTTGTCAAACGGCTGTTTCTCCTGGTTTGGAAGAAGAAAGCACTCAAGAAAGAGATAGATGTGAGACTTTCTGGGTCCGCCGTCAACGAACAGATATGTCTTGGCGAGTATTGCGTCGACCCCACTCAGGACATGTGTCCATGAGAGGAAATGTCAGGCCTGCAATGGACTATGTTACCCAATGCGAATCTCTACCATTGATTGATGCAGCCCTCGTCAAAGGTATGTGCTGAGATTCCCTTCGGTTGTAACGCAACGCAAAATCAGTCGTTAACAGATGCTGAAATTCCCTTGCTTGTGATCATTTGTGTAACAGGCGTGCGCTACAGTCATATTGACGTAAAGCCAGTCATTTTCTACAGCAGGTCCACACAGTAAGCTCCGTTGGGGAAGCTCTGTATCCCGCCTTGTTGTGATGTCTTGCTTGATCTTCACTCATAGATTAGGTCACTAGCCACCCATGCTATCAATGCAGATTAATAAAACAGCAACGGCCGTTACTCCCTCATACCGGGTACTTGGGTGGTTGACCTTGTTGGTGTGAGCGACGACGTCGAAACAGAGAGCAATGACGGTTTCGGTGCAGAAAATAAATGTTCAACCACAAACAAACAGCCGTCAACGCCACACCAGACAAGCATGATACTGTAGGGGTCTAAACTTTTCCGTAGGTTCGCAGACAAGACTAAGGCGTGCACAGGGATGTATTACACACAACGGTATCTAAATATCAGTTTGAGTCGAGACAACTGATCGATTTGTTCTTCAGTACGATCCAGTACTTCCACTTCCTTCCAGCCAGGTTTCAGTGTACAATATACAATATTGTAATCTCGCGGCCCACTCACTTTGAAGTGCAGATGCGGACGACAGTTGTTTGCAAGAGTTTCTTCTGATGCTGTTACTGTGCTGGGGTTACACGAAGAATGGTCCACAATCTGGCTACTCCTATGTCTGGTTCCGAATTTAATCTGCAAGACAGAGCTCAAAAATCGGTTCAAGGCGTTAAGGGCTGACAATATGCAGTGGCGAAAAGCAAGGGACAGTAAAGTCCTTCCCGCGTTGAGCCAAACGGTGCTATTCGGTGCGAGTGTAAATATAGAACGAGGCTTAAGCCCGTATTGAAACAGCCAAGAGGGGTTATTGCAGAGAGAAACCAAACGCTGGCCATGCCGCAGAAGTCATGCAAGCCAATAGGATGTACCATTCAAGACTTTATTCCATGGCACGGCCCTGATAGGGATAATTCGACAACAACTCCACAAGAGCCTGATGCTCTATGTAAGGAGTCGATGTGGAAAGGCCATTACCCCTTGCGTGGCGTTAAGCGATGTCTTACTTGTATCAAACGCACAAAGCCTTATTCCAGGTTTTCGATCAAACGATAACAATAGGGCTCTTGTGACTTTAGAGTGTGCTTCAGCTACGCAAACGCACCATGTTGTCTCAAACAAGTAAAGACAAAAGCAAACAGAACTTGTGGAATATCTCATCACCCAAGTATGTGATCGAACGAGTCTTGTACGAAGAAATCTCAGACTTGATACAGTAACATAGGCAAGATTCGAGATCTTGTCTCGTTGCAAAGCTGAATCAATGGCCGTTCTTTTGAGTCGGGCTTGTTTCAATTGGTTCCAGAGCAAGCCTTTTCGCGTCCAGAGTCAACCAGGTATTGCATTAAGCCTCCATCTTCTCCGAACTACATGTGCAGTAGGCTAGCCCCATCAGGCGCGCTCGCCTGCTTCCTTTCTTGCATCCACCGCTTGCTGTACCATTGCGCTGTGGTGTTCTAGCAAGTGTATCGCTCTAGGTCAAAAGAGGATGTCGTCCGTGATAATTCAGGAAGCGCAGGATCCAGCCCAGGGCGGAAACTTCTTTCAGCAACGTCCCGAAAAAGATGCTACACACCAAACTGACATTAAGGTGTGACGCATGGCTATGCGGTTGCCCGTTTGTGCTTCCATCATGTACCACACATGATTGGTCCAGTCGGTCCAAGTGTTCACCCTGAGAGCCTCTTGTGACGCACTACCAGGACGAAGATAGGGCAGGGTAGTGGCTGATAAATACCCCTTCCAGCCAGTGCACCATGCTTACGATTGCAATAGGGCCCTGTAACGATCCGTGAAATGGGCGCGGGGAAGCTCCATTTGAAGATCCGAAGCCTGAAAGACATGCACGGAACAATCTGAAACTCTTTCTTTTGGAAGCAGCATCACAAGGCCACTTGACTTTGGCTGATTACATGCCGCTGGCCGTTATAGACTGAAATCGCAGTCAAGCCATGCCGGCTTAGCGACAGGGCCTTCGGCTTTGTGTAGTGTAGTTGCACATCTCGATATGTTATTGTCTGATAAATCATGCTGGGAAAATGTGTAGGCGTCACTACATCAAGAAGCCCACACAATCCGGGTAAGCATCAACGTCCTATCACCTTGTAAATGTAGCAGATGGGTCCCGGAGTCAAGTGTTACCATAGATAGAATGGTGTAATTGCCAGAAACATTGCGTCTAGCTCGGTCGTTGGCCATCGTACCCCGTAGCTCGTGTTATGGAGATATCGGAATGCACAGTGTAGCGCAACCAACCGTTCTTGATCTTTGATATCAATGCCGAGCTCAGTGGCGGTTTGAAACAGTTGTATTGATCTCATATGCACTCTAGCCAGTGCCTGAATCCATTCAGAGAATTGATCCAGACAGCCCGTATGACAGAGTTTAGGGTCTGGTGCTGTTTGACTGACCCCAAGCTTGACCGCAGCAGTCTATGTGCAGGTGTGTACATCAATCTTTGATGTTGAGGAACATACCGGCCACGCCCCTAGGTGCCTTGTAGTCAAACTGGAAGCTGTGCTCGCCTGTGTCTTTGAAAGCGTAACAGGAGAAGCAAGCATAGCCGAGAATGACGGACTTGATCCGTAGATAGATACCGACAGCAGTTTCTGGTGTGCCGAATTGTTCGACAACCAGCCAACTCGTACGAAATATAGTATCTGGACATAAAGCCAAACATGTTGTGGCGTGCTGCCCTGCAATGTTTGGTCCCTCGTTGACGAGTGTATTACCCTCGTTGGATGTAATATGCTGAACATCTCAAAAGGGAGCTGTCATGTGTGACAACATCTCAAGAGTTGGGAATAGCGATACCACCGGCAAGTAATGCCTTGGCAGCAGAGCTGGGGTAGTCCGGAAATCTCATCCAGAGCGACCCTCCTGGTTGCTCAACAGCGGAAGGCAGATCTTCTCCGTTGACCCATGGTCGTTGATACATGCCAGTCAGATAATTCATAATAGCGTTGCTCATGACTAACGGTGCCCGGCAAGGGCTCGGTTGAACAGTCCATATTATTCCGTTGGTTGCAGGAACCCAAGAGACGTTCCGTTGAAGGACCGTACGTGAGATGACGGAGAGCTTGGCGCTTGCATATCACGAAATAGAACATATAGTTTAGTGAGGAGTTGCCTTCAGGGCGGGAACTGTCAAACTCGTGTTATCAGGGTATTCCATGCTCGTGTAATGCCACACGATGCAATGCATATTGGTATTAGTTGACGTGTCCACAGACCGAAGAATGGACCGGAACGCTTGCCGTCGATGGTTTTGCGCTCAAGGGCACCAGTTGGGCGTTATACTGTTGTAATCCGTTTCGCAATCACTAAAATCCTTATCTCCTTGACCTACGGTCATAGTCGTCCCTCCCAAATCGACCCTTTTCTCTACCTTGGTCTCGGCGATCGTGGTTCCGGTCCCGATATCGACGTCTATCTTCATCTTGACGATCTCCGTCTTGTCTCTCGCCGCCTCGGCGATGATCTCGTGGTTTGCGATACGGATCCTGTCCCCGGTTTGTTGGTCGTGGACTACGACTCCTGCTTCGTTGCTGTGATGGCCCGCCTTCATCGTGTGATCTTAGAGGAGGCTCGTCGGTCGTTTGTTGTTTGGATCCATTACGTCCAACCTTGCCCTTCATCTCCTCGTCTCCATAAACCATTCTGTAGTTGTTGCCTGTGACCTTCTCTCCTTCACCGCGGTACTGACGACGCTTTTCAAGCTCATCAACACCTCCCCAACCACCACGTCCAGCAGTCGCTCTGCGTTTGTTATTGGCATCTTTTCGCCATCCATCACTCAATTTGCTAACACTCTGAGAAAAGTCCACGTGAATACGTCGATCATCGATTAGAACTCCTTGCATCTTGAAGTAAGCTGCCTCGCAAGAGGCTTTGTCATCATATTCGATGAATGCATATTGCAAACTGTCACCCGTCTTTTGATCTCTAATAACTTCACAGCTCAAGATCTTGCCAAATCGGCCAAAGATGAGCTCCAGGTCTTCATCTCCTGTCACAGGATTCAGCTTACAGACGAACAGGACGTTCTCCGGAGGCTTCACTTCGGCAAAAGGCAAATCTCCCATCATTTCAAGGGTGAGAGCTTGCGCCTGGGCCTCGCGATTACGACGCCTCCTTTCTAGTTCTGCCTCGTCGACATTATCATCTTCGTGCAACGCTGCCTCATCTGCGATACGGACAGTTTTTAGCTGCTCGCTGGTTGGAGGTGGGCTTGAGCTCGGTTCTCTTAAGCCTGGTGGGTCGGCGTAGGGATCGTCCAGAATAACAGTATGTTTGATTCGAATGTCGATGAGCGGGTAACCCTTCTCGTCCACGATTGCCTCGTTGATCTTGTCCAATATCTCGAAACCTTCGACGACCTTTCCGAAGATTGCTGCTTTTCCATCCAAATAGTCCGTATCCTCGCCCAGCGTGATGATAAACTGGGAGCCAGCCACACGTGTATCAGGGTCGGACTGAAGGGGGGCTGTAGCCATGCTGACTGTGCCTCGCTCGAGATGTTTTAGCTTCGGGTGGAAAAAGGCCGGAAATGTTCGTTTTGTCGGGTCGCCAGAGATATGACCCCATATTGAAGAACCGCCATCAGAATCTTTAGAAAGAGGCCCGAGAGGATCGCCTGTCTGGAAGGAGAAATTCTTCTGAACGGAGTGAACGGGAGAGAAGTTGTAGTATTTGACTTTGCAAAGCTTGAGAAAGCTACCTCGTTTGTTAGTACAGAAGCTCAGCAACGAAAGCACAAGTCGCAATGGCATTACTTACTTTTCGCATAGCTTCGGCGCATGGTCGACTAAAAGGTCGATTACAACATCACCAGCACTGGTCTCCAGGAGAACCGACATGGCGGCTTGTTGAATGCTTCAGTATTACGCGACAACGGTTCGATTAAATAGAAAGCGAAATAGTTGTTGAGGTTGAAGTCGCGCTGTCGAAAAGATTGGAAGGTTAGAATGAGGTAACGAGCATGAGCCACAGTCGCGAAGGCAGGCGCCACTGAACAAAGCCATGGCGGTGCAGTCATTACATAATCACACGATGTTGTAAATGCACTTGGACAGCATCTTTAATCCTACTTACCCTAAGCACATCTTGTAAGTAACCTTTGACTTCATCTTTCGCAAGGTTCTCCTCTTCGTCGTTTATTTTCCAAGTTATTTTCCTTTCTTCAAGAGGTTCGACTAAGACGAGTCCACCATAAGATATTAACTCTCTGTTACCTTTTGCCCAGCTGAACGGAACAGTCCAACGTAATACCATCAATTCGTCAAACAATCGAGCGGCATCCACATCTCCAATCGATATATCTTATGTTCACGATCAAGACCTTTCTCTCAGCCTCATGAAGTAAATGAGGCTCTTGTATGATTCCCTAGCTCATTTGGAGGATCTATACCGTGCGCCTCTCACAGGGTGGTTCAACCAACAACCAACTCCGTCACCAACAACTAACAAAGTGTCCCCAGGCTCACAACTACCGATGCTCGATCTTGTGGACCAACTTTGAAAGAAACGACCCTCAGTTTATTCTCCGTGCTCACTTTATTGACCCGCAGCAAACTAGCAAACGTCACAGGCATGGGACCGCTTATTATGACGTTCAAGGACCCTTATCTTGATCAGAGAAAAAAGTTTTTCTCTTCAATGAAACAATGTTTTGAATTATTGTTGACGACCACCTGCCAAGGATGCATATTCTGTGTCGTTCCTCGATGATCGGCGGGAGCAAAATGTCCGGCGTGATAGCATCGCTGCCTGTGCTTTGCCGTCAGCCACATGACCAACAAGGATCATGTACCACGACCTTCCAATTGGGGCTTTTTGTTTTCTGGAAGACAAGGCCTTGAAGTTTTCAACATCATCCCCAGGATCTGGATCTCGATGTGTTGGTACGTAGCCCGAGCAGTTGACCAGCTACGTCATATCATACCAAGTATCTGGGGATTGACAGCCTGGGATAGCATTCTCTTGTATCATACGTCTCATATCGGATATGCTGCTGTTGTCTTGGCCGTACAAAGGGACGCCGTTGGCTATTGAACTTAGCTCTGCTGGCGTTTCAGAGTCTCTACCGTGGAGATCGACAACGGTTTGAAGTCATTTCCATCACGGTGGTTGCTAGTATGGTGTCGTCCTGGTGAACTGGAGTGACGTCTCGGTAAACGACATACGAGGTCATTCACGGGAGCGCTAGGGTAGACCTTCCGGGGATCAGATGCAGACTGGCGGCTCAAGTGAGCGAAGATCATGGTTATCTTGCCTACTATGAGACAACCGGATGGGAGTGACCAGGTTCTCCATCATAACACTTCAAGAAGCCGTGCATTTGCCCTGGGTTACTGCTATCCATCCGGAGCATCTGCTCATGCTATCACCGGCAACTGCATTTACGATGAACGATCTTTTCCTAAGGTTCTCAGTCATTGTGATGTCAGTCTCTAACCAAACCGCCTAGACCACCCCATACAGCATCCACCTTAGCAATCGCCTCAAGACTGTGCTATAATATCACAAAACCTGCTTGTCCATTAACGTCACCGTCCCTGACGGTCATGCTACCACACCACGCACAGTCACTGACCGTCAGTGTCTAGAGTGTCTACACCTTGGTGTGCATTCTGCACATCCTGTCGATCCCCAAGTCCAGACTACCGTTTTCTTTGCGGCGGTGTGCCGTGCTATGACCAGTGGCAACTTGGGAGCAGAAAAAAACAAACTCCCCGATCGTGATCGATAAAGACCAATCGCTCTAGTAGCTCATATCAGAGACATTCCCTTAGCGCTTCTGACCGTTATCAGAGACGGTCAAGGGTGTGCAAGCGCCCGGGCGTTTAAACATTTAGTCAATGCTGCCCTCCCTCCCCACCAAGTTAGCGAGCTGTGGAAGATGATCTTCATTTCCCCCAACGGGCTTTTGATGCAGCAGGGGGGGCAAGACGATCCCATTCAAGATGGTGGGTTTGACGCGTGTTGTCTCGCTATCTTTTTTTGTTCTCTTTCCAGCGAGCGGGGCCGGCCGGCATGCACAAGGACTTTTGGGGAGAATTTGGGGTAAAAGAGCGGTAATTCGATGTTTCGTATTATTGGAGTCACGACATGCTTCAAGTCAGTGGTAGACCGGGTGATGATACCCGAGAATGCATTCACAATCACGAAGCGACGAGACCAAGTTTGTTTGCGAGATTGCATTCGTATGCATTGATGTTCAAAGCTATTTGACGCTATCGCTAAAGATGTTCAGAATATCTCCTCTCGGGAGATCTTCATGATGATGAATAAATAAACTTGTGGCTTTTTTTGCCTCCGTAATCCAGCGTGGCTCAAGATAAATGAAAGGTAAAATAAAGCCACGATGATCGTGATATGCAGATACGGCCTCCAATACTAGTAGGCCAAATAAATGAACAAGAAATGAAATGTGTAAGTTGGGTATGAGGAAGATGAATAACCACAGGTTCCATCGCCTTTTCGCAAGTAGATAATGTTCCAGACTCTTATTCCTTTCCAAGAGCCGTTTGTATGCCCAGAGTGTAAAATGAGCTTTTCCTTCTCTTCTCAATTCGAGTTGAGCCCGTACCATCCCAATAACGCCTTCGCCGATGCAGCAAAGAAACAAAGAGAATGATTATAATTAATGCCAAGTTTTGTGAGTGTCCGTTCTTGTGGAGGCGCAAGTTTGCCACCACCTCAACACGACAACTGGCATTGTGTGTGAGTGTAGTAATGATATGATATGATGTGATGTAGCGGAGACGTAGATTACTCGTTGCCTGAGCTTCTGCGTCTTCGTCCACTGCGAAGCTCCTTTTCTGTCTCCATGAGCCTTGTCTGCACCCAAGTTCTGAATGCCCTGTCGGCGCGTACGCTGCCGCAGTTGAGGAGCTCTGTCAATGTGCGCTTGATGCTCTCATTGACTTCGGAAAGGCGCTGCTCTTCTGCTGAGATCTCGTAAATTGTCTCCTCATCTGGGATAGTAGAGAGTTCATTGCGGTCTTCCCAGCCGCTGCAACGGGCGTGCGAACGTGAGTGGTGTCGTCCACTCCGGGAGTGGCGTTTCGGTGATGGCGGGAGCGACAATGATGAGGATGATGATCGGGTGGGCGAAGTAGATGGTGATGAGGTGTGAGAGAAGTTAAACTCGGGGCGGATTTGGTCGAGATGGTCGCACAACTCTTGGTGCTGCTCAGTCAGAAGCATATACTTCTGAAGAGCAAGGCTATATGATTGCGCGCCAATGGAAGCCATCTTTGAGGAATATGTGACTGGTGTAGATAAAGAGCTACTCGTGCTTGATACTGATGATGATCGGTTGTGCCCGGAAAAGAAATGGGGTCTGACGTCTAATGACGAGACCATCGAAGCGATTCTGAGTTAATTGGGGAGAGACGAAGATTGAGTCGCGGTTGTGATGTTGTCGCGAACCAGGAAGAATCGAGGTGTCGAGTTTTATATGAAACTGTTCTTGTGACTTTTTTTTCTCTGTGTATCGAATGCAGCTGCACGAGCGTCGCAATATGTAAGATGTAGGTACTGTGTGTCGATCGTCGATAGTGCGTCGTGGTTGCTCAAGGCTAAGTAGGGGGCCAATGTTGGAGCTTAGAGAGAAACGTGTAGGTAGGATGTAATGTATGATCCACGATGCAGCACGAATTGGTAAGAGATGATAAGAGAGTCAAGTGACGATGGAGGAATAGAAGGAGGATGAGTATGGAGAAATATAAGCAAGGTTGACGGGGGTAGAGGATATAGTTATACTGAGCCCTCGATGATGGACGATAAGAAGTAGTATGATGCTCGCGTTATGGGGGGATGGGGAACTGGGAACAGCAGGGTGCTTCATTAATAAAGATACTGCACTCCCACTAGAATAGAATAACTACGGTTGATACGGTACGGGAGGGGTCAGCAAATAGATTGGTTGAAATGCAATGTACCAAGTACGAGATCCAAGTACTGAAGCAGCCAGGCCTGGAAATGGGAAATGAAGGGGAATTTCCAGGTCTCAAGCAACGAGTCAGCACCAGGAACAGCCACAGGTGAAGTACACTGGTACAAGTCCGAGCTTGACTTTACTTCCATTCCCTACCCCTGCCCTGTGTTTTTAACAACCCGTGTCTACTGTAAGTCTAGCTTTGGCTCTTCATTTTGCTAATTCTGAGTTAAGCCCGAGTTTCCTAGACTCGTCCTAGCCGAGTGCCTCTAAGCCTGGTGGAAGACGATGGGAATCTTGGGCTTAGAACTAGGCGTAAGCCAAGGGGGGAGGGCATCCGGCCCCTTCTATTGGAACCAAATCAAGACTTGGCCATGGACCATTGGGCCATGGCATGGGTGCGAAAATCCTGGGCACAAGCTTTGGGTGGTGGATCCATAGACGATGTGACAGAATGAGCGTGCGGTGGTGTGCAGCCCTTTCTCAGACCAGCCTAGCATATCTGGCACAGTGCACCTCCCAGTTTCCAATCTGAGAATAAGAATGAGGATAAAAGTTCTCACCCGGTTCGTTTGACTGGGTTGGGTTGGGTTACTTTGCTGAGTTGTTCGTCGTTGTTAACGGTAACTAACAGGATCAACAACGTGTGGCGCATTCCGCACGCCATCATCCACATCAATGAGCATGATTCTGTTTCCTGATATCGAGACATTGCCTGTCTTACCATTCCCACAAACGGTAGACTGCTTCAAAGTCAACTAACTCTCGCATAGCAAGTGTTTAACCGATGTTCCAGGGCATGAAACATATTCAGAGAATTTTTTATATCACTCATTCTGAGTTCCGATCTGGGAAAAAAGAACTCGATCCAGGTCTGTCTTCCTTGACTATAGGTAAATAGTAACCCCATAGCGTAAGTAGAAGTGGATTTGAACCCCAATTGATATGGAGACACGAACCCGTCCGTCTGTGCCCTGCTTTCACGATGTTTGATACTTCCCCGGTTGACTCCGGCCCGGAGTTTCATCAATATGGCTGATGTTGAAAATGAAGCACGATACATCGGTTGTTTGACTACATACCACCTGAATATGACTCTTGGCAATTCTCCAAAACAGAACATCGCCGAGGCTGTCAGATTCCCCTCTTTCATAGAGACGAGACTGATATTGTTGGTTAGTGGTTGGACATCTCTTAGGTAAAAGAGCACGTCTTATTCTAGTGCCGGTGAGTTGTGGCGCCGGGGGTGGTAGACAGTCGCCCGTGCTGTGGCGATTGGTGTTAAGACCTTTATTCAGTACCAGGGCCTATTTTTTCACCCCAGGTATTATCTAGAGATATTTTTCTTCCTGCTGCAGCTGAGCGGACACAACTTACAACAAGCCTGGGGTTGCCCACCGCCTGACCCCACGTGCAGGACATATCTGCAGCCGGTGAAAACAAGAATTACCTGACGAGAAAAAACGGTGCAGTAGTATAGAGAACCCGTCAATGCAAGAGGTCACACTTTTGGTGCAAGAATATAAATAAATAAATAATGTGTGGTGAGATGAAACTAATCCGTACGTAGACACACTTGGAGATATCAGATTGGTACAGGGCTGCACTGTGCCGCTGAGCTGGGGTGATAAGGCAATTGAGCGGTAGGGATAACGAACCAATTCAATTGCTCCAAGCTAACTTAGATGATTGCCAGAAGATGCCTGGTCCCGGACTGCAACCCCTCCTCTTTTTGCAAAGCTCTTTACAGTTACGGCTACAGGCGGGAGTTTATCGTGGGTTGATAACGAAGCTTCGTGGGGTGATTAGGTGCTGCGAGAATGACTACAGTTACCGAATACAATAAACATCAGGTAGCTATGGGGATCAAGCATGTTAAGCTGTAACAGCGCACGCGTAATCCAATTCCCCGTCCTTGGAAAAGTTGTGGACTTTCTCTCACCCCTTGTATCCCACGATAAGAATCGAGGTGTGTCCCCGGAATGAAAGGCCTCAGTAAATTGAAGCGCCAGGATAAGCCCCTGTCGTCAGTGAAGCTCCCGAAATAAACAAGGGAGCTTATCCCAGCTCCCGAGACCTTAAGATGAGATAGAGAAACAAGCAATTCACCAGAAAATTACACCATAATTAGATTCAATTCAGCACAATTCAAGAGCAATGCGTGTCTGTGTGGGTAACTCATCAGTTGATTGTCAGGGGCGTTGCTTCAATTCTCTTCATGATCGACTTGCTTGCATAGCCGATTACCGACGGTTGGTGGGAAAAGACACATGACGTTACGAATAGTCAGTATCACCTCATTCAAGCCGCAAGAGGGAAGGTTTTTTCTGGGGAATCATGTTCATCAACCGAAACACGGCTGATAAGTCTCTTGTGCTAGGTGAAGCTTGAAGCTTGAAGCTCTTCCGGCATCAAGCTTCATGCTGATCCCATCGCCATCACAATTAAGCTAGTCAATCCAAAAACCGGAAATAGAAGATCAAAGCTCCGACGGAAGCTTCCTACGTATGCTTGATCGCCTTTGCATACATAGCAGAAACGTTGTTGGCCAAGTCCTTCAATTTCATTCGTCGCGTGATGTAAGTGTATCTCTCGGCAAACTATACCAAACATCTAGGGTAATCATCAGAGGGATGTCATTGAAGGCTAGGGAAGTCTCTTTGACTTGCCATTACGCAAGTGCATCAGCAGGTCAAATGACGCTGCGATTAGTCAAAGCTTCTGTTTGGATTGTGCTACCACCGTTTTGTCTTCAACTTTCATCGACGTGGTATCTCTCGGAATTGAGGTTGTGTCAGCCTGTTTTTTCAGACAACGCATCTCTTTCATCGTCATCAACACCTCTTTGCAAAGAAGTCCTAAAAGTTGATCAACAAGTCTAATATAGCACAGTGCAAAGCTTGTCTACACCATTGCTTCCTATCCTCAGAATAGAAATGCTAAACATTCACACAGTCTTCTCAGTACTATTCCTGCTAAGAATGTGTTCAGCCAACTATTCAGTCCGAATAGTGCTGTACCTGAACGTACATTCCAGCCCGCAACCGCGAAAGTGTTCCCTCATCGAGCCAAACATCGTCCAAATTCCTCCTAGTTGTGGCTAATGACCCCGTGGCTCTTTGCCGTTCATCCCAACAGTGCCACGTTCTTGGCCCCAAACCTAAGTGCACTCCCATCTGACCAACCTGACGGATTCCATTGTGCGAAACATCCAACAGGACAATAAGCACCTGTCGCCATCAAGCGCGGGGCAAGACCAATCATCAGCCCAGATCGCCAGCTTGACAACTTCTAGATCGTGCCTCCGAGGGCCATCCCTTTCGCTGTTCCCCGCAATGCAAACCCAATTGCCTCCAGGGGTCTCGAAGACTGACTGTGGCCAGTCCGTTGAGTCAACTGATCTCTAGAAGAGTCTCTTGAAGAGTCCCTTGAAATCTGGCCAGATTTCTGTACCTGAAATGGCGAGAAGGTTCATATCCGAGTTGCCGACTATTGATGCTGTCCTGGCTGTGCAATTAATCGTTTCAAAGCCCGAAATAATGATGGCGTCCCATACTTATGATCAATCAATAAGGTTAGCTGAGCATGGGCCATGCTGGACACCAACTCCACGATATCATGATCATGATTGATAACCGAGTGGTGTGACTTTTCCCCATACTGTACAACCTCTTAACCGTCATATCATGGCCATGACCTTGTAATTGATATGTCATTGCACCCGGACCCTGGAGTCTTTCATACGTCAATAGGATCCTTCACTGAATGCCGTCGAATAGAGCCTAGCTACAAACTGCGGGGCCACAACGCTTATCGTGAGCTGATAATCAGTGCAGTGGCACGACGCTTCATAACCAAGTTCCCGAGTGACTGTTCTGCGTAGTTTCTAGTTGTTGATCATCTGGCTAACCCAGCCGTTCGTCTTTCCGGGTATCCCGAACGGCAGAACATGCCGCATTCTGTTTAGACAATGCATGGTGCGACATCCGATATTTCGTCGTCTTGGCTAGTAAAGCCCGGGTTCTCGACTGGAATGCAGAGGAGTTATGCCTTGTAGGAAACTCCGCTACGATCTAGCTCCCGCTCTTCACTGGCATGAAACAATTATAGTGCTGATGTGAGTGATCCAGGGGCTCGGTCATGATTTATGAATTTTGCAGATGTGGATGGCAACAGTGTCGTCGTAGAATGGACCCTGTTGGACCTCTCGCTTTGGGATTGCTGATTGTAAAACTTCGACGGTAAGCCCGTTAGCTCGACACTGGCTCAGAAACGCCTGGAAGGTCTTCTCGTTACGTTCAGCTGCTGATATGAATACCTCCACGTGTGGGTTCAGGTCGAATACATCGACCAGAGTCCCGATCAAGGCTGGCACCACCCTCTTATCGTAAGTAATGTCGGCGCCAAGGACAACATCAATAGGACGTCCACCATTCCATTTCTCTTCTTCGGTACCCATAAGTGCGTGGCCCCATTTGACTTCCATTGGGGTTACCAGGGCGGAATCCTGAAGGTCGTTGAGGAAGAGGTTGTCAGGAAGGTTGTTGATCACATCGTCGGATCCATCCGATGCAATAACATGCTGAGAGCCAAGGAACTTCGCACAAAGAATGGAAATGTAACCAGTTCCAACGCCCAACTCCAGGATGCGCTTGTCCTTAACAATATGACTGTTCCGACATAGATATGATCCTAGAGGTAGGGCAGCCTCCCACGTGCGAAGTCCAGTGGTTCCTGAGCCTGAGAGGAGAGATTGGTTCTCAAGAATAGTTATTTGAGGCGTCTGAGAAGTCTTTGAAGTAGGCGCCTCTGCTTGGCACAGCTCAGATAGATAGTAAGTGACATATGCCTTTCGTTGGGCAGAGGTAGTTTCTGACGGCACAGGATTTGCAAGGTAAAGTGAGAGGACAGACATTAGATCATCGGATACTCCCTTGAAGGTGTCAGTATCGGAGAGAAAACAGTGCATACATGAAGTGATGCTGGCGATAATGACTTACATACTCTTCCCAATCATCAATACTAGCCTCAATTCGGGACATGAGCTCTTTGAGAACCCTCAGTTGAAACCGTGGAGGAGGACCATATCGAACAGCACCTTCGGCGAATAGCCTCCCGTAAATTTCATCCTGAGCTTGAGAAGTCTTTAACAATGCCGGCTCTGGATACTCCAATTCGGGCTGTAGTTGCAGATACTGGCGACAGAAGCGATCAACCTGATTAGTATTTGACGACATATTGATACTTTTATTGGAGCTTTGCTTGTAACTGTGTCTTGTAGGTTTCGCATATACTATTTGTGATCAGAACCTGCTGGAGCCATCGCAAGCAACAGCTCCATCGGGCACTTACTACGTAATGAGTGGCCTGACCACTTATGATTATCTCCACCAAAGACTGGAGTTGCAACCTTGGAATGTCCAACACCAGAGGCTGAAGTGATGCCAATATCCGACTATTTCCATTCGATTAGCCGCAGATACTCCGCCCGCACATCCACGTGACTTTGACCCTTATGCAAACTGCAGCCTCAAATACAGGGCATCAAATGCGCACACGCACTTAGTTAGGGTTGGACCAAATTAAGCGACAAAGCGAATTTTGCGACCCTCTCCAGTGTGACAACTTCATCAACGATCTCACCCATCACCGACGCCCAGTCTCTCCACCGTCAACACACCCAGAGACCATCACGACAATCGGCAAAAATGGCGGACAACGACTCCCCCGTCACCCTCCGAACTCGCAAGTTCATCCGCAACCCTCTGCTGGGCCGTAAGCAGATGGTCGTGTGAGTGACACCCTCTGAATTTTGATGCAATGTCTCTATTCCCCCTGGCGTCGTCGCTGCCATCGCCCATTATCGATGCTTTTTCTCGCCTGCCATATCCCGCTCGATTTATCATGTCTTGACGACCACTCGACACGCACGATTTGATATGAAAACAAAAGTGGGATAGGCGGGCAAAAAAGAGTATCGATGATGAACGTGAAGGACGGCAATAGGGGCTTGTGATCTGCTTGGGAACTCTTGGGCTGACCGATTGCGATGCGTTTTACAGTGACATCCTCCACCCCAACCGTGCCAACATCTCCAAGGAGGAGCTCCGTGAGAAGCTCGGTTCTCTTTACAAGGCCCAGAAGGACCAGATCTCCGTCTTCGGTCTCCGAACCCAGTTCGGTGGTGGCAAGACCACCGGCTTCGCTCTCGTCTATGACTCTCCCGAGGCCATGAAGAAGTTCGAGCCCCAGTACCGATTGGTGCGAGTTGGTCTCGCCACCAAGGCCGAGCGTGCTTCCCGACAGCAGCGTGCGTACACAATTCTAGATTCGCGATTTCAAGGTTTTGGTTTAGTCTGGCTGACACTCGACAATAGGCAAGCAGCGCAAGAACCGACAAAAGACCCTCCGAGGTACGGCAAAGGTCAAGGGTGCCAAGGCGAAGAAGGAGAAATAAACGATGGCTTATGTATATCCTCGGGCTGGTTGGGGAGCGGCTGCAGCTATGTCTGTGGCTGCGTGCATTCAATGGTCATGCGGGTGCGTCCATTTACGGTCCATCCTCGTTGGCGTCGGCATTGGCAAAGGGTACAGGGACTTGCTGGCGGACGCGGGGGATATCTGGACTCGGCGAGGGGGAGTGAAAGCTTTGCTTTCATTGTCTTTCCTCAATACACTAGCATGAAATCAATGGTGTTTTTCGGGTTTCGGACCAAAAACAAAAATAGCAACGTCTCTGTTTTTCACGCGGGTTTGGTCTCTATGATTTGTGATTCTCATGACTTGATAGCACGAAAGGACCACGAAGTTGTTGAAGAAATATGGAATTCTAATCAAACAGATGCCGCCCAGCAGCACATAGGGTATCAAGACAAATCTAATCCAAAACTCCAAACTCCACCCAATGCTCATGTTCCTGCAGTCAACTCTTTACCACCATCCTCCGTACAACAGCATAGCTAACCCCAAAGCGATCCCAACAACAACTTTCCACCCCACAATCTCGCCTGCGCGACCCTGAGCCGCGGCTTTGTAGACAGGGATATGCCACCCACAGCGCTCCTGGCCGTCCCTCGTCTTGCATTCGTAGTAGGTTGTTTGCTTCCATCCCAGACTCGCCAGCGCCTCTTCTTGCGTGGGAGCTGCGGTCACTGGAGGGTTGAAGACTGACGGGTTGGCGTTGTTCCTCTCTTGTCTCTCTACGAACACATGACCGGGAAGGTTTGTAGTGTCTGGCATAGCCTGTGTTGGTGTCGGTGTTGGTGTAGATTGGGGTCCTGTCGTCTGTTTGGGGAGACAGAAGCTTGTGCCAGTAGTCACAATACTCAGCAAAGTGAGTAGGGTGAAGAAGAAGGAAGTGAAAGGTAACATGATTGCGATCTTGAGTTTGATGTCGAGATTTTAATGTTGCCAAAGTAGTTAGATACCGTATAAGTTGAGTGACAGCTGCCGGGAATTGAAGTGGTTGATGATTATTGAGCCGGTTAATCTTGTCGTTATATAGTCGTCTTCAACCAAGGAATTTTCTTTTAACAGCACTTGAACAAAGACTAACACAGCAGAAGTAGTCGCAATTCACAAAGTCAAGAACAAGAGAAAAGGACCGACCAAGGAAATGCGTTCCATGGCTTGAACAATATACTCTTGAACCCCCATGACGAAGAAATAACCACGCGACAATAGCCAACGGCTTCAATATTGAACACGCTCATGAGACACTAGAACAGAATAAAAATTAAGAACTGGGTGGTGAAATCTGCGTTGATACTCAGAACATGGTGGGTTGTTTCACTGCATCATCTGCTCGTTGAGTTGGTTCCATTGGCTGAGGTGCACTGGCTCGTGATGCAGCTTTAGCAACTAACCCTGCGCTGAGACAACACCAGGACTAAGCATCGGTTCGTGATGTGCCTCACATGAGACGTTGGGCATTTGAGCAGGAAATTGATTTGAGTTTCATGATCCTTGGCTCTGTTGAACTTGCTTCTTTTTGCTAAAAACTCCATTTATGTGCATTTTGCACTAGCTCCGCTCTTCATCTTCAGCCAGATGATGGGCTGATATGCCATGCTTTCCTAACGCCATATTCCCCTAAAATACACATATCCTTTGGTATGATGCTCTACACTGCTAGTTCCTTTTCACCATTCGGGCTCAGAATCAGAATAAACCCTGTGGAGCGACTCACCCCCTCCAGAACTTCCATAGACTCCCTTCCCGTGTCTGTCAGAACTTGCGCGTTGACTTCCTACGTCCTCTGATCTGACTGAAGGCGCTCGCGGTTACATCGCGAGCAGGTGGAAGTGATGTCCGCCCGCGAACAGTCCGGGTTTGCACACTTGTCGTCTTGTTCGTTGAAGTCGTTGTAGTTGTTGAAGCTTTCGCTGGAAGACTCTTCCCTCGGCTTCGTGTCTCGACTTTGCTGACGTTCTTCTGTACCCAGCCTTCACCCTGTGGCAGCGGAGTATCTTGATCCTGATAAGTCTCGTCTTCACTGTCCTGAGCATAGTCTTCGGTGAATTGTACGGATGATGGGCTTGAGCTCAGTTCAATAACCTGGCTGGCTTCCGGTACCGTGAAATGCGCTTCTCGTTTGATCTTTTGCGATGCTGGTGGTGTTGCAATATGCTCAGCTTCGGGCACATCAATCTTCGACACCTCACTCTTAAATGAACGTCGCAAAGGACTGCCCTCTTTGAGATCTGACTGTGTTGAATGTGGGAACAGGCTCCGTAAAGATTTGTTGCGATCAGGCGAACGATCAGACTCTTCCTCGCCCTCATCTAATTTCCGCATTGCCTCGTGGTATTCCAGATCTCCTTTCTCAGGCTTCACAAATCGAGCCACTGACCGCTGCGAGAACTTCGCTGGGCTTTGTGTCTGCCTTGCTGTGTGGAAAATTTCTTCCAAGGAAGGAAAAGGACTGCTACTCCTTACAGACACAGTCGTTATTTGAGGACTTGGGGATCGCTTGCGAGATTCGTCATTTATTTCCGCCCCAACTGAGCCCTCAACTCGTTCCTCAGGAAGATCTTCAAGACCGCTGACCGATGGTGGCTGTCGCCTGCTGTGAATACTACCCGCAGACGACGGCACCACAAGCAGATGATGGTCCACAGGGATGTCGTCTTTCGTAGGAAGTGGTGGAAGTTCTGGCGATGGTAGACTGTCAGGAACAATTGTATCCCAGCCAGCCTCAACTGTATGCACCAGCTCTTCGGGGTCTTTAACATCTTTCGCTCCACCCAACCCATTAATTTCTGTCTCCTCCTCATTACTATTTGAACAACCCGCTGAATCATGAATCAAAGAAATTCGCTCCCGAACGATAGCGGCTCGTAGAGTTTCCCGAAGTTGTTGGGTAGGACTGTCAGTCATATCACTCGGTGTATCAATAGGTCGAATAAAACTGGTGATCGGGCTGTCGTCTGCGTCGCCCGTCAATTCGAGCCGTGGTGGCTGTTGGCCAGAAGGGATCGAGGTTAACTTGTCGGTTTCTGAGGGCTGGCCTGCAGCTTCTCGTTCCTTCAAATCGGCCTCCACCTCGGCTCTCACTTTCTGCGTATCTAACTCCTCAGCCATAGTCTCATCAGGATCTCTTCTCGTGCTAACCTTGATGTGTGCCGTAGAATCTGTATCCTGAACGGGTTTGGTACTTTCGGTTGAAACCTCTGTGCTCTTGGCAATGGTTTCCGAATTGTTGGCTGACGGCTCGGGCTGGACCAGTCTCGGGTCGGACATCTCTGCCCAGGAAATCTCTCTTCGTCCATCGTCCTCCTCCTCATTATCGTCGTCAAAGTCTGGCGCTTCAAACTTTGCATAGACTCGTTGGCCCGTGTGCTCATCGTACTCTTTGTCGTTTTCGTCCCGGTCTCTCTTTGCCAGCACCACGTGTAAGTATCTATCCTCACTTATGGACAGAATAAGGCCTGTCATGGGAACCATTTCGGGTTGCCATTTAGTTGCTTTGGACAGAAGCAACTGTTTCCAGGTGATGACCATGCCTGGTTTGGTTTGGGAGAATTCGAGGCTTGGAAGGGTACTGAGATCTGAAGGAAGTGAAGGGAGATCGTCCATGTCCGTAAATTGACTGTCTTCGGGTTTACTCGGTATGTCGTCGTAGTTCAACACGATATCCTCGTCATCATGCGCTCCTGTCCCGCCATAGGAGCTTTCGGGTGTTTCTTCTTCATATCCCCCGTCGTGGGCTCCCTTACTCTTGCGTTTCTTCTTTTTCTTTTTCTTCTCTTGATTGTTGTCGTTCCACTCTTCGTCCCCGTCTCCGTTCCATTGAGAATCTTCCTCATAGTAAGTCTCATCGTTGAAGCTTTGAGAGTTTCTCTTTCGCTTTCTCGCAGAATATTGCTGTTGGGGGTCCCATCGTTGCACAAATGGAAATGGTGGTTCGCTCAATGTGACATCATCTTGGCAGCATTCGACAGCCCGGTACGAGATCTTTTTACGCCATGCTTCTGGGTCCTCGTCCTCTTGGTCCACTGTCGGCTCAGCACCGTTGATCTTGGTTTCAGCAGTCTGAAGTCGAGGGTTTTGTAGAGACTTTACATCCTTCATCAAGTTGGCACGAATTTTGTCCTCATCAGCCTTTGATTTTGGGTTTTTGAGCCCAAGAGCACCGAGGAGAAGTCGTCGGCCAGCTCCCATATCGACCTTGTGGCGACGCTGAGTTGAATGGGATTCTTCTGTTGAGGCTGCATCCTGGTTTGTTGTCGATGCCGGTGTTTCCTCCGTTTCAACTTCAACTATCATTGGTCTAGTCTCTGAGACGGACGTGTCTTTCGGCGGACTTTGAACATCTTCGTTCTCGTCACTGACAACGCTCAAGAGGGCCCGCTTCCGAGCCAGAAACTCGGCTTCCTCACTTGTAGTACCATTGGCAGATGGCTGAGATTGAGTATCTTCCAAGCTTTGCATCGCCTTGATACGCTTGGAGTCCCGTCTCCTTGCGTTTCTCTTCTTCGTCCTTGTCAAACCAGCGCCGGGAGGCTTTGTCTCTTCGACAGGCTTCGAGACTAAGTCAACAGCTTGAATGAGAGGCTTTGGTTCGGATACTACAGGGGCTTGGGGTTGCTTTGTCTGTGCCTCCTTTTTCGACGAAACTTCTTCCGGTTCCGACTCGGAGTCAGAATTACTTGAGCTAGAATCAGAATCACTAGAACTGTCGCTTCCGTCACCCGAGTGACTCCCAACGGGGTCTTTGAGAGCCCCAACAGCCTTGGTAGAATTAGAGCTTAAGTCGGAGTCAGAGTCCGAATCGGAATCGGAATCAGAATCGCTCGAGTCTGAGTCGTCCGAGCTTGACACATCCCTATTGTTAGGGAGCGAAGGTGGCAGGCCGGTGTTAGCAGAATCGTCGTCAGAATCATCGGAATCACTATCGGAATCCAGCTCTGGCTTCTCAATCATATCCTCGTCAGAGTCAGAATCCGAGTCCGAGTCCGACCCCGAACTGCTGCTAGAGCTTGAGGTTTCGGCGTCTTCCTCCTCCACTAGACTGATCAGAGGCCTCGATGTCTCATTGTTTAATCCGATGGAGGCACTCAGAGGGAACTGCTCATCGTCTACCTCTTGAATTAGTGGACGGGTGGGGTTCGCAGGTTCTGGTTGTCCTGGAAAACGCAACACTTGACTGTCGGGCTCTTCTTCGTCCGAGCTCTGTTGATCCGATAGCTGAGGTTCTTCAATCCCATAACCTAGAAAAGCGCGTTCCATTGCTTCGTCGAAGCTGATCATCGGCTTGTTGGTCGCAGCAAGGGTATGGTATGTCGTCCTCAAATCTTTCCCGTTTCGTTCCAGTTGATCTGAGATGATAGATATCGATGTCAAAGGGAACGCAGCCCGTAGAGAAGTCATCTTGTCAAGCCATGAAATGTCAAATGCGTTTGTAGGTTGAAGGGCTTGCGGGTCTTGATCTTCGTTTTCCGACAGACTTTGCTGCTCTTGTGGTACTTGCTCAACCAAAGCGTTATCCTCCTGTAGAAGCCTTAGCTCATCAGAAAGATCTTCGTCCAGCTCATCCTCATCGCTAGCTTCGGAGCCTTCCTCTTCGTCATCGTTCTCGGCAACTGCATGTTGTAAGAGGACATTTCCTGTAGATTGAAAATCGGGTTCATCGTCAAGCTCCTCCTCGTCCTCCTCGTCAAGCTGATCGATGTCCACGAATCTTGCCCTTAAACGAACACTGCCTGGTTCATCCACCTTTGAAGAGGTCGAATCTTCAAGCAAGAGCTGCTCCGATTGAGCATCCTCGTCTGCATAAGAAGCATCGTCTTCGTCGAGTTCTTCTTCGTGTGTGATACGTGCTCGCTTTCGTGGGGGTAGGTCAAGCGCTGGACGGTCGCGTGGTGCCCTCAACCAGGGCCTACCAAACGCAAGACCATCGATAAGATGTTTGCCATCGTAGGATATTTGGTGTCGTCCGCTAAGTCTTCGTCGTCTTAAATCGTCGGTGGATAGTGATCTAACTCTGTGCAACAGTCAGTATGTAAAAACGTCTGGGGGTGCTGCAAGTCGTACAAAACTTGGTCGTCCTGCTTCAAGACTTTGCCGACGGGCTGGAAATGTAGCAGCTCGAAACTATCGCCCTTCTCATCGGGCAGCTCGACAACATAGTCCTCGAGACCCCAATCACCACTCTCCAGTGGCACCACTTCATTAACCAGCGCGAGAAGCTTCGATACGGTAAGGTCTTCGGTTGCGACGCAGGGCCAGACGAGTCTGACTTCAGGGACAGAATGTCTGCGGATGCTGAGGCGCAGACGAATTGTCTGGGTCGACATGGTAGCGATTTTATTTGGTCACAGTTTTATCGCATGGTTACAAAAAGCAGAAAGAATACCGAAAATGAATGCGGGGTGGGGAAAATAAAAAATGCAATCCTGCGCGAACTGAAGTTGGAGTTGCGATTTTGAAGCTTGAGACGCGACTGCAAAAGAAAGTAGCAGACCCATAAAATCGTCACAGCGCCTTCACCGCAGGAGCCTGCCGACCCACCATTTAACTACCAACACTACCGTTAGCATCAACGGTTATCAAGAGGAGAATTGGATAGAAAGACAACAAAAGCACATCAGCCTTTTTTGGGAGGGTGAAAATATAGGTGGTTGATGTAAAGGGTTTCCTTTATTGTTGTTTTCTTACTTCTTCATAATTGCCTGTACGGGCTTGCTCTTTACGTAGATAGCGATCAGCAAGGTCTCATGATGAACTAATAATCTCATCATATCACCAACCTAAAGCATCCCGGTGCTCGAACATCAGAATACAAAGACAATCGACAGAAACTGAGGTGAAGAGTACCCCAAGATATATTGTGTGTGTTATTTTTATCTACAGATACATCAAACTCCCACCATTCAACGCCGTGAATCAATCCCAAAGAAAGACGATAAACTCCATCGAGTGTAGTGACGAGAGATGCAACCCTTCATTGGGCCCCTCCTTCATTTCCCTCTCGTCTTGTGGTATTTTATTTCGCTTCTCTGTCGAGTCTTTACTGGGGGAGCGATGCCATGTCCAGCATATGGCCCATCTTCTCGATCTACTGTATGTCAGTGTGCTGCTCTCAACAGGAAATGGTGAAGTTCCGGCTTACCTTTGTCTTGAGATAACCTTCCACCTCTTGACTCCTGAAACCTCCTCGGCCCTTCCATGACAGAGGCACCATAGCCACACGCTCCCGAACCACAACCTCCCTGTTGGGTCCTTCGACTGCGCGAATCTTATCCGGGTTGTTGGTCAATAGTCGGACCTCTGTGTGGCCAAGATCAAGCAGCATAGCCGTAGCCAGACCGTAGCTTCGAGCATCAGCTGGATGTCGCAACAGCAGGTTCGCTTCGACAGTATCAGAGCCCAAATCCTGGAGGTTATACGCCTTGAGCTTCTCGCCGAGACCAATTCCGCGACCCTCTTGTCGAAGGTAGATAATGATACCACCAGACTTGTTACCGGGAAGACCCATGAGACGGGCTGCCTCGTCGAGTTGCTCGCCGCAGTCGCATCGCGCCGACCATGCGGTTTCACCTGTGTAGCACTCGGAGTGAATTCTCACCAGAGGGGGTTCGTCTGATTGCTGCGGTGGCTGTTCTCCCTGAGGGGTTGCTGGTCCAATACCACTGGTCGTGCGACCGGGGAATAGCGTGCCTGTGTACGCACCACGCACCATGCGGTCCATCTCTGTCTCGCCCTCCCGAACAGCATCTAGACTCTTACTTCGGATATTCTTACCAAATACAATAGCAAGGTGCTCTTTGTTGTCTACGTTATTGGTGTAGAGATGCAGGAACATCTCCGTTCCTGCTGTCGTGGGAATGCGGGCACGAACGATACACTCAACCTCCGGGAGAGTCGGTAGAAGTTTGGGTTTCTTTGATCCGCATCCTCCGGAAGGGATGGAGCTATCCACAGGAACACCGCGAAGACCAGCAGTCGTTGGTGTAGCAGTACCGGGAGTAGCGGGAGGTGTGAAAGAGGGCGAAAGCAGTGACGGCGGGGGTTCTAGGCCGATCGGTGTCTCGGGATCGGGGTGGGCGGAGACAGAAGCGGAGGCGGGAGTGGAGGGAGCGGGGGAGAGTGACAATGAGTCTATGGACTGCTCGAGCGACTGGCCATGGGCGTCATTGTGCGAGGAGGCTGATGCGTCAGCAGCTTCGGCCTTGGGGGAGTAGAAGGACGGCAAAGCTGAGCTGGAGCCCGCCGGCGAGCCTGGCATGGTATCGGACGGCATGTTCTGGCTTGGGCGGGCTTGGTCGGCGCCGCGATCGGATTTGGAGGGGTTCTGGTTCACGTGTCGCAGACTCGGTAGCGGTGTTTGCTAGATGCGCATCGATCGGTAGGTGCTATAGTTTTAATTGCAGCGGGATTGATGGAGGAGTCGGGGTATACTGCAGTCGTGTGTTGTGCTGTCTGTTGTGCGGAAGCAATTCGCAATTGAGTAGTGCAGTTCAGTGTATGGCGATAGTTTGCGGAACCATGTCTTGATAGAATGGTGGGGTTTCCTTAATTCAAGGGTCAGAAATGGGGATGTCTCATTAGTCATCAGATTCTACGGTAATTTCATCGCGCGCGCTGCGGTTCAAGACATGCCACAGGCCAAGCATGCGCGGGGTTGGACCCTTAAGTTTAAGCCGAATATCCGCCTCTTTGTTAATTGACTTTTGCCCTCTACGTAAGTATGCAATTGATCAGTGAATGACAGTATATATCTATGAGCAAATGATGCGGTATAGACCGCTATGAATTCAATTGATATCTATGAGCATGTTTACAATAGCACTGTCAAATGTCGGCTGTAGTGGACGGGATATGCCTCCTACAGAACCTCGGCGAAAGCGGCCGAGGCCGGGTAGCGGGGCGTTGATGCGCCGTTGGTCTGTCAGCATTTCCAATCCACCAATGGATCTGAGTCAGTAACCGAATATGCGGATATTCACCCGCTGCTTATGTAGATATTATCAAGTTGTCGGATATGGGAATTGGTAGATATGTATAGTGGGCCATTGAGAATACTCGAGCTACTTTATTCTGGTGTTGGCTTTCTTTAAACCTTCGTCTGGCCCACTGGCCCTATATGTTTGTTCCATGCGGTAGATGTTTTTGAAGCAAACGCAGTGAGTGCAGTCAACCAACTATTTGATTACAATGCGTAACCATCACAGCATAAATATTATGAGAAATTAAGATATATTAATCATTTTCTGCAATGCTAGGAATCTATTTACTCAGGTGACGGCTATTTGGATACTCAAGTTTGAATAACCTTAGGGTAAGTAGTTCGTAGGGGAATGGACGCCAAGACAACACCGTTTTACTCAAGATTAACGGTTGACTCGCCGTATTCACAAGGAGCCTCTGGTATAAACACTTTCGCACAAACAAGAAACAGCAAATCGTCCGTCAAACATATCACACTCCCCTCACACCATTATAGGGGCATGTAGTGGCCTGTCATCAAAGGCGGGATGAAACAAGGCCTCAGCCTTTGATGCAGGTACACTACACCGAACCATTTAAAGCCTAACCGCTGTGGCAGAATCATCAGCTGTCACTCCAAGAAAGAAAGGAGACAGCTCAGCCGTTGGCTTTCTTTGTCCCCCCTGTTTCAACTTTGCGCGGGCCGCACAACGCAGCACAGAAGCGTAGACACGTAGCTGACCCCAGGAATCTCACGACAGACAGCTGAACGCTGATAGGGCTGGGCTTAACTCCCGGATGTTACCCATACTTTTACCCCTTGTTTGAGACGATCAGCAAACTGCCGAGGGGTTCTGGCGGTGTATGCCTGTCTGTATTTGTGATTCAATGAACCTGACCGTCTGACGAAATGCTCTTGTTCAAAGCGCCCGCCAGCGAAGCAACAATTCGATTCGATCTGTAAGAGCAAGATGACGTCTTGTTTCGACCTGATGTCCACGGCATATTTTGTAGATCCCTGCCGGTCCGACTGTGCCTTGATCCTTTGCACGTGGCTTGCCCATCCCCACTGGTCAATGCTGGCCCTACGCGCCTTGGAAGACCAGCAAATGCTCATACTGTACGGATATCCAAGAAGAAATAAGCCTGCAAGGGCAAGGTACGAGATGACTGCAGCAGCTGCATCTCAGGGCTGCCAAAAAGCCTCAGGAGGGCAGGCTGGAGGTAAGGGCGAGCTGAGGGGGCTGGGGGAACGAGGGCTTGTATGAGGCAAGCCACATCACGTCTTGGAGTCATTGAACAGCCTCCAAATAGTAAGAGGTTCGATCTCTGAGATTGAGTTATTCAACATCTCCACGAAGATCAGTTGGGAAAAGATATATACGAAAAATAGCCACATATGCTGTTGAGAAATTTACTTTGAGTCGTATTTAGGCACTTTGTCATAGACATAGCCTTTTTCAGCCCCTCATTTTAAGTGCTGTGACATAAGAGGCAGAGTTTGTTAAATTGAACGACTTACACAAAAAAAGCAAGTCGCTTGGAAATATCTCACCGTCGTAGATTGCATGCATCTGAAAGCACAATGTCTCGGTGCTGCAATGCGGAAGATATCACATGTAACCGCACACAAACCACAAGAAATTCACAGAAATGAGATCAAAATTGAAGTGAAGTGCAATGTATTTGACATTTCGTAAAAATATGTACATGTAAAGTAAGCGTAAGGGCATAAACATTTCCTTTTCCTTCCTGTATCCTGTGTATCATTCCAAAGGGTTTCATATCATTCGTAGCGAGTGATACGCCCCCTGCATCTAGTTGCTAGGGCGGCGATTTTCTATTGTGATCATCATGGTATGTAAGACATATCTATAGGGCGGTGACCTTCTTGCCAGAGCCGTAAAGGATGTTCTCAACCTTCATGCTGAGCTTCTTGACGGAGCCGAGGCCGCTGGGGCACTCGGGCTGGTTGCTGACAGCAAGGTTGAGGTGGCACTTCTCATCAACACCGTACTTGCAGACGGGGTCGTTGATGTTGTAGAGCTCGTAGTTCTGGGCGACCCAGCTCTTGGGCTCGCTGAGGCAGGAGGCGACGTAGTTCATGGAGTTGGCGGCAGCGAGGGGAAGCTTGCCCTTGTGGAGGATGTCCTTGCACTTGGAGGCGTGAACAAACTCGTAGTCCATGGCAATGCCTCCGCCCTCCTGGGGGTCCTTGGTGGCAGACTTGCCGAAGCCAAGATAGTTCCAGGCATCGTAAGAGATGTCGTGAGCACCACCGGAAGAGTCAATCTTGAGGAGATAGACGGAGCGGCCCTCGTGGGAGACCTTGACACAGATGTTGTTGCAGTCAACGGAACCGGGCCAGTAGGCAACGCGGTTGGTGTTGATCTTGCAGCCGAGGACTCCAATGCTGCTGGAGTACTGGTCGTGGGGAGTGATGCTGGCAGAGCCAGAGTTGCCTCGGGGAAGGGGACCGGCAGAGACAAGAGCGGCAGAAGCAGCGAGGAGGGTGGTGAACTTGGCGAACATGTTGATGGTTTGTGGGGAAAAGTCTTTCAAAAACTTTTATATACTTGAAGTGTAAGTGTGATTCGGAGACTGGCTCGACTTGTTTGATATCTCAACGCGCGGCGGAGTGAGGCAGTGAGTGCAAGTGAGTAAGGACTGATCTCAGATCGAGGTCTGGAGCGACGGCCAGCCGAGTGAATGAATAGAATGTTTGGGAAAGGAGGGAATCTCAAGAGAGTGTACTGTAGTGGTGAGGCAGAAGAAAGAGCTTGCATCTGGGGTGGAGGTGATCTACTTATACATGGAGATGGGTGAGCGGGAGAACTCAAGACTCTCCACAAGACAACAAAGATCCTGCCATGTCCACGTTGATCTGCTCGGGGAACTGAACTATTGCAAGGGGAGAGAGACAGGGCGTGTGTCCCTCGAGGGAGCGTGTACATGCATCGAGGCGAAACAGACTGGACGTGGCCGAGAAAGCGACCGCTTGCTCGGTGCTTGGGAGTCCTAGACCTGGAGCTTAGGGAGGAGTGGAACTCGGGTGCTAGTATTAGAGGTGGCAGACCCAGTTGTCCCCAGAATCAGAGTCAGTAAGAGAAGGAAAACTGTGGCCATGATTCGCGAAGCTGTGCTCTGGGGCATGTCACTAGTCAAGAGACGGTTGCTTTGTTGAAGTTGTCGCTCCGTTCTTTGAGACCCACCCGGCACGCTGCCGACGGGGAGTACGTACCGGGCGAGGAATTACGGAACTACAGGGAAGAGAATCAGAAGGGTGTGGTAGACCGTTCGGGTCTTCTCCCACTGGGTTCCGGAAAATGTCTCAACTGGCAGCTATGCCTAGAAGTGGCCTAGATGCGCTGGGCATGCTGGGTTGCGGTCCAAGGACGTGGTGTTTTTTGCCAGGCACGGTGCGTTAGTCAGGGACCCGGCACTGCAGACGCACACACTCAAAGAGCCTCCAAGAACCTGATGCACTTGAAGGTGTCGGGTCTTGAGCGCTGACTGGTTTTGTGCCTGGGACGATGCCACGCTGTGTCTCGCTGTGCCTGAGCCGTGCTGACATCCCTTGTCTTGTGCCTGAGCAACCCTGTCAATGCGGCTGTAGTTTGATGATTTTTCTTTTTCTTCCTCTTTTTTCATGTGTCTAAGCTTATGCCTGGCAGGTAAAGAGGTTTGGTCTGCTAACACTCCATTCGATCGATCGGTTAACTCTGTTCTTTGAGTCGCGCATTGCATCCCCCTTCCAAGTACAAACATAAAAGTAAAAGTGTGAGTGGATTACTGTCGCAGTCAGTCGCGCGCTCCGTTTCCCAGGCAAAGGCCCCAAGACAGTCGTAGTGTAAGACGGAGGGAGAAAACGGAAAGGGAAGAAAAGGAAAACTCTTCCCAACTGCGGGCCCGCGCGATGGGTGCAGCATGTTTCACGCCACGATCAAGGGCATTGAATGCCTGAAATGCCTGAAATGGTTGCCTGACAACTCAATTGCAAAGGCTTGACACTGTGACTGTGATACTGTACCGTACGTTATGCGGGCACCGTCCAAAATGGTCCCGCTACACGGCAGAAGTGCCAAATGCCTCATATTTTTGACGTTGTGGAACGGTGGATCAGATGAAGTCATCCAGCCAACAGCAGCGACAAGATTCTAGGACCTTTCCAAAAGTCACAGTCATAGAAATTGGCTGTTATTACTACGCAAGTATACAAGTCCACCGATTTGAAAGAAAGCCGGACTGTGGTAAAGATCGTGATTGCCAAGCGTTGAGTTGAGTAGGTAGTCGGGTTTGCTCAGACTGGATCTGAGATATGCCCATGCCCAGACCAGCGGGAAGCCGATAAGCTTGTTTCATTTCCGTGTTTGCGGAGGACCATTCCATTTGTTTAATTAGATGCAGGCCAAATCAATTAAACAAACAAAACAATAAGCAGGGAGGGCGTCTATTGACGGGAACCCGCCTGGGAGCTGAGATGGAGGGAGCCACAGGAGACCATCAACTCAACCGCAGTCAATACCTGGCCACGTCACGGCAGGACAAGACATTTGACCAGTTGATTGTACTGTAAGTTAGGACGAGGACACAATTACCGCTTCATCAACCGCCTTCTCTGCCTACGCAACAAATCACAGGCTTTCCAACATGCATTCGTCATCCTACATGTTGCCAACAACTCTTGTCATCCAATTGGCTGACATGTTCAACCAGGGCTTCTTTGTCACTCCCCCGGAGCCTTCTGCCATCTTTTCTCCCTTGTCCTCATACTGTGTGAAATTTTTGCATTTTCGTTGAATGTGCCTTGTTGTTGTGGGCTTTCTTCTTTGGCGATGGGGGCTAGAAATCAAGGTTTTCAAACAAGCACTTTAGCGGATATCCAGATGCTCGGGCTTTTCTCGCGGCTTTAACAGAACCTACATGCACCTACACAGAAACAGTAAGTGTTTCCTGTGGACCATGGGGCAGAATAAAGAGAAAACTCTTTTGATAATTCCCATTGGTTAAACATCATGCTAAGAATTGGTCGGTGCTGGTGGCTGAATCTTGGAGGGCGGACCGCAAGACCCTTTCAAGACTTTGACCGCGGAAGAGGCACCGCATGGCTTTTTTGACACTGACAGTTTCTGACCTCTTTGAGTTTCCTTATTGACTCAAGGTCTCTGATTCAACCCCAGAGGTTGTCTGAATCTCTGCGGCTTTGTTATCCAGAACAGACCTTAGTCTGAGCGTTGACATGGCTTCTTCCGTTGTGAACTGACAACACCTCGATGACATCTTTTCCCACCTGACGCATGTTCTTTCGCCTCTGCCATGATTTCTGGTGTCTTTCCAGAACTTGTTTCCGTTGAGATAGAGTTTCAAACGCTCCCCAGCCACCCCGAACTCCCAACGTGGTCCTCCAGTCCTGTCCGGTTCATACATAGTCACATTCTTCCGTTATGTACGCCCGTCACAGGCGCCGTTCAACGCACCATCTTCTGCTAGGTTTTGTACGGTTGCCTGGTCTCTAGCAGCATTGCGAGCTTGTTGTTGGTAGTCTCTTCTCCACTTGACCTTTGAGAGTCTGGGATGACTTTGAGTCAGTCTCCCACTTTTCGACCTAAACTCAACGGACTGTTCTGATTTGATGTAAGAGGGCTTCACATGGTGGCTTTAAACATCGAGGTGGATATCAACATACTGTTTACCTTCTAGCCTAGTCGATTTGGCCAAAGATGCTAGTTTTCCGGACTTCAGACCGGCTCCATTGACATTCCTTCTTCGCGCCGACAAGACGGTTCATGGTGACATGACTTCTAGACTCCCGATATCTAGAAGTTTCTTCTTCCGATAACGCAGAGGATGATGTCTTTGGGATGTTGTTGTCAGTATCTAACGCATGCCCGTGTGTTCTGTTTCCATGATTTGAACCATTCATGGAAGTCTTGTTCTCCAAACAACAGGGCCACCCTTACAGTATATCCCTCTTGAACACCGCTTGGGTTCAATATCTGGGGTAATATGGGAACTGGCCCACGTCTGCATCCCTCATTGACACTCCAGTGTTTAAAGGGCCGTTCCGAACACGAGGGGATCTCCTGTATATCAACCCCACCGATCATCTGGGGAAGTGCGTTTCAGTGATCCCGGTGTGAATCCAGCAGTTTCTTTCGTGAATAGACCACAGGTAGCTTATGCCTTCCACATGGTGTTCTTGATAGAGGCATTCTCGATGGTGAGTTCTGAATAGCAATCACTCCGCAATCGGCCTCTTGGTAGTGTATGATGGTGTGAGGTTATGCCTTGCTATGTCTGCGCTTGATATTAGAGAATTCTTACTCGGGCGGTTCACGTGTGCAGGCTCATTGCTGAGTCTCGCGGACGATCGGCAGTTGACTTTTTGATCGTAGACCATTAGACCATACCAAAGACTGTGGTCTTCGGTACACGCGGTAGGCATCTGAGTTTTACCTAGACCGGTTGTTTGCTAATCATGAATTATCGTTTCTATTGTGTTGAGGTTGTTTCTGTTGTTTGCGGGATTTTGAGGAAACAGAGTTGGCCGTATGTTTATGCCGAGTCGTTTTGTTTCTATCGTCGTGTATTGTGCAAAGTCTTGAACCCCACTTCGACGTAGGAGCAAACATCATTACGACCACTAGATAGAGCTCTTGAGACAAAACTTCGTATGAATTAATGCAACATTACAAATATGATTATACTAAAGACAATAATATCAAGTAGGCATAGATTTATGCGGCGTAGAAATGGCAGGTGGAGGTTTCAGACTCTGTTACGAGGAAAGTCTTAGATGTAGGGTAGCTGACTAACTACGGAAATTTGCGACCGAGGTGACCAAGGTGAAGGCAGTGAAGACCCACTACACTCGGTGAGTTCGCTGAGTTTACACGATAAGATAAGCCAAAATTTTGATTTTTTTGACTTCTTCCGGCTTCTTCAACACCATACCACGATAGCTCGCAAACAGCCGACACAACAATGGCGCCAATCGACCACGCCGCCGCCAAGGCCGAGAAGAAGTTGAAAAAGGAGAAGAAGCGATCACGGGAAGAAGATGCAGTTGCCGATACCGAGCGAAAGCACAAAAAGTCAAAGAGCGTTGCTGCTTTAGAGGTTCCTGCGACTGAAGCCACTAGCGACTTGAAGGCCGAGAAGAAAAAGAAGAAGAGCAAGAAGGACAAGCACGCCGAAGAGGCTGATGCGCAACAAGAGACCGAGACTGCTGCAGTAGACGAGCCTAAGCCAGAAAAGAAGCATAAAAAGAAGAAGCATCACGATGTGGAAGAAGTTGCTGCGCCCGAGGAGGCAGACACCCCGGCTGTAGCGGACGGCGAGAAGAAGAATAAGAGCAAGAAGAAGCAAAAAGACACCGAAGCGACAGATAGTTCCGAACAGCACAAGAAGTCCAAGAAGGATGCGACAGCTCCCGAACAAACTGCGGAAGACGCTTCGCCCGCCGATGCTGATGCTATGGACATTGACATGCCACCCCCCGCCAAACCTTCAAAGTCTAGCTCCAACATTTACCAACCGCCTGATATTCCTGCGAACCCTCAATTCCCCTTCTTCATCCAGACCGTGTCGCTTTACGAGCCACTCTTCCCCATTGGCTGGGCGCAACCAGTTACCAACTGCCAGTACCAACATCTGCAACACCTCCTGAATAAGTACGTGCCTTCGCTGCGCGGTGTTCTTCTCGACTATAAGAACGTCGCTTTTGGCGAACACCCCGGACGCAATGGCGCAGCCACCGATGATGAGTCGCCGGCGACTGTCATGGCCAAGGGTGAGGCCGCCGTTGGCTTTGGTTGGATCACAGCCGATGTCGAGCTTTTTGTACCAAGCCGTGGTGCCTGGATGGAGGGCAGCGTCAACCTGCAGACCGAAGGACACATTGGCGTTGTTTGCTTCGGCAAGTTCAACGCTTCGATCGAGGCTCGTCGACTCCCCGCCGACTGGAAGTGGATCCCCAATGAGGCTCCGGAGGCGCAAGGCTTCGAAGAGACCGCCTCAGTCATCACCGCTGATGATCATGGTGTAGTCCGACAAGTCCACAGCACCGGCTTCTGGGCCGATGGAAACGGCGACAAGGTTAAGGGCAAGATTCGTTTCAGGATACGCAACTTCGACGTTGGCACCAGCGGCGAGACCAGCTATCTCAGCTTGGAGGGTACCATGCTCGATAAGATGGGCGAGAAGGCTGTTGTGGCCGAGGAGGCAGAGACTGCCAAGATGCGGAAGGGCAAGCGGGGCCAGAAGGTTCAGAGAAGACGCATCCCCGAATTTGCAATGACGCGCTTCACTGTCGATGAAGAGGAGCAGGCGGTGGAAAATGAGGAGGAGAAGCGCGAGGTTCTGGCGCTACCTGAGGATCAATAAAGCAAAGCATGGGACATAGGAGCCAGGAGTTGTGTGATACCTCAATTTAATGATGAACACTGTTACCAAAGAAGCCCACGAGGCATTGCGCTAATGCTAAGTCCACTGCCTTTGTCGTTACAAAGGATTATATCCATACCCTGCCCATCCTATATACACAGAAAACGACTAAACCTGAACGCCAAAGACCAAGATACGTGATACATAAAGGGCCTCATGCGGCGGCCTTCACCATAGGCTCCCATGGCCTGACCAAATTCCATAGATATACCTCCCCGACAGGCTCTTCGCCCAACGCCTTAACAAGAATGTGCTGAAATAGAGGGACGTGGGAGAACAGCGGCGCAACTGGAGTGACTGAACCTCGATCCCAACCAGCAGAAAGCCCCAGCGACCATGAGGGCTGTCTTACGAAATTCTCAACCTTGTCATGATATGCATCCCAGTCGGCAGAATGGTCGTTCACTACCACCTGGAATCTCACTCCTTGGACATCGACCGTGATACGCTGCACCGTGCTGGGAAACCCATGCTCCGCGCCAGAGCTCAATATCCACGTGTAATCAGTCTGATCACCGTTACTCTCCCAATCATACCAAACCTGGGTACCCGCTCGGGAAAAGTCGTTGAGAACAAGCCGACCCTCTGCGTCGAAACTCAGCTCGCAGTGTCGTGCGTCGATGCCTGGCAGCGAGGGGAGGACGATGTCACACGTCGATGGATCAGCGCCGAGAACGAAAGAGCCAGGTCGCTTAGGGGCAGAGTCGAAGGAGAGTTTGAGGGCACGAGACGGACGGCTGCCGAGGAGGTTTGGAAGTCGGGATGTGAGCGTTGGGGAGGATGTTGTTTGGACAGCACGGGAGATGTTGGAGGGTAGATGGGTCACTTTCTCGGCGAGAGAGTTGCGTGCCGTAGGGACCAGCCAGGCGATGATGTCGGACATGATGAGAAAATACTGAATGTGTTGAAGAGAGTGTATTATTGCGTGGTGAGTGAAGGGATGTAGTGAGTTGACACTATGTAGTGATTTGACTGGTGTGGTATAGTATAACAAAGGCTCAAACGAGAGAAGCCGAGTAAATCAGATATTGTGTTGAAGAACCAAGTGATAAGAAAACTTTGAAAGAAGAAAGCACGCTGAAAAGACTGTCGAGTTGTCTTTGTTGTGTTGGCATCGACAGTTTATATCTCAAGTCAACACTTCACCTTTTCACGTTGCGCCGACAACCACTGGCCACCAACGCACCGCGCCCAACGCGTCGCGAATACCATAGAGGCTCAGATGGGGAAATACTCAAAAACACTTGTTTCATGGTGTTAGGTCTGCCTGTGGTGAGCGTTAAATGGTGGTGTTTGAGAGTGGGAAGACGAGAGCCAATCGATTTGAGCCTAAGCCTGGGGTCCTAAGGTGGGAAGGATTACGAGCCACTAGGTAGATGGATTAAGAATATGACTGAAATAGATAAGATAGAACGGGTATACGTGAATGGTGTTGTTTTTGGGCAGTTTCTAGAAAAGGATTCGATGCTGGCTTTCGGTGGTGGTGGTTGAGATTAAGCTTGAATATCGCTGGTCGTGAATTTGGACCCTGCATACTTCACTGACTCACATAGACTAATGTTTTGTTTCATTGACCATATTATTAAATTTGTGGCCACTAGAATGTAATGATCAGCAGGAGATCTGGGGTGAAAGGGATAATGGACCTGCATCTGGGCATGGTTCGATACAAATCAGGCAGTCGTCTATTGATGGGTTCCCTAATTCGACGAGAACGTGAGGGATAGGTTATGGCTCCGATGCCCAAGATGGGCGCCTAAGTTCTGTTCCGAGTTCTCTTAGGGATGGCAGTGATACTTGAGGCATGATTCGTGACTTGACCATCTGCTCAGTGTTGCAATATCATCACCCTTTTCCCAACAAGTTCGTGATGGGCAGAAACCAGAACAATGGAGACCAATGAGATATAAACAAACAAATGGGTTTATTTCACGTGTCCTGATAAAAGTCCGGCTTTTAGCTTCTTTGGTTCCGTGATAATGTTTCAATACCGAGATAATGTGGGAGGTTCTCCGGACAGTAATAGAGAGACATGGAATATATAGCATTAGAACACTTTCAATGAGGTTTTATGACAAAATTTGACATGATTGTAAATACCTATGTAAGTTTTGATACAACTTAAGAAGTTGGTTGAGTTGGCCCAACGACGTCGCAGTGAAAGGACAGTGGGTATGCAAAGTTCCATCAATTTCCTTTCATCTCTATTCTGACTTCAATATCAATGTATGGAACCCTTTTAGCTCTATCGAGTATTAGTGAGTGATTTCCATCACCACATTTACTCGCTTGGCTAGAAGAGGCAACCGAACGTCATACTAAGTCATAGAGACATAAGAAGACTTCTAGCATAGAGCAAACGAAATTGCCGTACGAATCTTCCGTTCCTCATTACCATCCATGGTTAGTTGGTAGTTTTCTCGGATCCGTACGTCATTCGGAACCGGGGTGGATGTTAGCGTTTTGGTGCGGATCACACCCAAGCACTAACATTGACGCCATCGAGGTACTGAACGACACCATTGGGACGATGCTACATATCGCGAGAAATTGAAGGAGATTTTCTGTAGATATAATTGGGTCGAATATACGTATTTATTAATTCTATAGGACGATATAAAAGGCACTGGATTAGTGTTGTGGTGATCTGACATAGTTGTTGTCTTATTCGAAGACACTTACACAAATTGGCATAATTAGCATATCTCTATGATGTGGTCTTCAGCTTTTATAGCACAATTGCTACTGGCAAGCTCAGTGCTTGCACAGTCTGCCGATGTAAGGGCCGACTATGAACAAGGAAACCAGGCTATCCTTGAGACTAACAACAACGCTGCACAGAGACAACCACGAGCAGCCAATGGCGGCAAGAAGAATATCGTCTTTATTCTCACCGACGACCAAGACGCTGTATTGGATTCTGTATCATACATGCCGAAACTCAAAGAACATATCGTCGACAAGGGTACCTCGTTCGTCAACCACTTCACCACGACGGCTATTTGCTGTCCAGCCCGTGTTGCCTTATGGACTGGTAGACAACCTCACAACACGAATGTAACAGATGTTAGTCCACCATATGGTAAGTTGAAGCCCCTGGTAGAGAGAATCGTGACGAAATGCTGAGCGAAAAGGCGGCTATCCCAAATTTGTGTCTCAAGGGTTCAACAGCAACTACCTTCCAGTATGGCTACAACAGGGAGGTTATAAAACATACTATACTGGAAAACTATTTAATTCTCATACTATTAACAACTACAATGCACCTTATCCTGCAGGGTGGACGGGAACGAACTTCCTGCTTGACCCGGGTACGTACGATTACCTGAACCCGATCTATCAGCAGAACCAAGAAGCGCCAGTCCACCACAAAGGAGAGCACACTTCAGACTTGATCTCCAAGTATGCGCATGATCTTCTGGAAGAAGCAATTGACTCTAAGAATCCTTTCTTTGTTGCCATTGCTCCTATTGCACCACACTCAAACATCAACGTTGATCGGGCGCCTGGAAGTCCCATGACAATCCCAATTCCCACTGAGAGACACTCGCACCTATTTGAAGGGGCAAAAGTTCCTCGAACAGACAACTTCAACCCAGATTCTGTAAGTTTGTGTTTATCTTGGGGGAACAAATTCTTACGTGGATGTTAGCCTAGTGGTGTGAGCTGGATTCGCAAACTATCACAACTCAACGAATCGTCTGTGGCTTACATCGACAAATACTACCGCGCTCGTCTCCAAGCTCTCCAAAGTGTCGACGAAATCGTGGAGCAGGTGGTCAAGCAGCTTGAAGATGCAAAGCTACTTGACGAAACTTATATCATCTACAGCTCTGACAACGGATTCCATCTGGGTCAGCACCGACTGCCTCCTGGTAAGGAGTGCGGCTTTGACGAGGATATCCGTGTGCCTCTCTTTATCAGAGGCCCAGGCGTATCCGCCAAATCTGTAGAGAAGGCCGTGACAACACATATCGACCTCGCGCCCACGTTGCTCAAACTCGCGGGCGTGAAGCTCAGGAAGGATTTCGATGGTACTCCTATTCCTGTGCTGCCCGACCAAGAGAGCAAACGTCATGAGCATGTTGCTGTTGAATACTGGGGTACTGCTATCGCTGAGGGTGAAGTCGGCGGCTTTGGTATGTTTACGGGATGTTGAGCCAAATTTCAACTGCTAACAACTTTTGTTCTAGATGGAAAGGGCCAGATTAATATGCCTAATAACACGTACAAGGGCGTAAGGATAGTGCATGAGGATTACGATCTTTACTACTCCGCTTGGTGTAACAACGAGCACGAGCTCTACAATATCAAGGTGCGTTGATCGCAATCATGGTGACTAGTTTGGTACTTATTCCCTTTAGACGGACCCAGGGCAGCTGAATAATCTCTTCACTCGTGATGGCGAAGCCACTGTCAGCCAAGCACTCCTAGGAACTACCACGCGACAGGTCCTCAACCGCTTGGATGCCGTAATGCTTGTGTTGAAGTCCTGCAAAGGCGATACGTGTATCAGGCCCTGGAAGATTCTTCATCCCCATGGTGACGTGACAAGCCTCAAGGACGCGCTTCGGAAAAAGTTCGATGGCTTCTATGAGGAGCAGGTGAAGGTTCGGTTCGATCGTTGCGAGGCTGGATATCTGATTGAAGCTGAAGGGCCACAAGTTGGGTATGAATATCGTAAAGGCCTGGAGTGGCATCACTGGACATGAAGCTGCCGGTGTGTAAAAGCTCCGACACCTCTCTTCTACTCCGTATAGTTTATATAAGATGATATGAATTATATAAACGTTTCGATTCTATATAATCTAAATTTTAGGATAAGATTATATATGAAATACCCCAACTTTTGCACGGGACTGCATCTAGTGCATCATAGTATGCTATGCTGTTAGTGAACTGACGTGATCCACGATTCGATATCTTGAGTAAAGAGGCGAAGTTGCAAGCGGTTAAAAAGGCTCTAGCAACCTGTAGCAACAATGCCGGATAGTTTTGGCCCCAAGTGATGACTGTGTTAGATGCTGGCTTGAAGCATATAGCAATCGGATGATATATTCGAGATGCTTGAGTATATTCGGTGGTCTTGTGGGAGTCAATGGATTGCGTGTCCCGCTGTTGGTTGACGCATGTTTCGGAGAATGAGTGTTGAATTCGACCAGGCCGAGCAAAGATGGAACAACGGAAGCTCAAAGTCACACGTTAAGAAGACAGAATACTTTAACAACAAAAATCAAGAAGCCAAAATAATCTTGTCTCCATTTGCGCATCTTTCCTCAGTGTAAGTCTGGAGCCGGTAGTGATCCGGCCCCACCATATCTGGTGCGGACTTGAGGTTCAAGTTATGATCTTCACAATTTTACGACAACAAAGAAAGATATTAATGCAGTAATAGCAAAAAGAATTAACTGAACAATCCCAAAATTCTACCATTTACCGAACAGTGTAGGAAGAAATTCAGTGTTGTGAAGCGGCGTGGTAATTCGTGAGCGTTCATTGGGTGAAAGCGGATCTCTGCCAGAAATACAAGGCACGAACAGGATACTGCCGACCTTGAACCGAAGGAGCATCTCACGACAGCTCTGCCAATCCAAGACAACCTCACATCTTGAAGTCCAATTGAACCCGCAACCATGGCTCAAGACTCAATCACCGAGCCGCGGCGTACGTACCGACCTCTGGGATGATCTTCCAGCAGCCTTTTCCTCCCGAGCCCCGAGCCACGACCGCTGACTTGCTGAGCAGAAGCGACCCGCGAGGAGATGCGCGATGCGAAGCTCCCTCTGGCCTACCGAGACAGCTGCGCACACCTCTTGATTCCTCTCAACAAGTGCCGTCGGGATACGTGGTACGCCCCTTGGAAGTGCTCGGTAAGTTACCTACCATTTTCCAGAGCTTGAGCCCAAATCACAAGACGGCCGCGGCTGCACCGAAGAGCCCAGCCCAGCCAAGCCTCGAGCCCGATAACGAAGAATCGATCATTACCAAGATATCAGCATCAGAGAAAACACCATGCTTACACTAGGGGGGTTGACTAGGATGAGCGACACAGCTACGAGAAGTGCCAGTACGTCGAATTCAAGAAGCGAGTCGCCAAGATGGACGAGTTGAGGGAGGCGAAGGGTGGTGCACGAAGCAACTAGAGGGCCAAATCGCAAATCCCGGGTATAGGGCCGGGCCGGAACTGAACTGTACATTTACAAACAAGCCAGTGTGTTTGACAAGAAAACCGGAATAAAAGCAAGGCATTCCACCTCAATGAAACGCAGACAAGAAGGATATGGAACGAGAAAAGACAACAAGTGATATGATGGCGGAGCATATGGCGTGAACGACTGGGTTTGATACAATCGATGGGCTAATGGAAACAGACAAGCGACGAGTCTTGAGCAGAGCCTCACGAGATATTCTGGGTTGACTTGAGCCGCGCACTTCCATGGCACAAGAAAAGGCCAACCACAGGCCATGGCGCGAGCTTATGGAGGATGGAATGGATCGGAAAGAGTGGACTCGGGTGGGACTCTTCAAGTTGAATGGCGACAAGAACAAGAGCAAGATGCAATGTCGCAAGCAGATGGGCTTTGGCGTGGTCATCGTGGCGGACGTACCCTGTCTGGACCGGCACAAGAGGACAAAAGCGCCGACTTGGTGTTGTGCCGGTTGCAAGGGAAAATTATATAACAAGCCGGTGAGCCACCTGGAGTTTGTGAAATTGAATTGGAGAGGTGCCAGACGAGTTGGATTGTGGTGTTTTACACAGTTCACATCTATCTTGTGCGAATTTCATCGATACTTTTTTGTTTCTGACGAAGCGTCGATCGCCCACTCGGCACTTGGCTACCGCAGAGCCTCAACACCAAACAGTTATCTATCGCCAAGGTCTTGACGATTTGCACAGTTTGGCGATCGACAGCCTTTGCTTTTACAATGGCTACGAAAGCGCCACGATAAGACATGGCTGTTATCGACAAACAACACATACCGAATGTGCTTAGCCACTGATGGTTCAGCAATGACGAAATCCGTGATCAACCTTGAGCATCGGAATTCGTCGGCTCAAATTTGAAGCACAAGGATAATACCAGCTCCTTTCTCATCTCTTGCTTGTAATAGGGCAGATGATGAATGAATCGTGGAGCATATTGCGAGCGGCATACATCCCAGCATATACGAGTCAGGTCATTTCTTGTTTGCGTCGCAGCCGCGTAGCTTTGGCCACTGCCACTGCCACGGCCACCAGCCACAGGAGGTCAGGCCCTGAAAAGAGCCGCATGCAGGCGGTCTTAGCAAAGTTTTACGCTATGCAAAGCCCCACACGCACTGGAAGTTCCAGCGGGAGGCTTGGCGGCAAATCCACTCTCATCCCGGGAGTTCCACTCGATCCATTCGAATTCAGGCATGGACAGACCATCACCCGGTATTAGCAAACCTTGTGTCAACGACGATCCACAGCCCGTCGGTTTGGCTCGGGCATATGCCGTATCACAGCACCACTTCAACCGGCCCGGTCATCACGACTTCTCGGTCACGTTGTGGATATATATCCCAGGCTTGTGTCTTGGATTAACTGCCAAGACTACTAATACGGAGTCTCCGGCGTCGCTTCAACACTTCACAGCAACACAATTGGATCACCATATTACGTGGAACCACTATCTGATTTCTCTTAATAACACTTTCTAACAGACGTCGAGCCGGATGACACACATATACAAGGATGACGAGACAGTATTCAGGAGAACGTAATACTCTTACAAAGAGTGAAAGGATGATTGATGCTGTCTAAACGATCTAAAGGAAAATAACTGGAAACTTTAACATGAGACCTGCTCAGAATATGGAGTTGCTACCGCAGGAAAACACGCCCTGGATTTGACTCGAGTCCGCAGCAAACAGATCCAACAGCTCCGTAATTGATGACCACAGACCAGCCGCGTTCATAAAGATCGAAATGCAAATAAGGAAAGCATTGACAAAAGTCAACGCAATCTTAGTGGGACTGGAAAACATCTGGTGCCAGTTCATGTGGAACCAGAAGACGGCGCTGAAGCCGAAAGTGAACCAAGAGATGGTAGTGGCCGAGGCAATGGATAAGATGGAGTCAAAGACGGGGATGGCGTTGGAGAGGATGAAGCAGAGGACCCAGAAGATAGTCACGATGGTCATCCAGATGGACCAGGAGCGGACGTTGTTGGCGGTCATCTCGCTCTGGAGCTTGAAGCGCTTCATGACCACAACGTACACGTACTTGATACCTGTGTGGCCAAAGGCAAGTCCGGTTGACAGGATAGCGGGAAGGACGATACCGTAGGCGATCTTGGCAATGTTCTCTGGGGCGGAGCCGAGAGCAGGCGAGACTGTGTACTCACCACCGAGGCAGTAGATGGCGATGGCGACAATAACGTAGAAGGAGATGGAGACAACCTCGAGCATGCCCAGGGCGAATCCAAAGTCCTTGACGGGGTCGATCATCTCAGCCATGTAAGTGACGAAGTTGATGTTACCGGAGTAGGCGTAGCAGATCTTGAGGCAGGCGTTAAGACCGGAGCGGAAGTCGGGGTTCGCAACGATCTTGATGTCCTTGTGCCAGTCTGCGGGCGCAGCTGTGGGATTCTTGACCCCGAGAGAGATCATGACCAGGAGCGAGGCGGCGATGACGGAGACCATGCAGGGGATGCCGGACTGCGAGACGAACTTGGAGGTACGGGGCGCGCAGAGGACCCAGCAGCAGAGACAGCCGATGCCAATGAAGCCCACTGTGCAGACCGAGTGGCTGGAGATGGTGTTGAAGGCGATGGAGAGGGTGACACTGGCTGAAGCGGCTGTCATGATGACCTGGACCATGAGACCGATACCAGCAATGATGTAGAGAATGCGTCCACCGACAACACGGGTCATGTCAACCACGTTGACAACATGAGGGTGCCTTGATTCTGGTCAGTAAAAGAACTAAAGAGGGTAATTTCTCGATATACATACTTTCCGTAGAACTGCTTAAGAACAAAGGCAGTGTACCAAGACAAGAGGCCAATGCCAATAATTGCGATCAAGCCAGGGATGATACCCATGGTCTTGAGGACACTGGGCAAGGACAGAACACCGAGACCAACTTGGTTGGTTAGTAGGGCGAATGTGGTATCCCATTTTGACATGTTGCGGAAATTCTTTGCGCCCTCGCCGCCTCCGAAGCCGTTGTCGACAACGGGGACATTGTGGCCGGAGTGAAGGTCGTCGATGTGACTCTTCTCATTGTCCAAGGGAACCTTTTCTTTGCTGTTTGATTTGCTGGTGTCATGGCCCTGGTCTGAAGGGTAGATATCGTTGTGTGTGTCTTGGGGATATGTAGCCATGATGGGCGAGTTGTGAGAGTTTCTCCTCAGTCTCCTGTATATGTGTATGTGTATATATAATGGGGTATATTCAAATCAGTTTGGCTGGCTTTAAAGAAGAAACGATATAAAGATGAGATGAGAGAAGGAGGAGAGAGATAGTGAAGGACGGATTTGGAGCAGAGATAGAAGAGGAATATATAAGTCGAAGGGCATGGTCGGATAAGAGTTCGGAATTCCCTCATTGAGCTCCGCGGTCTACGATTACGATGATGGATTTCCAGGCCGTGCTTGCTTGCCCACGTCTTGGAAGGGTTCCACCAAGATAGGCCTTTCTTTTTCTTTGGTCTCCCGTTGTTAGGTTAGGTATTTTGTACAGTAAACCAAACTAGGAGTCGGAGTACGGAGTAGTCTAACCAGGGGCCTTGGACTTTTTCTGGGGTGACCCTCTTTCTTACATCGGCGGCAAATCCGTGCCTTGTCCTGTGTGTATGTTTCTAATTAGTTCTTGTATCAAGTCTACGTAGGCCAGTAAAAGCTCTAGCCGCGGTGATCATCTGAGCGAAGCAGACATACTACGCTGACTTTCTGGCTTTTCTCGCTTTTCTCCGGAAAGGGGTGTCGGAATTCCTCTTAAATTCCTCCCCGGGTATGTGGATATATTCGATCCTCTGTTAATTATCTTAAACAAAACAGAAAGACTTGAGGCGAGCAAAGATGCAAAAGAACCCTGGAATTTCTTTCCGCGCTGGGCTGTAAGGTTCCCCACCCCGCTGTAAGTGAGGGATTACATGGGGAAGAAAAGACCCCGTTCGTTTCGTGCATTCACAGTTGCAATAGAGGATTATCTTTTTTTCTGTTTCTGCTAGGTATTTGCATTGGTCCAATTGGTGTGTTGAAAAGCTGGGGACGTGGGCACGCTAGAAGCCATCATGTTACGTACGTCGACACACGGCGAAAGTGAAGAGACTGTTCCCCGGTGCGACCGTCGTTTTGGGGCTGTTAGATCCGGGCCGTTTTTCTTTCTCTTTTGAGTATTTTTCTTCTTTTCTTATTTGCTGGTTTGTTTACTAAGGTGCAGATCCGAGGATTTGGTTGGAGTATCTAGTGTCGTTGTATATCTATAGTATGTAACTGTGTGTCTCGGTATGGATACAGCTGTTGTCATCACTTCGGCACTTGTTTTGTCTATCGTGAATGATGTCCACACCCATGATCATCATCATGGTATTCTATACTCTGTACTCTCCCTTTGATCGCCTCTTTTCTTAATTGTGGCTCTTTAAATGCTTGGCCTTTGACTGAGCCAAAATAGGCAATTATGCTACTAGTAACCTTACGCCCTAGTTTCAACAACTTTCCGCTCATCCCCCTTCCTCTGAATTTCGAGGCTGACGGGCCTATTACCGAGAGACGCTAACTCTTTTTTCCCCTTCAGATGGGTCAGGGCAAGGATGAGGAGTAGGTCAGAGAGATCCGAGAGGAAGTGGAGAAGCTGTGTTTATCAGACGGGACACTTTGCTGTTGGGGGTTTATGTTTTCTGCAGCTTTTTACAATCAAATTACTTAATTGCTAGAGATATCATGCGATTGAACCGCGGCAACGGGTGAGAAACATGGATATAGGTTCATGTTGAAAGATGCTGTTGTTTTGCCACAATCGGGGAACGGCTTAAGCTTATTATCATGTCATGCAACACACAAGAGTCAGTTACGCTGTGCCATCAAAATGCGGAAATAATAATCCCTGTTCCGTGTCGTCATTCCTAATCCCTGATGCCCCATGCACACGCTTTTTTGTTGCCTCAGGGGTTTAATTCCCTGTGGCTGCAGCTGTAGGCATTATTCTAGTTGGTTTCTAGAAGTATGCGGCGGCGTGGGGTCTCTGCACACACTGAACTCAAGCTGTGATACAATATTACCACCGGCCCGTGTCCGACTCATTCACTTTTTTGCCAAGAAGACATCGAATTCACCCCTTTCATTTCGTCTCTCCTGACCTCGGTGCGTTTAGATGGGGTCTTGGCCCGGTATGGACATCCGTATAGCCCGCTTACAAGAGCCAGTTCAAGAAACCAAGATGGATATTATTACCAGTAACGACTCACGCGTAATGCATCGTTCCCCATGGATTTTACGTACAATAAACAAGCAAACCACTTGTCCCCACGGGATATCCCCATATTCCCCCAGTAAATCCCTCCTTCGGGGTTATCCGGGGCACTCCAGCTCTCCATTCCTATTCTTCTTGGCCTTGATACATGATATGTTTGAGGTTGTGCTCTGGTAAGTCGACAATTGGGACCCAGTCTTCGAAAGGGACTTGACCTGTGCGTCACCGGTCTTAAAGTACGTTTGCTTAACAGGTGCCTGACCTTGACCGGCGGCAGCTAAAAAAGACCGTGGTGTCACTCACTTCAACGTGGCAGTCTTTCCGCATCGTTGCTGTTCCCGTTTGACCCTGTAGATCTTTCCAGAGTTTTCATTCTGCAGCTTACAGGGTGTTTGTGCTCGTGCATGTTTCGATGCAGCGTCAATTACTTGCTTCTTCGGGCATCAAGATCGGCCATGTGGGAATATCTGATCAGCAAACGGCTCAGCTGTCGTCAGTTCCAACGGTCGGCCACCAGATGCAGAACCTATCTGAAACATTGCTTGTAGAAAATGATATCAGTCCGTTTCGGCACAGTCATATTTTTCCGATCGTGTCCTGCAGTCGAGCCGCTGTGTAGTTTGAGCTTAGTTTCTCATGTAGGTAAGATCGTCACGCTTCCTGGTCTGTCATCCTAGCCCAGTAACTTTCCGACAAAACATCTAGTCTGCTCAATTCTGCCGCAGGTTGCAAATCTTCTCATGAGATACAGAAAGAGTATCAAAAACCTGTAATCTCGTCGCGGTATCTATGAGTGGGTAGTGTGATACGCCGATTGCACATCACCCATCACATCATCACTGGGTCTCATAAGGGTCTGAGCATAACCGACATGCGCTGCCTTGTTCATAATAACGGAAAGAGTCGGTCCTGCTTCGACATACTCGTCTATGCTTCTCCCTATCGTCTCCGCTTCTGAAGGAGTCCCGACGATTCAACATCCAATAGGCACCACCATCCAGCGTTTTTGTCCGTGCTGATACCCTCACCGGTGGTATAGGGCCCGACTGTCTCCATTTGTGTCCGGCTTCAAAGCCGTTGATATCCTTTTAGAGTGTCTTGCACAAGTTTCCCACCTATTATTCAATTACGTATAGATTCTTTATCGTGGGCGCTTGTTATCGAATCCTGTACCTTCAAGGGTACTGTTCCTCTCCGCGCGGTCCGGAGATTGGCGAAACGAAGTCGTTCCCAAGCAGGTAAATATTCCGATTATGTGGTCATGGAGATTTCGGAGTGTTATTGATGCTCCATAAGATAACGTGTATCAATCTCCTGATTTGATCACCAAAGTATCAGGCAGTTGCTGGAAGCGTTACCTTACTCGAATGGAAGATATCGCTTTCACGATGTCATCACAGGTCGCTTCACTATTGACTTGGCGAGGCAGCGGGGATATCAATAGGCCTATCATAGCTTCTGGTAGTTCAAGCATGGGATGGGTTGCTTGAGCCGTATCAGACAGCGTTGCAAGTGCAGATGGCGTGCCTCTTGAGTTGTTAGTCATATTCAACCTTCGATATCCTTGTTAGGCACCTCGTCTATGCTTGATCAACATGAGCTGTTCACCTGAGATTCGGGAAAAATCCAGCTTTATTCATCGTCAAAACAGGAGTACAGCTTTTGATGCAGACAGAAAACCTCTCGCCACATTTGGGCATCAATCGTGGGCCCCTATGGCAACTTCGTAGTAGCCACGCCCGAGTGTTTTGTTGGTCTTGCCACTAGTACTCTCTGCTCTCCTTTTGTGTCTGGAAATTTCCTATTTCTCTGCATAAGTATTAATGCGATATTTATGGCACAGAAGGTGCAGACAGGTTTTATCTCCTTCGATATGGATGAGGGAGGTTCCGTCTGGAGTTATTATCTGGTGTCTGCAATAGCTCCATACATCTACAAGGTCGACTAGTCATTTTACCACACTGATATCGTTCTAAGATACTCTCAAAGATTAATGAAACGTTGTTCGTGTCAACGTCTGACGTGAACAAAGTTTTGAAGCCCTACCCATTATAAAAGCCCGTTGACGGCGAACAGTTCTTGATACTGACTAAGATTAAAGCATTAGGCAAAAACATCTTTTTGCAGGTCTCTATGAGAGTCAATGTCATATCACCGAGACTATTTCCATGAGAACCTATGGTCAAAGGATATGGATAATGATTTTCCAACCCCGAATGTTCGCTTCTGCTCTTGACACAATCCCACCCTTTCATGTGCAGGGTGCCAGTGTAACATAGTACTGTCCGAGAAGCACGCAATAAAAGTAGAGAAGCCTAAGCGGATGTTCATAGTTAGACAATAGAGGATTTTTGAACTTGTCTATGACTATAGAACAAACAATGGGGTCTTGCACAATAACCTCGAGAGGAGCGACAAGTATTCCGTGGTAACTAAGAGCACTCAACGAGCGGGATGCTACAGTGCTTTCTATCCTATATGTCGGACCTAACGAGTGATTTGCAATAAGTTTATAAACGGTCATTCTGCCTTGGTTGTCGCCGAATCGATCAAAGACTACCACTACGTGCCTTTTACATCTCGAGTTACATAAAGCAAATCTCCCTTAGACAACAACGATCCTGGAACTCAACTTGAAGACGCCCGATATCGATGATATAAAACCAGCATCATACTCTTTTCTAGTATAATGCGATTAATAACACTTTTTATTTATGCTTGTGGTACGGATACCGCGTAGTTCATGCTGGATTCCTATGCAAGTTTACAGGACTCATCGTCTCAACCACTTTTTGACGACGTCTTTGTAATTTACGAGTTTTAAGACAAACTACCACTTACAAGAGTAGTATTCAAAACTCATGACTCTAATTCTATCATATGATACTTGTGAATATGGTCAGAAAATATGTCTTGTTGCTTTGGCATGGAAACTATAAGTATACTGCTAGCAATATACAGTTCAACCATGGCCCAATGTATCGTTCCGATTTGAAACTGGGATCAACAAACCTTAAATTTGACTCATTTGTCTTGCTATTGTTTCTGACCGAATAGTATCTGTACAGTTTCCAGAGTCTGACTTTACACTACCAGTCTGGGAAACAGATTATGGCAGAACAGCTCCTTATACCAATACCTTGCCTGATCAGCTGCAGCTTATGGTATACTATGGAAGACTCATGCAGACTATGAATTCATCTCACTCATTATGGCAATCGTTCTAATGCTGATAGAATGATGTATCCAATGCCGGCTTGTCCACATTCTGCCGCATGTCTATCATGGAGTTTTTGAGCAGCAAGAGCACAATGTCGAAGAACAGCACACAGCTCAATGAGACGGATAGTTCAATTTTGCCCAGACAAACAATATACTTAGGTATATTATGAAAAGTCGCAGTAATAGATCGCAAACAAGAAATCTGTAAAGTAAAAGAATGTAGTAAGGAAAATAATCCGCAGGCATATGATTCAAACAAAAGTGTTACAGCAAAATAGGGCTCAAACAGTTTTCATATACCCAAATGAATGCCAATAGCTTTTACACATGTTTAGGAGGTCATTGTAAATTGATATTTCACCCATTTCGCAATGTAACCGCAAGGATAGATATAGGGTAATCGATCTCACACCACAGCACAGCCTCGTCAAACCCAACAAAAACATCAACATGACATGATCATCACCGGCACAACCGGAAACCGACTCAAGAATTCCCACAGGATACCGGTGCTTTATAAACTCAAGATAATTATCCAGAAATCGTTATAAAAAGATTGCCGCTGAGTTCCCACGTACAACACCACAAAATGGGCTCCTCCGACATCCCGCCCCCTTCAGCACCAACGTGGCTCGTCCCCGCCTCAACAGCTTGTCTGTCAACAGGCATAACCTTCTGGCTCATCGCCTACATCCTCATGGTGCGTCGCTCTCTTGCCACGCATGCTACGCCCGCTCCTCTTCTCGCTCTGGGCCTCAACCTCGCATGGGAAGTCGTCTACGCGCTTGGCGTATGTGAGGCCCCCATCGAGACATTCGGGTTCACGCTATGGCTACTCCTTGATATACCCGTTCTATACGCCACGATCAAAACAGCCCCGCGATCTTTCTCAACAAGTCCTCTCGTTGCGCGCAATGTGCCGCTGCTGCTGTTCATCATCTTTGTCGCGGGACTGGTGGGTAATGGCATGTTTGTCTGGTGGTGGCTCAAGGAGCCGCACCGTGGGTACGGTATCAAATGGGGGAAGACTTGGAAGGGTCTTGAGGCGAGGGATACTACCGAGTTGGCCTTTTGGTCGGCTGGTGTGGCGCAGATGATATTCAGCGTGTCGGCATTGGCTATGCTTCTCCAGCGTGGCCATTCTGGCGGTCAGAGCTATGCAATTTGGTGAGTTTCTATTTTCCTATATGCAATTGGGGTTCTTTCAGATGGCGTGTTTCCTCCAGGTACTGTATCATCTCATTCATGCTGGTCCCGAGAATTCGGTATATTGCTTCGAATTGCGTGTCATGTGGGAGTGAACTATTGAAGCAAGCAGGCCCGGCGGTATGAATACCGTCGGAGTCCGCGTTTCCATGCTGTCTCGTGATTATAGCAGGAAAAAGCAACGTCGCAATAGCAATTATCGTATTCACTGCCTGCTCATACTGACATCCCATTTGTAGGTTTTGTCGCTTCGTCGGCACCGTCATGGGTCTACCTATTTCCTGCATAATGTTGTGGTGGTATTGGCCAGAGGCCCACGGCTTTGTCTTCCATCCTCTCGGCCTCTTCTTCGTTGGTACCTCGATCCTCTGTGACTTGGCGTACCCGTTTCTGTTGGCTTACGTTCGAACCACGGAGAGGGTTTTGCCCGATGGAAGTCTAACAGATGGAAGAATTGAAGCCGAAGCGGTGAAGAAGCAACAATAGAAAGACGATATTTGATATCAGACAGAATCGACAAACTTGTGTCAGCCGCCCTGGTGGAGAACAAAGGTTGTAGTAAGCCGGCAAAAGCAAATAATGACATATAAGGTGGTTTCAGTTGGCTTTCCCGAAGTAACGTCAAGCAAATCCTTGATAATGTTTGCAACGACGGGTTATCAACCACACTTAGTCCTGTTTTGCGACTTGAGATATCCATATTCGATCCGACCTCAATCTCGGCGTTTGCGGCATCATCATGATGCACATCTTACACGTGGGTCACTAGTCATTTATGCACACTATGTAACCTTAGATCTGGATATTCGGGATATTTCCTAGACTATGGACAAACAGCACAGGGTTAATAATAAGAACAACCAATGGTACATGGACGGAACCATCTTGTAGCCGCTTTAGCCAAGATTGCCTCATGCCATTTCAGCTAGCTCACGGGGGTTTGTTCTCTCATCCAGTCGCGGCGGCTCTAGCAACGTGATGAACGCCTTATGCAGCCTTTTCTTAGCGCGGAGGTTGGAATATTGAATCCAAATAAGACCTAAATCGTGGCTTTATGAGATGTGATAGATGTATCGGTGGATGGCTCGACTAACGAACCGGTTCAATTAGGCTTGACGTTAACGATAAAGCAGGACAGGAACGCGGATTGATGTTTACTGATCACATGATGTTGAAACGACGTATTGCATGTTTTCGCAGTGATACCACAACCCTGCATGCATCTGCTCAAGCCTCGATGTCTGCATGTAGCGTTGGCGGCAATCCATGCGCCGGAGAAATTACAGATGGGGCTGATGAGCAAAAGTGCGCTGGGACTGGGATTGGGTGACCTGACTTGATAGTTGTCTCGACCAACACACCAATCGCATGTCCACATAAGAGCAAACTTGGACGACACTTGTCTCACGATGGGCAACTTCCTAACGATAGAAACCGATCGAGATTTCGATACACCAATAGCGACTCAATCCAGTATATCGGTAACGAAGCAGAAGTCGCCAGCACGCAGTGCGCTTTGGCACGAGAGCTTGATCAACGTGATATATCCAGCGTGAACGTGCGTCCCGACATGCATATGCGTGTTTGCTGTTTAGTCGTTTGAGGTCTCGGACATGCCCGGTTCTTGGTCAGGAGTAATTGATCGAGGCAAAATGCTTGTCGGGGTTTGTTAGGATTGATGTGCTATTCAAGACATCGCGCAAACTGTTGATCTGTGAATAGTCGCATATGAGTTGCAAATACTCACTAAAGGCATAGAACCATTAGACGCAACTGTGCGTTGCTGTTATAGAGGGACGCCATATGGCAGGTCACATGCTCACAGGCTTGCGCGGGTGCAGGCATCTTAACGATGAGCCAGGGTGTGCTTGATCGTGGAGAAGTCTCAAGAGCTTGCATACTGGTGAGACGGTCGGCCGCACAAGGTCTCGATCACGTTTCGCATGATTGTTTATGGCGGAACAGGCAAACTTGTTCAAGATGGTGATTCTCAGGAAATTGCCAGGACCGATCGCGGAAGTTGGCCACATGAGGGTTTCTTGAGAATATCCAGGGAGGGTGTCGAACTACAGGCACTTGCCTGGTCGCAACAGTCGCAACGGTACGTAGTCTAGCGTATTCGACAAGTGATATCATGGCCACGGCATCAGTCGATTGCCTTGGTTGGGAAGGATAAAAGTTCCGTGAGGTAATAAACGTTGACCGGTCAGTGATAACGCGTGCCTCTCGTTTGGGAAATCGAATTTCGGGGTTTTCTGGAAGAATACGGATACAGCTCGTCAACCGGATGTGGGGGAGACGATTACCAGGAAGAAGGGTGTCAGTGTTGGTAGTTATCATGGATGAAGGGTGTATCAGACTGCAAGTGGACGGTTTAGGAAATAGGTTTTGCTTCAAGCTGTCAACCGTTTGAAGTATGAAACTACAGAAGCTATGCATCTACGGGGCCTAATGCAGGTGTCATGTGCAGCACTAATGCAACTAAGCGGCAGTTGCTTTCTGGCCCCCTGGCTACGATCCTCTGGCGTCAGCGTCAGCGTGGAGAAAGCCTAAGGATGGGATGGGATGGGACGTGTCAACCTAAAAAGAGGCAATCTTCAACTCCTTGATACCTCGGCCTATTTCAACGATTGCCATCCGATATTAATGATGCAACTCACCAGAGCCCAATGTCGAGTCTTGCCTCTTCCAATGCTAGCTGATGATCCGGACCAGACGCTTGGATCTTGCTCAGGCACGAACTCGACGCCTTTTGCCACTTGACATCAACCAGAGTCATCTTCATTATGCACCCCCTGCTGAGAGTCTCTTGGATCCGAAACTATCAAGACATTATCTTGGCCCAGGCTGTCTTTTTGCAAGGCAACGCAACCCCTGGAAAAATAGGCGTCGGATCCCTTGGAACCCAACGTATTTTGCCTCCAACACTCATTTGTAAATCACCGTCACCGACACCGACTCCTTCTCCCCTCATACAAGCAATTGAGGCAGTAGCCGCGCCTCGGTTGATCAGATGCGGTGTTGTCCATGGCGGATGATGCATCACCGCTCCAATGAAGCAGGTGTGTGAGCAGCCCTGTTATCCCGCATGCTGGCACTGCGCTGCAATTGGACTCTCCAGATTGGGAGGTTCCCATACCGGTGAGCCTTCTTGTGGGGTAGATGGCCTCATGGCGGTATTTTCGGAGGGTTTTAAAAGGCGTAGCATTCTCATCTCCGCGATTGATGGCTTTATGTCATCCTGGCAATTGGCTTGGCTGTCTGCACTCCATGTTCCGCAGCTGCAGTTGAAGCTGCCTTGACGTATGATGGCCTGGGATGGGTGTTGAAGTGGTCGTAGTCGCAACCACAATCTGGACTCGTGCAGATGTATACATGCATCTTGATATCCCAAGGCAGCTGGATACCGCCCATTTGGAACGTAATGGTTTTCGGGACATCATCCCACGCCGAGCCAGGTTGGGGTCGGCATCCGGTGATGCCGTGGGGTTTGTAGTACACGTGGGAAATATCTGCTTCCTCTGTCGTAGATAAACCACAAACATGGTGTTTCGAAGAATAAAACAACGAGATAGTATTTACAATGGCTTCGATTATTATCTCGGTCAAGCATCCATGATCTCCCGCGGCTATTGGCCCGACACGTATCACGATACCGGTGTCATCTCCGTCCCGATACCCCGCCATCCTTGTCTAGAGTTGGAGATTTTGACATGATGACACCCATTTGACGCGAGATCCGGGTCGGATCACAAGCCTCGGCGGCTGGTAAATGCAGTTATGTACAATCCTCCAACGCAGAGCAAGCGAGACCGCAAAAATCTGAAGAAATCACCGCTTTCCCGGTGAGGAAAACAGCCCTGTTAATCACATTGACCGGTTGTCAGGGTCCTAATTGCCTGCATGTGAAAGAGAGAAGCTGCGCGACATGCATCGAGTCTCCCGAGTACGGTGCCATTTAAATTCCATGCCCGATTTTTCATGGCTAATCTCTTACAACCCTTTTCGGAGGGGACTTTTTTTCTTGTTTTTATTGCGAAAACCTATGTGTGTCTGATTCCCTGGTTGTTTCTGATCCTGCCATCGCTTACGAAATGATGCGAGCGAAGGGTCCCTCACCTTAAAGACCCTTAAAGACTGATAAGGTAGGTAAGTAGTGAGCCACGTGGGGCTGGGCCTGTGTTTTCTTCGATATGGACCTTTCTTTTAAACTAAAAGAAGTGGATGGTCAATCAGCCGATACCAAGAACAAGGGCCACGATTTGCATGATGATTTACAGTGCAGCGCTTGTTATCAAGGGTGCTGTTCCAGCTGTCCGGTCTAGGTAGGTAGATAAGCATTCTGATAACCAGTGCCGTAGCATCAAGACTGCATACTGTATCTGCGACACCATGAATTGCAAGAGGAGCATCTCCGGTGTTGCAAAAGGACCCTCCAGCCTCAGCTTCAGCCTCGTGTTATCAGAGACCCGCGATAGTGAACCCCCCATGCTGCGACAGAGTTGGAAGGTCGTCGAGAGAGGCCATTGACTCACTCGCAAGTGGGTATGCACCCCACGTCGCGATCTATCGAGATCGGTATCTGTTTCTGGTATTCCCATGACCGACTGTATCGTATGTGGTGATTATGCCCTGGGATGTGGCAAGCAAGCCAACGTTCGGGGCTTGAGGTTTGAGGCTTGGGTGCAAGCCCGAGATGCACACCCTCATCTTGGAGGCGAGGGCATTCTCGAATGGAGAGAGAATGAAAAATCGGGGCACGGGGCACGTGTGGCTTTATGAGGCTGTTTTGGCTGTCTCAAGGTATTGGCATCATGTCTTTGTAGGATTCAACTCCTGCTGCAGAGTGAGCATGCAGAGACGAGATGAAATAGGATGCACGTTGGTAAGAGGTGCAGTGCTGTGTCCAATGCTGAGTGAGCTGTATGATGAATGGTAAGGTAGCCGCGCTTTGCGTTGGGCAAACAAACAGCCCGCATTGCATTGTTTCCTCAGCTATCCATACTTAGACGCAGCGCATAGACCCTGTATGATGTTGCCCATCGTCATGTTTCTGGTACAACCTAAGATTGACATGACGGAGTGCGCACGTCCTAACCATCTCGCTCTCGCTCCGACGCTCAGGTCTCAGGAGCCATTTAGAGTATTTCGTGTGTGGTAAGGCGACTAGCCTGAACTTTGATATCAACGGCTGTCGCCCGCGGAAGCCAGCGTGACCTCCCGCCACGATGATAAACCCTATTCTCATTGAGAAAAGAGATAACTACTTAACTATCCAGGAACATGACATAGTTTCCGCTGCAGAACCATTACGAAGAAGGAACGAGCACGAGAAAAATCAGCCAAGATGCATAACTCATATAACTAGCAGACAACAGCCGCCGGCAAATAACTAAATGTCTCAATGACCAAGGCAGAAATGACGGGAATCCACGGCACTGAACGGTACGGTAAGGAATGGATCGCTTAAAGCGTTGATCACAGAGGTCTCGGCACGATGCACTACCGCTAGCGCCCAGCGCGTTAAAAACGGGTCAGGCCAAAAACTACCGTCAAGCCCCCAGGGGAAAAGGATGGTGGGAAGCAAGGTTTGGAGGACTTTCGGGTGTGGGAAGAAAACGTGGGGATAGGTTTGGTTTGCGATTGGGATGATAGACGAGACGCGAGGAGGGAAGAGAAGGGGAGAGAGAGAAGTCACGATAGATGCGATGTGATTGTACGGAGGTATGCATGCTATTATCGCAACAGTTTAATTTATCATATATTTATCAGATGTGATAGTGCACTTATCTCGTCTTAGATGTGAGAGGTGCAAGCTGACAAGACATCATCCCAAAGAAGGCAATATAAACGGCGCCAAATGAAAGAGTCCACTCACTATCTATTGACTGAGCACAGTCTTGAGTCTTGAGGCCATGGTCCCCTCCAATCCATCCCACCTTACTACGTACATAGTACAGACTGCACTTTTGTCCTTCCCATCACAGCTATCTAAGCATACTGCATCACACACAGCCACACAACAAACAACCACACGCATTTGCTCTGCTGCCGAATCGTGTCAGCGCGGGTATCATCAACCCCCAGGGCGAATGTCGAATGTCGAATGTCACTGACTCACTCTCAACAGCTCGGCCGGCAAATCCAGAAAGCGGCCCGTAGCGAGGGTTTCTAACGTGGAACGTGCAGACTAATTAATCTCTAGTACACTCTAGCTGCAGTATTCCGCGTGAACTACTTGTGTTTTTCTTTTCCTTTTCATTTTCCTTTTCTCTTCCAAGTCTAGCGCCTTTGGTTTTCCCTTCTTTCTCACGCCATTTCCGTTTACTAGAAATTTGGTTGCTCTTTGAAAGCAGGGCAGGGCAGGGCCAGTTCGCAAGCTCGCAAGCACCCGGATGAGCATCGCTTTTAGCCCCATGCGAGCATCACATCTGACCGGTCAACCGGCAAATTCTTGGTTCAGATTTTGGCATCTCTCGATGCAAGTCACGCAGATCATCACGTAGTGTGTGCAAGGTTAAGTAAGGGGGCTTTCAGATAAATAAACAAGGTCTAATTTTCATTTCCTGCGCCAAACAATATGCAACTATCTTGGGTAGTCAGCTGTGATCAGTAGTATAGATAGCCCCATCGATTTCCCACCGCCATACGCGGCCATGTTGTAAAAATATGATAAAAAACGCCCATGCCATCAAGGATAGTGAAAGTAGGTGTAGAAATAGTTTCCATCCTCAAGAACCCCCCAAGTGATATCTTTGTTTCCCATAAATGCCCAGTTTCCGTATTCCATGCATACAACCAGCTACTCAAACATGACAAACCAAGTAATAAAAAATAGTAAGCGCGCCAAGTAATAAAAAGGACTCCCTTCCGGGCCAATGTGGTTGGTTTCTTCTCCTCGTCTCTCCTCCGCGAGTAGAGAGTTGTGTTGTTGCTTCATCATAGGCTCTCTACCTGTGATCATAAGACCTCTCTCATGCAGGCAATCTTGGGGTAGCGCCCGAGGTTGGTGAGTGGAGTCGAGTGCTGAGATGAGGTGCAGTTGATAGGTGAGAGTGGTAGGATGTTGTGCTGCTGTGCTGTTGTGCAACGATGAGCATTCATCCATCCAGTTGAATGAGATGAGCCTCCCCCGGAGTGGTCAGTGTCGGTCTCGGGTGGCGAGATATGCACATTGCAGGTGTGTAACACAGCACTCTCTTCAGTGGCCCCCAGTCAGCTCGAAAGCTATTGATCGACGCTTTGACCATCCCTGTCCAAAAAAAAAGGTACCGAAACCTCTTGCAACACCTCTACCTCCATGCGAGTCAAGAGAGGGGAAAAGTCCACATTGGCCAGAGACAGGTTCGCACCCAAAGAGCCAAATTCTTTTCCGTCCAAAATAAAAATAAAAGTAAAAATAGAAAATAAAAATAGGGAGTAACCCAAATCAAATGCTTTCCAGCGCCTTTCCTAGGTATCGAGTTTTCGCAATAAAGTGCACTTTTTTCTGGTGTTTTTTTCGATGCTGTAATCGTTGATTCGTCGTCCCTCCATGTTCAAGCCACGGCCACACAAGTGGGGTATCATGTCTCACTTGAGTCGACCACCTTGTAAAGAACGTTGCTTGGACTGAAGAGCCTGCATATACTGACTACTCGTGCAGGTGCAGGTGCATGTGTGTGTTTGTGTAAGAGCCATGTCGGCCCCGACGAACGAATGATGTTGTCTTTATTGTTTCAACTCATCCGTGAGGTCGGGTTTCGTATACGTAAGCGGTATGTGTAAATGGTGTTGCCTTCTTGGGTGAGGCAGGTCGGTTGGCGGCATATCGAGGACTCGACCTGCGAAACGACGCCGCTCGTTCTCATTGAGCACGAACCTGGGGAGAGTAGGACATGCGTGACTCGGGACGCTGAATGAGCTTCGCCCACGGGTGGTTGCTGGGTTGCTGGCGTTCACGGCAGGCGGCTGTAGACAATAATTAGCATCAATGAAACACCGAGGTCAACCGGCCGGTGAGAGGATTATCAAGAATCCGCTCGGGCTTGGAAAATATTTGGAGACATACCACAAATGTCATCACCCCTGTTGATCAAACCGTTAGCAAAATGTTCTAGGTTATGGGTGGATATGTTATGCTTTGACTCACCAGTACTGCTTGCTCACGATAGTGGGTGGACACCGACGTTCAGTCTCGATGTACTTGGGACACCATGACTCTACCAAGTGGTAGTGGTGTTGACAGCTGAGCTCTTTCTGTGAGGTGTTAGTATAAGTCATCATCATGGTAATAATATGTCGTAACCTACGTAGATGTAGTTGCACATTGTGAATAGCAGACCAAGTGATATTGCGTCGATTCTAGTAAATCGGTAATCAAGGTATGCGGATGATGTTTGCTGAAAGAAACCAGGCCTAGTCGTCTTATGTATAAAATATATATATGCAGGTATATATATAGTAGTCGAACTCAGTATAAGGCGGTGATGGTTGAGTAGTAGTCAGTGTGGATGGTGTTGAGTAGCAATGGCGAAGAGAGTTTCGTTCTGAGATAACTATGACAACACTGCACGTAACGTCGATGGCAAGTAACTGTTAGAGGGAGGTAAAAGAGTATTTAAAGAAGAGACAAGATGGACCCAAAACAACGGAACAGAAGCTAGTCGTTCAAAACCTTACAGACGGGGCCCATGGCTGGGCTGAAGGTTGTTTATAACTCCCAGACGTCCAGAAATCCTCCCCAGTCCCCTTCCATATGAGACCCCTGTTCATGTTGACAGACAGCCCACACTCTCACTGACAGAGGGAGCCATCCCAAATGAAAACACACACCCGTAGTGCGGTTCCTAGCGACAGAGGGTGTGCGCGCAAGAGTTTTTTCCTTTCTTTTGGTGGCACTCACTCCGAGAAACAAGGGGGTCTGGGGTTTTTGGAGCTGAAGAGCGGAGGGAGTGAGATTTACAGAAGGGGAGGGGTGCGGGTTTCCATTATCGTTCTTGGCGAGTTATATGCAGTTATCAGATATCGAGTAATGTGAGGTCTCCCGTTTACCAGGATTTGTTCTAATCTGAGGCGAGCACCATCCTCCACCAGGAAAAAAAGTCCCCAAGGCCACCTAGACAAAACTGCTAGACTCTCTAGTACGGGGGGGACACAGACCAACCTACGAGCCCTCACAACTTCGGCGTCGGCGAAGTGAGGATCAATTTAGGACCTGTAATCACGGAGCAAAGAATTGCGAGTGGAAGAAGGAAGAAGGAAAAGTGAACAGGACCCTGAGAAACATTTTACCTTTGCTTTTCAAATGACTCACCGAAGGTTCGCCGAAAGCACAGGCAAGACATTGATCGATGCCAATCACGAAATGCACGTCTCGTTCGTTATTCCGTACCTAGAAAGAGTCAATGGTTGGTTTTCGTTTAAACGCTTACCGCCAGCTCTGAGGCAGTCGGGTAGACGAGAAAGTTGCTGTTCCAAGCATCGCGTGCTGCAATTACCGGCACAAAACAGCGTCTAAACTTGGACCCTTTCGCTCTATCCCTCCAGTCTCTCCACCGCCGTAGCAACATATACCAGACCAATACCGTTCGGCAGTGCAGTTTAGTCCACTCTGTTTCTGGTTACAGGCTTACAGCACATACATACTGCAGGCCCTCACAAGGCTCACATACAGCAGCGCCTTGTCGATTGGGTACTCACCGTAACATGCTCTGCCACTGCACATCACCACTGCAGAGCACTATTTCTTGCCCGGTCTGGGCCAATTCGCCATTTTGGAGGTGAGCGGAGCCGCCGTCCAGCATCAACAGCGTGCTAATGTCAAAGCGTGCTCCACTGGCTCTCTCACCTGTCTGCCAAACTACCTATCAAAACCATGTTTCCCAAATATCGCCAGTGCCGGTGAGATGAGGACCCTTGAGGACAGTTCCGGCTACCGCCTCAAAATTCAGAGTCATTCTCCACTACCGAAGAGTCAGACTGAAGACCGCCTCAAAAAAGAAAGCAAGAGAGGGAGAATGAGGGACGAAAAGGTCGCCCAAAATGATGTTCCATCGCGTCTAATTCTCACCGTTTGCTGATTGGGAGTTACAGACATCACCCGACAGACGGTCCGCCGGGCACGTGGAAGCCTCAAAAGAGCTTCCCCCTTGTGATCAGCACCCAGCACTTCCCGGTACGGGTTGCTACACCACCGTTTTGAGGGGTCGAGACTCTCGATATTGCTTCTTCGCCATGGCAATTGTCTTAACTGGCTCCAGCTAGTCATGCCAATGCCGTTGGAGATATGACGTGCCAATTGAGGAGACTCGTCTAGCCATGATGCATTTCTCCCTTCCGCCAGCTTTGACAAGTCATTCAATATGCATCTATCTTTATCGCTGGTCACGCTGGTTTCCGAATCAATAGTAGAAGCGACGACGACAAGGCTCATCTGATAAGCCCACGTACTGTAACGTCAATGCACATCACCCCAAGGCAGAAAAGATTTTCTCCCTCTTATGCATTGCTCGCATGTGCAGGTCAAACCTCGACGCACGGCCTCGGTTTTACATGAGAATTGCTCTGTACTGCCTCTAAGGAAGGTGTCAATACGCTACGGTACGGTACGGATACGATAAAACCAAACTTCCATTGACTGTTCTGTTTGACCCACCAGTTATTTGGCAGGGTTTTCGTCGTCGAACATTTCTCACCGTTCTAGACGTTTTTTTATGTCCCTGTCCTGTTTACAAACCGTGGTCATGGTCATTTGTATTGGACGCTAGGACGTTGACGCCATTACCGTATCCCCCTGGCGATAAACCGAACCCCAAGTAATACAAGTACCGTGCCGCACACAGGACCACTGCCGGGTATCACAATTCGGTACACCACGTTTTCGCAGCGGGAAAGAGAGAAATGCAGTCATATGAAGATGAGCCTGCTAGATATTAGGTATCAACATCAACCATGAGCTCACTCCCAGCTCCCGCATCGCATCGCATCCGCATCCACATCCGCATTGTACATGGGAATTGTCTTTTAGCACGCATGTTGCATATTTTGGCGCATTTTTGCTCCACTACACACGTGGGTGGAATGCCGGTAGCGGTCATGACCTCCACTGTAGTCTGTCGCTCAGCCGAAACGTACGTACCCGCTACCGAGGGTTAAGTTAGAGGGTTAGATGGTTAGATGAGACCTGAGATTTCCACCACCTCGAACAGGCCAATGAGTGTCGCGTTTTCGAAACCTGGACCCCTATCTATTTTATTCGGAGTCTGTCTGCGAATCGTTCATTTATTACCACCATTATTATCATTTAGCTACGGATACAAGTCTGCTGCAGACTTGTGAAGCCCTTTCACCCCATCACAACCACGTCAAGTTTTCTACTTTCCTAAAGAGGAACCGGTCAACGAGTTTCGACTTGGCCTGGACGCGTTTTGGGGCCGGGTCTTGCTGCAGGCCTTGCTGTCAAGCATGCGCATCGCATTCCCACCAATTGCGGTTTAAACGACTTTCTCATGGATCCTGGCATCCATCCTCTTGCATTGGATGTAAAAAAGGGGGGGTCTCAATTAGGTGCACACTGTTTCCGACTTTTTATTTTTACGTTTATGCTCACATTCTCCGCTATGTACGGATACATGAATGTCATGACAGAACATTAATTATCTCGACTCCTTCCATACGAATTGCGGATATTGTATTTTCTTCTGGAAGCGCACTAAGCTCAGGTCTTGCGCATCACCGAACTCACTGACCACCGACCTACTCCACTAGGTATCAGCGTGTGTCATTCTCATTGTCATTTTTCAGGGTTTCAAAAGGAGAAACACTCGTCATGATTAACTGACACTAGCAGAGCAGAGCCCATCGACCATCGCGCATCCGTCCGCCCTTCTCAGGCGTCCCTGTCCCTGGCGTACGTCCTGACGTCCTGGCGTCTTCTGGAATCATTTCCACAGCCGATGACATCCCCACACGCGATCCGACGCCGTCTCTTGTTCCCTACCACTTCTTCATCCAATCAGCCTTCCACATTGCGACTTTTCAACACATCGAGGCAAATTGTCGTCAGGGGGGAGAATCGTCACTGCACCCAATCGACCAGTCCTTTTAGCTCTTACCGACTGGTTGGAAGGGTTTCCGGGCACTAGGAAAATCCCCCCGTGCTCCAGAGTTCAGACCGAATGTCATTCATGCGAGCCAGAGCCCGGCCATACCATACTATTCCTATGTCTCCTGGCTACCAAATCTGTCGTCTCCTCCGTGACCTCCTCCTTGGTCAAACAAGTTCAATCTTACCTTGATGATGCTGTCGCCAAAAAATTCTTCTCACTCGGGCTCGCTATCTGGTCTGAGAGCTCCCCTGCCTCTGACGCCAAGTCCACCCTGGCCAGAAGAACCTGGACTCTGTTGCAATCATCAACTTCGCCAAGTACAATGCCCCTTTCTGCAAGGGTTTGGTCCAATCAGAGGCGTCCCAGCTTTCTTATTTGGCGTTCCCAGGACGCGGGCTCGGGCCTCGGGATGTTCTGCTTCTGGGTGTGACAGCCCCAGCTGGCTTCTCTGAGCTCTATCCTGCGCCCAAGGACCCTTCCCTTTCGTCAACGTGATTCTTCCCAACGGTCACGGTATTATTCAAGTTAACATGCCAGCTAGGCGAGTTCCAGGAGGCTCTTTTGCAAGCTGTTGTACGCGGACTAGTGATCTGACAAGCTGTTGAACAACCGTTGTGAATGGAGAACCCTGACAGAACTGAATTCGCTGCCACTGAGTGGTCATGACTGGCCCTGCAGGATGCGATCTCGAAGATCACACGGATACACACTGCGTCTATGCGGGGAGAGCAAAGGTAGTTAGTCCTCTGTAACCCTCAACCCTCGCGATCAGGTGCCTGCAAAAACGTGTACCTAGCCAGCTCTTGCGGTCATGTCTCGGAGCTACCTCTTTAACGAGCTCATTGCCATTGCCTTGTTGAAGCGCGCCACATCAAACCGATCCTTCAGCCTGGAAACAGCGCCCAGGCAGGCATCCAGTCCATGACCCCGTTGTATCAGACCAGGATCGCGCGGATCTTTCTCAGGTTGTCTTTTTCATCGTCACCTGGTTACCCAAGAGAAAGGTTTTCCCCTTCCCTCCGGGCAGATCGTGCAATCCGCCTCTGCCGAAGTGGACCTAGGCTTAACCGACCAGCTGGCACGCGAGACTCGGCTGTCTAGGATTCTCGGTACGAACAGGTGAGAAAACAAAAGAGACAACAAGAAGTTGCTCCATGGCGAGCAGGCAAGGACTGGGAGATTGGCTCGGCAGGCTTTGCCCCGAATGCGTCACATCAAAC